GCCCCAGCCACTCTGGGCAGTTCCCAATATTATAAATGTAGTTATGACTTTAAAACCTTGAATTTTCCATTCAAAACCAACATGTCACCCATAATAACTGCTGTTGGTTTTGCTGCTTGCTTTGTTCTTAAGTCGGATTTTGTCTGGTTTTCAGCTTGAACTTTTACCTTAGTTTGTACTGTGTCAATTCTGCATAAGACAGAATACAAATTCGCAGAGTTGGATCCAGGGCTGCCATCACACTCATGCAGAAGAATTCTTCTTGTGCAGCAGAACTTTCCTCTTCCTTCTTCTCTGCTGCAGCCCACCATGCAACCTCAAAATCTCCAGAGGGTTGAGGAACCCTGTTGAGCAGATTTTGGGTGCTTGCAGGAGAGGTGAAGAAGGGAATGTCCCTTGGCACAAGTGGAACCCTCCATTTGCACTGTACAGTGGTACCTCGGGTTACAGACGCTTCAGGTTACAGACACTTCAGGTTACAGACTTCGCTAATGCAGAAATAGTACCTCAGGTTAAGAACTTTGCTTCAGGGTGAGAACAGAAATCACACAGTGGCAGCGCGGCGGCAGCGGGAGGCCCCATTAGCTAAAGTGATGCTTCAGGTTAAGAACAGTTTCAGGTTAAGAATGGACCTCCGGAACAAATTAAGTTCTTGACCCGAGGTACCACTGTATTGCACACAAACCATAAGTAATAGTAGTAAATAATAACTCATTCAACAGGGTAATGTGACAAACTCTATAGTAATGGATAAACTATTAAATGCTGTACAGTCTCAGCCAGACCTTGAGGTTGGCTGTAGGGAGGCTCTTCTGGCGGCGCCACCACTGACCAAGATTGTAGTCATATGGCCATACTGACTGCAATATTTAACAGAGGGATTAGTGATTGTGATTTTAAAATTGTATTTTGTTTTCTGTGCTGACTGATCATTGTATTTTAAATTGCTCTGACCCACCCCAATCACCAGTCATGAGGGATGGGGTATAAAACCTATAAAATCAAATATAAATAAATAAAAGTAAGAACAGTAGAACACTGATGGATCAGACTAAAGGCCTTCTGAGTCCAGCAGGCCACTTTCCTCTTGCTTTTATCCAGTCGCTGTTTACCATTCTGCTCCCAACCATGTTTGCATGGTTAGAGCAGTCAACTGGATGCGCAGAATACTGGCATGGCTATGCCTGTTACTCCAGGAGCCTGGTTATCCCTTTACTGTACTTCCATCCCTTCTGCCCCAGCATTGTAACTATGAGTGCTACTTTGAAAACATTTTTAGTACAAGACTACCCTCTGCTGTCACTAAGTGAGAAAGCATCCGTGGGAAAGCGTCACGCAGTTAAGCTAAACTAAACGTACGGGAGTCCACGTTAATGCTATTGTTAATTATTTTGTCTGCTTCTCTCCCCCACAGTTGCTTCCTCTAAGTCCAGTGGAAACAGACCTGGCTGGGGATGGTTTCTGTGTCACTGCACAAGTTTTCCTAAGCCCATTTTATGGGATATGCCTTTTCCTTTTACGCTGTGGTTCCCTGGTTGAATTTATTGATTTAACAGAGGACAGCCTCCTGTCCTCTGTTAAATATCTAGGTCTCTCTCTCTCTCTCTCTCTCTCTCTCTCTCTCTCTCTCTGGCATCCTTCCTAAAGGGAAGATGTTCAATGACTTTCATCCACCTCATCAATGGTGGTGGCTGAAGGAAGAAGGAAGAAGGAAGGAAGGAAGGCGGGGGGGGCAGTGGTAGATGGAGCCAAAGCCAATAATGGGTGGAGCCAGAGACAGACAGGGCCAACTAATTCTAGCTTTGCCCCATTTTCTTCTCTCTTCTGAGTCCTGCAAGGGAGGAGGAAGCTGGCAGCCCAGGCCACTCCCTGGGCTGGTTGCAAGTAAGAAGGCAGGCAGGTGGGAGCTGCCTGAGGGCAGACTGATGTCAGTGGGGCAGTGCCCTATTCACCCAAATGGACCATCCTCCACTGCTTACAAAGAAGGGGCTTGGAAAGGGAACCCACAGATACAGGTTGTCTTTCAGTGGAGGATTTCAATCATTCCGTTGCAAACTTGCCTTTTCCACAGGATCCTGTGTGGAGCATCCTAAAATACCTTAATCGCTTATCTTTTTCTAGCTCAAGTCCCATTGACTTGGATCCTTAGGGAATCCATTGACTTGTTAACTAGGGAAAGGAAGTTCCCCGTTCCCTCCTGAAATGATAAGCCATAATATCACTAGGATGTTTGTCAGAAAGGTTCTTAAGGTGTCTTGTCACATTTTAAGGTAGAGGTAAAGGTACCCCTGACCATTAGGTCCAGTCGTGACCGACTCTGGGGTTGCGGCGCTCATCTCGCTCTATGGGCTGAGGGAGCTGGTGTACAGCTTCTGGGTCATGTGGCCAGCATGACATTTTAGGCCCTTACTATTGCTAAGGATCACTGCAGATGGTGACAGCAATCACAAATTAAAAGATGCCTGCTTCTTGGGAGAAAAGCAATGACAAACCTAGACAGCATCTTAAAAAGCAGAGACATCACCTTGCCAACAAAGGTCCATAGTTAAAGCGATGGTTTTCCCAGTAGTGATGTATGGAAGTGAGAGCTGGACCATAAAGAAGGCTGATCGCTGAAGAATTGATGCTTTTGAATTATGCTGCTGGAGGAGACTCTTGAGAGTCCCATGGACTGCAAGAAGATCAAACCCATCCATTCTGAAGGAAATCAGCCCTGAGTGCTCACTGGAAGGACAGATCGTGAAGCTGAGGCCCCAATACTTTAGCCACCTCATGAGAAGAGAAGACTCCCTGGAAAAGACCCCGATGTTGGGAAAGATGGAGGGCACAAGGAGAAGGGGACGACAGAGGACGAGATGGTTGGACAGTGTTCTCAAGGCTACCAGCATGAGTTTGGCCAAACTGCAGGAGGCAGTGGAAGACAAGAGTGCCTGCGTGCTCTGGTCCATGGGGTCACAAAGAGTCAGACACAACTAAACAACTAAACGACAACAACAACATTGCTAAGGAGGTGGTGGTGTGGAAGCACATTGCACTCCCAGTTCAATTCCTAGCCTGAAGGGGCTGGAATAAAATCTATTTATCTCCCACCTGTCTCTTTGATGCAGACTCCTACAGATGAAGTTGGTTGTATCTCATGCCAGCCCCTAACTCTTCTAACCGCAGAGCTATATTGTCCTCCAGTTCAGTGAAGCACATCATCTGCCACCGGGGTAGACAATGCAGTCCCCTCCAGGTGTTGTTAGACTCTGGTTCCCATCAGCCCCAGCCAGCATGGGCAATGGTCAAGGCGGTGGGAAGTGTAGTCTAAAAACTTCTGAATCACACCATGTGGGGACCCCTCAGTCTACAATCATAGTCATATTTACAAATGCATTTGGATTTGGATTTGAGCTTCCCACTGTGGCTGAGCTCCACGTGGATCCAACGGCCACTCAATAATTGCCAAAGAACTTGTTGAATTTGTTCTATCTTCGGGAAAACTTCGAGCAGCTTGCATATGTGAAGGAGCTTAACTCGTGTGTGAATTTTATGACAAGTGAGAAAACCCGTGTTCATTCGACGTTTGCAAAGCCAACAGCAGGGTCCAAGAATAGAGTGAATGGTTGTACACCGAAACTTCTGTATGCTTGCCTAACAGCACAAACTAGCACGTGTTTACTTATGACCGGAATAAGTCCTGTTTATTTATTGGGATTCTGTCCATAGGATAACAGCCTAGGATTCTAAAGTGCATCTTTGCCTCAGATTCAGGGAAAGCTCACACAATATACAGTGAAAAAGACTCAAATTGCTATCTTTAGGCTCCAACTCTGTGTTAATGCTCAAAACTGTAGCTCAGGGAGGGGGAACTTGTGGCCCTCCCCACCACTGCATTATCCCAACAGCCCTTTTCAGATCGCAAAAGCCACTTCAGTGTGTCTAATTGAGATGAGTGAAGTGGAAGTACTTGATCCTTTCCCCACCAGCTGTTTCAGTTTCCCACAACTCCCCACCCCCACCGTTGGAATTCTCCCACTCCTGCAAGGTTTTAAATGTGTCCCCTCCCCACTGCTTTCTATTATGGAGAGGTCCCTCTGTTCATATGACTTTGGGCTCTGCACTGATATGTGACAGACTTTCTACCCCTTGTATTTCATGGTTTGGGGACTATTTACAAATGACGTGTGAGTGTGTGTGGGGGGTGCTGGTATAGGTGCATGGTAGATACATACAGCAATGGAAAATAACAGTTCATGCACCCAATGAGCTGTGAGCTACTAAATGAAAACTCATGAAGGTGTTTCCCCCCCTGCTGCTGCTCTTGTTGCTACAACAGACTAACACACCTGCTGCCCCCGTGCAGTGTTATATTAAGCCACGTTGCCAATTATCAGCCTTAGCTAACGGAAGGAGGAAGAAACCAGCTGTAATTAAATTAAGCACAAAAATAGATGTTGCTGCACACAACACATTAAGCACAACCAGTGCTATTTTTATAGAAAAAAAGGGTGATGGAACTCACCATGAACACCTCCCTTGTTCTCTTAGAATGGCAATGGCGCCCACTTGAATGGTGCTGAAACTGAGTTCCAGTGAGTTCCAGCTGAAAAAAAGCCTTGAGCACAACATATAACAACCCTTGGTGCAGCATCTTCTTGTACCTTTACAAAGGATGCACAGGAGTTACAACAGAGCAGCTCGTAGGCATCTATCTGTTGCTATGAATTATGGCTTTATGAGTGGGAACAATTTCCATCCACTGGCCTACTGCATGAGGGTCTTGGGAAGAGATCTAGAGACGACCTGCATTGTTTGAAATCATTGTTTTTGCTGCTTTTGCTGTGTACACCCCCCCTTTACAATAAAAGAGATTTTTTTGGGGGGGTCACACTGAGTGAGTTCCCCTATCGCCACCTTTGAAAGGAAACAGATCTCTAACCAGGACTGAAGCCCCCTTGATTATAACCTTATGCAGAAGCATCAAAGTATTCTAGGACAAGTGAAACAAGCAACAGCTGCTATTTTTTTATTATGTCATTTATCGAAAGTAATTTTTTATCAGTGATTTTTTTTTTTTACAGTGTAACATCACCAAAGAAATAAAAGACAAAAAGAAGTTGACAATGAGGAAGAACGTACAAGATGAATACAATGCCATATTTTGTTCAAAGTTCTGATTAGATGTTGGGAATTTATAACACAGAGTATAAATACGTTCTCTTTCAAGACTGATTTGTTTCTTCTGAAGAAAGTGTTGCAGGTATGTCATCAAGAACCCCAGCTTCTGAAAAATAAATAAAAATTAGAAGTGTATGCTTGTGAAAGACAGGAAACAATAAGTGCTCGGAGACAAATCTATAAAACTACAGTTCACTTCCAAAGCAATTATTATACAAGTCAAGGCACTCGAACTCACTTAACACCTCCAAAAAGAAATAAAAACAATACGTCATTCCTTTCTTATGGTTTCATTCGACTGTTTGTAATTATGTATGGATGTAATTTTGATATAGGCATGTGTTGGGGTTCAAATCAGTGATGGGAAACCTATGTTCTAACATAGAGGCAGCTAACCTTTGGTTTTCAAAGTGTTGCTTCCATCATATTGACCTAGGTGGCTGGAACTGAGCGGAGTTGCAGTCTAACAACACCTGGAGGACCACAGCTTCCCTTGCTTAAATACATGGCAAATTCTAAATATGCTTCTCTTCTTGTACTGTTGCATGAGGCTGGTCATCCATGAACATTTTCACCTGTCAATGAATGTGCTTTTCTTCCCTTATTGAGAAAGCATTGTGTGGCTTTGACTCAAAGGTCCCTTCATTGACAGAAGCACTACCATCCGATTTGCAATTACAGTGCCTGCCTTTCATCTTGCTGTTATTATTCTCTCCTTGTACGAATAATTTTCTACCTATATGGCTCCCTTTGTATGGGGGAAAAAATCACACAGCCTAAAAGCCGAAAGAAATTCTGGAAAGATGCAAAACCCCATTTATTTCACCTGCAATTTTCCTGTAATAATTAAGAAGCCATTCAGCACTGAGAAAGTGTGTGTAAGAAACAACAGGTTTGTTTGTTCCAGAGTTAGAATGCTCCAAAAAGAAGGCCTTGTTCCATGTCCAACCAAACCAGGAAGATCAATGGGATGGAGCAACTGCCCCATGAGGAAAGGTTACAACATTTGGGCCTTTTCTGGTTTAGAGAAATAGCTAGAAAGGGGGCACATGACTGAGATGTATAAGATTAAGCATGATGTGGAGAAACAAGGCAGGGAGAAGTTTTTCTCCCTCATAATACTAGAACTCAGGGACATGTAATGAAGCTGAAAGTTGGAAGAGATAGGATAGACAGTAGAAACTACAGTGGTACCTCGGTTCTCGAACGTCTCCGTTGACGAACGTTTCGGAACCTGAACACCAAAAACCTGGAAGTGGATGCTTCTGTTTCCTAATGCGTCTCGGAAGTCGAATGGCTTCCACTGCGTGTTTTTCAGTTTTCTCAACTGAATCTGCAGACAGCCCTTTGCGCCTTGGTTTTCAAATGTTTTGGAACTCGGACGGTCTTCCGGAATGGATTACATTCGAGAACTGAGGTACCACTGTACCTCTTCACACAGTGCATAGTTGAGCTGCAAAATTTTCTCTCACCAGGTGAAGTGAGAGAAACTTGGATGGCTTTAAAGGAGGAATAGACAATTCATGGAGGATAAAGCTGTCAGTGGGCTATTGGCTATGTCCTACCTCCACTGTCAGAAGCAGCATGCCTCTGAATACAAATTGCTCTGAATCAGAAGAGGGAGACTCAGGTCCTGCTTGCAGGCTTCCTATAGGCATCTGGGAAGAGGATGAGCCTTTGGCCTGATCATGCAGGGCTCTACTCATGTTCTCACCTGCTTTGGAGCAGATCTGGAGTGCACACAAGGAAAGGGGGGGATCCTGTTGCTTGAGTGGGATGCTGCTCATGGAATATGGGTTACAATCCTCTGTAAGGATTATGTTAATTTTCATATTACAAAACGGTTTGAAGTGAAAACAGGTTTACTAACCTTTAAGGTGTAAGTATGTCAAAAATTCAATTACCATACGCAAAACATTGTCATCGGTCAGTGGTCTTCCCAAAATACCTAGAAAATATTAGTTAGGTATTACTAAATTTGCTGTTCATTTAAAATAATTAAGGTGAAGAAGGAGATACATATTGGCAGTAATATAATATACATTAGGATATAAAGGGTTTGGTTTTTTTCTCTCAGGCTGATGAAACAATGTTGGTTATAGGTCTACCTATGTTAACCAGCTTCTGTAATCAGTGGCACTCAGTTTCCAGTGGAAAGAAGCTTTTCCTCTAGTTTAAAGTATCTTTTAAAAAGAATATTTCATTTTCAAATGCACTAAGAATAAAAAGGGGTGATGCAATCCATACACCAGTTGATTGACTGGCCTTGCCGAAACCTCTAGACTCCTGAAATCCTGCCCAGACCCCCCCCCCCTGTAAAAGTTTGGAATAAAGGCTCTCGTTAGAATCTAGAAATGTGCCAAAGGATGTTTGGTGGGCAGCTGTTCAGATATCACTGGATATAAACTCCTCAGTAAGTACGAGAAGGGGGTCATTTCATTACCTGCTTTTGTATTTCCTTCAAGCTGTATGTCACGTTTACCAGCTAGACCAGGCTGGGTATTAAAAACTTTGTCAATTGCACCTGTTAACAAATGAGAGAGGTTTCATTCATTCTGTAATGCTTACTAGAGTAGCCTGAGATTCATAGACGTCACCACACCAGGTAAAAAGATTTCAGCTTTGAACAAGAACGTGAAAGACATTTCCTGATGGGATGGTGAACAGCAAATGAATGGAAAGAAGCATTCCACTTAAACAGTCACACCAGCTGTAAACCAATGCATCACTGGCAAACAACTGCAGCACCACAGTGTCATAGATGATGATGTGGTGGTGGTGAAGCTATTGGTATAACACGTCCCAATGACTTTATGTGTCCCTTCAGCCAAATGTGGAACTGAGCCATTAGCAAGGAATTCGAAAGGCGTCTCCTGAACCATCTCTGATTCAAAGCCCTTGTTTGTCTTTTCCTGAAAAGCCGTGACTAAAAGAGTTGAGCATATCTGGGTGCAGTCTTGGGCTCATTGTGTCCAATTTAGAAAATGTCGTTGTACTGTAAAGACTTAATTGAACAAAAAACACCCTGGTGGTTATCACCAATTGAAGATTCGTTACTCAAACCACTTGGCAAAAAGGGGAGGTGGCCTACATACAGAGATTTACTGAGGGACCAAGAAGGAAAGTGGAAATTAAAAGACTATGAGGAAATTAAAGAACATTTTCAGAGTTGGTTACATTACAGACAATTACGTGAGATGTATAAGGAAGATAGCAAGAAAGGGTTTAGTTATACAACTTCTAGATTTCAAAAGGAAGTTATAGAAGAAGAAGTGAAGCTGTTGAAGAAAGCATATAGTATTTTGCTAGAATGGGAGACAAAAGATTAGGAGATTAAATCAGTTATGATTAAATGGGCACAGGATATAGGACATAACATACAATTTGAGGGCTGGGAAAAATTGTGGAAAGTAAATTTGAAATTTACAGATTGTTCTCTTTTGAAAGAAAATTATATGAAAATGATGTACAGATGGTATATTACACCAGTACAAATAGCAAAAATGTAAAAAACTGGATCAAACATATGTTGGAAATGTAAAGAAAAAGAAGGTACTTTTTACCATATGTGGTGGGAATGTAGAGAGGTTAATTTTTGGGGGGAAATGATAAATAATTAATTGGAAAAAATGTTTAAAATGACATTTGTAAAAAAGCCAGACGCATTTTTGTTGGGGATTGTAGGACAAGACCTGCCAAGAAAAACAAAGAACTTATTTATGTACGCTACAACAGCGGCAAGAGCCTGGTTAGCACAAGGATGGAAGAATGAAGAAACCCCAATGAAAGAACAGTGGCAAGAAAAATGGATGAACTATGCGGAATTGGCTAAATTGACATATAAATTACGTGAGAAGGACAACTTTGACTTCAAAGAAGAGTGGGGACTTTTTACAAATTACTTAAAACAACAACAAAAGGAATTGGACTCCTTGGACGGTTTTGAATAAACATCCACAAATTTAGTAGATGAACATATGATAGATTAAGTAACGATACGTACATTATTTAACATGCAGAGAATAACATAGGTATACAAATCAGAGAGAGGAGCTGAGGGAAGTCTGTGGAGGGGAAGGGAGGGAGGGAGGGATAGGGAGGGGAATAAGGAAAAAATGGGGGAACAATGTAATTGATTATTTGTTTTGAAATTTGTTTGTGGAAATTGTTCAATAAATTTTATAAAAAGAAAAGAAAAGAAAATGTAGTTGTACTGTTGCTTCCTTTGGTTTTAAGTAGCGAGTTGTCAGTTAGTTTGCTTTGACAGTAAACTGCAGTTAGTTTACACGAATAACCTCCAAAAGCCATCTTACGTTCCCCAGGTGGCTCTTCTGTCCCCTTTGCGCGGGACATTTTCTTGAGGATCTGAGCAACACGACCTGAAACAGATTATGGCTATTACCCAACCTTAGAAAAAACGGAACTTTGATCAGTAGATCTCCTTTCTATGGAATGGAGATTTGGCTGTCTGCACAGCCTCTTCAGTCACTGTTTATCTGAAGCCAACACAAACAAATAAAACATTCTTAGTAGAGGTATTTAGGCACTGTTTTTAAAACTCTTGTATTATGCTTTACCCCTTGTAAGTAAAGACACCCCTCTTGTGTCCTTGAAAGTAATTTCTACAACATACGGACGGATAGCTATAATCTAACATATTGGGCAATTATGAAAAGGTGTATTGAACACACCCAATAAGCAGCAAAGGTGTGAAGCTTGCATTCTGAAAATGTCACTTAGTTAAATACAGCTCCGTTATGAGTGAAGCAGCTGGAGGTTACTAACAGATGTGTAGAAAGGGAACCTTGGGCTGTATTCAGTTAAGCTTTACTTAGAGTCGACCCACTGAATTTAATGAGCACAGCTAGGTTAGGTCTATTAATTTCAGTTGATCTGTTCCAGGGATGTCCAACAGGTCGATCGTGATCTACTGGTAGTGTTAGGAGTCATTCTGCAAAGAAACAGAAAGGATGACTGTAACTTTAAGAACCTTTTCTGTGAGTTCTGGGAGTGGTTTTCTAGGCTGATTAGGTACAGCTGGTGATGACTACAAAAGGAGGAGAAGTTGCAGTTTGAATTTGCCTGCAGAGAGAGAGAACACCTGCATGCTTTTTGTTTGTTGTTTTGTATAGCTGTAATAAAACCTTTGTTTGTTTTACACCAGTTTCGTGGTTCTGTTGTCTGCCACCAGAAGAAAAACCCCCCTCTAACAGGAATAGAGCCTTGCATGATGAGTGCCAGCATTTGTGGCATGGTCATTTGGGGCATGCCAATTTCCGCAGTTTTGCGAAAATGCCAGAATTAAGTAAGGGAATTAAAATGAAAAAAATGTTCAGTTTTTCTGGACTGCAATACCTGCAAGGAGTCTAAAAGTAAGTGGGGATCTTAACCTGAAAGTAATAGAATTAGCAAGAAGCCATTTGCTTTATTACATCCAGACCTTTGTGGGCCATTTGCAGAATCTGAAGGAGGAGCAATGTTTTTTCTGGTTCTTGTGGATGATTATAGCCGGTATACTTGTTAAAACACAAAAGTGAAACTGGTCAACTGATTAAAAATTGAGTCAACTATATAGAAAGGCAGTTTCCCTACAAAGTTACCCAACTGCAGAGTGACCGCGGAGGCGAGTTCATGTCTGAAGCCTTCCATATATGGTTGAAAAAAACGTGGTATTAGTCACCATAAATTGTGTCCTTTTTCACCCGAAGAAAATTCAGTTGCAGAACGCAAGATAAGGTCTTTACAACAATGCTAGTTTCTATGTTATGTGATTCTGGCTTATCCAGGAAGTTTTGTGGGGAAGCAATTCTCTGTGCTAATTACATACAGAACAGATTGTTTCATTCTACCACAAACAATACCCCTCATTTTTTTGCTTTATGAAAAAAAAACTTTTTTGGACCATGTTAAAACTTTTGGTTGTTGGGCTTGGGTTCACATCCCAAAAGGACAGAGAAGGAAAGGAGTTCCCAAGGCAAAGAGACTTAGATTTGTTGGTTATCAAAGTTGGTCAAAAGTGTATCGTTTTGCACTAGGGCTTGGCAGAGTTGTAATATCAAGACATGCAGAGTTTTATGAGTAAGATGGTTGGGCTCATTTACATGGAAATTCAGAGGTTGTTTTATTTTCAGATGATACAGATAATTTTGTGAAATCTGAGGAAGAAAAGCCACAAATTAAAGAAAGTTATGAAAGTGATAGTGATGAGGAATCAGGGGATTAGGGTTCCAGTACACAATCTCCTAAAGCTGAACCAATTTCTCCTGATCAAGATGAATTAGAAGGGGAAGATAGTTCAGAGGGGGAAAGTGTTCAAGTTTGAAGATCACAAAGAAGCAATAAGGGGGTACCTCCAGAAAGGTTTACTATACAAGAAGTTAAAACTGTTGATGTGAAGAAAGAACCTCATGATTATAAGGAGGTTTTAAAGTTACCACACCAGGAAATAGTAATGTGGGGAAATGCAATGAGAGCAGAAATGAAATCTTTGGCAGAACATAATGTGTTTACTATTGAGCCATTGCCAGAAGGAAAAAAGACAGTGGACTGTAGATGGGTGTATAAAATAAAACACTTGGCAGATGGTAGTGTTAAGTACAAAGCTAGTCTGGTAGCACGAGGCTTTACGCAAAGAAAAGGTGAAAGTTTTGATGAAACCTTTTCTCCTACTGCAAGGAGTGAAAGTGTACGTTTATTGCTAGCTATTGCAGCACAACATGGGTTTAAGGTAAATCATTTTGATATTGAAACAGCTTATCTTGAACAGCTTAAATCTGCATGAAGAAATTTTTATGAATCAAGCACCAAGATTTGAGGCAGGCAAACAGAATTCTGTATATAGGTTACACAAAGCAATCTATGGGCTCAAACAATCAGCTAGAAATTGGAATGAGTGTCTTGATAATGCTTTAAAAAATATTGGCTTTAAAAGAAGCTTAGCTGATAATTGCTTGTACACTAAAGGAAAGGGTGATAAACAAAAATCACTACAAACCAGAGCCTCCCCGAACTTGAATCATGGGAAGTCTCAACAAAAAAATTATAATTTAGGCAAAAAAATTATAATTTAGGCAGAATATTTGGACTATTTGATATGTATTTGTATAATCTGGAACATTCAATGTGATTTGATTGGATTGTTAAAATGGGAAACTTAATAAAAATGATTTTTAAAAAAATCACTACAAACCAGCACTTTAAAACTTCATGATGGGAGGAAAGAGAGATGCCATCATTTGGAAGAAGGCTGCCTGGATTCTCAGGAATGAGTGAGCAAACTGAATCAATACTGGAGGAAAAAGCAACCATGGGACTTTTGAACCTTACTGTGAATTTTGTCCCCTGGCACCTAACCACTTCAATCGCTTTACCCTCTTCTCTACCAAAATTACCTGTTCATGGATAACAAAATTATTTCCCCAAGCTGAAGTATAGTATCTACATAAAGCACTTATCATGGGCACAATCTAGGTAAAGTCCTATTCGAGTACACTCAGTGGGATTTAGGAACATAGGGAGCCGCTTAATATTGAGTCTGATTATTAGCCCCTCTTGCTCAGTATAGTCTACAATAGCTAGCTGCAAGTTATCAGGAGATCAGGCAGGGCTCTCTCCCAGTCCTAGCTGGCGACTGAATCCAGAACCTTCAGCATGCAAAGCAGATGCCCTTTCATTAACTTTGCTGGACTGGGCCTCAGTTGTTTGTAGACAGTCCAAAATACATTGTCTTCTCAACAACAGTAAGCAAAGGAAAGTAAAAAGATGTGGACTCCAAAGCAGAAGATACAGTTTTCCAGCATAGTATTAGTTTGGCATATTTATTCCAGGAAAGTTGATAACCACATTCAGAGATACTAGTATGTATATTTAATATTATCTGTAAATGGCATGGCTTCGGAACTGAAAGATGAGCTTTCAGATAAAATTGGTTTACTCTCATGATTCAAGCGCAGTGATAAGAGTCATAATTCCTGCAAAGCACTCCACTGTAAATAGGTTACAATAAACACCAGAGAGCACTAACTGAGTGATTTAGTACTGTCACCCGCCACAAGCTGGGAATGAGAGTTAGTATGGGATATTGCATGTATGCTCATGTATAGTATGCGATGAGCTTTAGAAACCTCGGGATGTTACTTTTCTGTAATTTGATTGTCTTCAAGTAATATAAAACATTTGGACTTACTTGGACCAAGCAGATAACCAGCACTATTCACAGTCCATCCCCTTTTCTCTTTAGCCTTGCAGAAGGAAAAATTGTGAGATTATTATTTTTTCACTTATTACTGCCACACAGTTTTTCTTGTAAAATACAGAAATACCAGCCAAGGAAATCACACATTGATCATGTTTCATAATATATATTTAAACCTGTTTTCTTGAATGTAAGTGTAATCTATAATATATAACTATATAATATTTATAGTGTTGTTTGAATAGTATAATTGAATTTTAAGGATAAATTACTATATAGCTAAAATAAAAAAAATAAGTAAAGTAAATGATTTGTTACAGGGTTTCATCCCTCATACTTTGTACTCTCAGGTTACTCTGGAGTTGACTTCATCAATTTCAAAAGAATTTCCTTCCAGAAAAGTAAACTTGGGACTGCACCCAGCTTGACATTAATGTCTCAGTAAGAAGCAACTCACATTCTCCTTGCTGTTAAACTGTTTCAAAAGATTTACACCACTTTCTCTGGGATTCCTATGCTCTACAACAAATCACTTGCTTCTCTCCAGCTGGAAAAGATCAACTCTTGGAAAATACAATTGTTATTCCCCCACTTTCCTTCCTGCCCCTGAAATGGGGAGGGAAATTTGTTCCACCACTGTAGGAAAACCATTGCAGAGAGATGACATTTTAGAACTGGCAACTGTGGAGAGGTGACCAAGAAATGCAGAGGGGCTTTACTACATTCCCAAAGCACACCTTCATGCCAGACAACAGAATTCCACCAATCCATCATACCTGAAAGGACTGTACTATATAATTGTGATGGAAATTCCAAAAAATCACTACACACCACCATCACTCAAAAACCTCAGGATGACACTGGGGAGAAAACAGGGATGCCATCCTTTGTAAGAAGGCTGTTTGGATACTCCGGAATAAATGAGTGGCTATACTGCATCAATACTGGAGGGAAAAAACGACCGTGTGAACACACTTTCTCTTGCACTGATCCAAGAGCAGGCTTCTGAAATTTACCGTGAAATTTGTCCCCCACCCACCCTTCACCACTTACACATGATTATTGTAGACGGAGAGTAGTGTAGAAAGCAGAAAGCGACAATACTCACGGATAACACCAGCCCGAAAGTCTCTGAGACGGCAGCGCAGAAGATCAAGGAGGCAAAGAGGAGACAGGTACACCTCTGCATCTGAAAGGAGACCAAAACGCACTGAACCCCTCTGCCTGCCTGCCCCTGTCAGCTGGGGGGTTTCAGACACCCGCTTCCCTTCTTACCACCCCATAATGCCAGGAGGAAGAAAGTAAAGGGGAACGAGCGATGTTCTATCTACAGATTTTATATAAACACGCGCGCGCACGGCGGGTAGAAGAACTCAAAGACGCGCGTCAAAAGTTGTAGCCAAAGATGGGGAAGGCGCATGAGGTCACGAACGCAGCGCGACAGTAACTTGACAGTACCTTGCCGTGCAAAGTGGTGTCCGATGTGTGTCGAGGTGGATCCTGGCGAGCGGTAGGACGGTGGTCCCCAAGGGCTGCTGGCTGATCTCCTGTGGGAATCTTCCTCACTCAGTCCCTGCGTAGATCCCGCAAGCGGGGAGCAGGAGGAGGAGGAGCTTGCGGAAGAAGCGCTGGGGAGGCGGGGTGGTGGTCCGAGTGGTACCCAAGCCTGCCCGATCCGCGCTATTTATGAGCCTCGCCGGAGCTGCTTGCCTCTTTCCCCCCGGGGAGCCTGGAGAGCCGCCCACCCCCCTGGCCATTTCCCCTCGCCGAGGCAGTGCATTAGGAAGGGCAAAAAATTACAGCAATTCAATTAGAGGCATTTGGAGGCAAGATGTAGGCTGCAGATGGATAACAGCCCGGCCAATTACCTTTCATTACGCTCGGCTTCGCCACCGTGGAAAGAGGTCTGCTTAGGTAGCCTGGCGGCCTCCTCCTGCCCGGTTCCCTCGGGCAACTTCACACAAGTTCTTTGCTGCTGTTGGAGGAGCAGGGAAGTGGCGGCGACGGAAACGGAACCGCGAGCCGGATGGGAAAGGGGAATCTCTCTTTTCCTCCTCCTCCACTACCCTTCTCCTCCTCCAAGGATTCACAGACTGGTCAAGTCAGCTGCAAAGGGGTGGATTTTCAGCCTCATCTCTTAGAGCCCCATCTCTCTTTCAAAACCTCCCAACACTTTCCCCTTTAGAGTCCCTTGAATCGGCAAGAAAAGCAGTTTGCTGTCTTTGGACATCCAGCTTGCTGTTATTAAGACGGAAGAAGTCAACTTTGTTTAGTGTGGAGTTTAGACTGGCCCTTTATTGCCTGCCGTTGTCTCCCCGACGGTTTTCTTTGGAGCAAAGCTCACTAAAGACTTACATTGCCTCTTCGTTTTATTGCGGTTAAGCCAGAAATTCATTTGACCCAGGGCTACTTGGTGCCTTTAAAACAGACGACCTTGTTTACAAATGAAACGTACAAGTTGCGCAGGCGTTATGGAGCTGCCGTCGGGTTGTGTTAGTCGTCCTGGCAGACAATGCAAAACTGGTTGTAGCCTCTGCAGGGGATGGAGGTATTCCTGCAGTCAAAAGGTTTTGGCCCATAAAAAATAAAATCAAAAATTCATACTGGGAGAATACCTTCCTTCCTTAGGCCAACCAAAATATCATAAAATATTGTTCAAGTTTTCATGTTCTCAGTGGCGTAGCGTGGGTTGTCAGCACCCGGGGCAAGGCAAGTAATTTGTGCCCCCTAACCTGTGGATTTGCGCCCCCTAACCCTAACCCCCAGATGTTGCGCCCGGTGCGGCCGGCCCCCCCTGCACCCCCCACGCTACGCCACTGCATGTTCTCCAGAATTCTTCTCTGGGCTAAATGAGGGAACAAGTGTTGGGAGGCAGAAGAAATAGTTGGCTGGTGAAGCACATTGCATCTTGTAAGAGCCTTAAGATGAAATTTACAGTAATTTTACTGTTTCTTTACAGTGACCTATGCACATAGCAACACACACTTGCACACACAACTGCACACAGAGACAAACACACGCAGTGGTGTTTAGTATGGTGAATCAGTTCATTTGAATTGTCAGAATGAGTTGCATACCAAAATGTGCTCATTTAAAAGGTACAAGAGGAACTTGCTAAATTCTGGCATTGTTGCATTTCATTCTCTGAAACTCGAGGTTTCAGGGTTGAATTGTGTGAGAAGCCACATTTCGAGCTTTGTATAAACTTGGAGACTGGGGTACCACATCCAAGAACAGGGCACTGATCCAGTCTAGCACTGATCTTACTCTGCATATCTGGTGGCTCTTTCCTCATCAACAAAGTTAGAATAGTGTCTTATTGGGACTTTGAAAATAATAAAGCAACAGGGGATATGATTCAAGCAGACTGAGACCAAATGCTGTGGCAGAAACATACACATAAATGGTTCAGTAAAGCTGTGTGTTGATTTTTATAAAGTACAATTTCCCCCTTCATAAATGAAACCATTTTTGTTATAACTTTTTTTGGGGGGGTCCTGCTTTTTTATCATTCAAAAAAAGGAACAAAAGAGCATTATGCTGAAGTCTGGATTCCAGGGACATTACAATAAAAATGCTTTTGCTGTTGTTAGCTGGGCTCATTTGCTTCATCCCTACCAAAACCACTGGAACAATATGTTTTTAACCCATAACTTGAAATTGCATGATTTATGCAATTCTTTATCAATTTTTGGGTAAGATATTCTCATCTTTGTCAGCTGAGTAGATGATGAAAGCCTCTTTTACTATTAAGGACTCAGTGAAGCATTTTTGCACTTCATTTTTGACTTGCCCTATTTTTTTGTCTCAACTTGCATTGGCAGAATAGAATCAATTAAATAATTTTCTACCCATTCACCAATCGATGTATATTGTTCTCTCAATTCTGCTTGTCAAGAATATTATTTGTCCTTTTTTAACTTGCATGGTAATGACATGCTTAGTTGTGCAGGCAGAATAATTCACAATAATTCTTATACCTTTTTCTATGTTAGCATTCAAATCAGCTATTTGTCCTGATAAAATTGCAGATTAATAATTTGGGTTGTCTTTCTAATACATTTACTTCTTACAGTTGCTTGCTATGAAAAATAACTTCAGGAATTTCAGCTGAAACAACACCTTATATGGATGTTGAATGTTGTCTTCTAATAACAGTGAGGTGGGGATGGTGTGCCTCCTCCTCAAACCCTCTCTTTATTGGACATCCTTCCTGATGTTCCCCTCAGTAACCCATTTCCTTTTTCTCATCTCCATGCTTCCTCTGAGGAACCTCAGGAGATACTTTTTTGGGGGGTATGTTTTTTATTCTCTCTACCTAAAAAGGCCATAAAAATACTGGCTTTAGATATTTATCTACAAATGTAATCTGTCAGAATTCTATGTATTAAAAGAAATCAGAATGTCCCAACTTCTGTCTTTTTCTGACTCTGTAAGTGTAACTGGATACATTTCCTAAAGGCTAACTTTGCCTGAGAAGTGAATGGGTCTATAAACTGCAATCTCCCTGAATAAAGTATAAAGTATTTTTTGTGTGTGCTAATATGGCTGTCAGATATGGCACAGGCAGGCATGGTTTGAGGCAAACAGCTTTGTGAACTGAATTGGGGTCCGTGTTATGTCAAATGTGGCCTGCAGACAGGTGGTCCCTATCCCAAATTTCAGAACTTAATGTGGAAGGTGAATGATCCTTTAATTGCAATGAGAATGATAATTGGACATAATTTACTATAATCATACCCTACCACCCTTCATGAACTTCAGAACAGCCCTGAGATGCTGATTACACTGAGAGTTTCATGGCTGAAGCTAGATTTGAAGCCAGATTTTGCAACATTCAAACTTAACACTCTAGCCACTACATAGCACAATAAGTGTCATAATGCAGATGAATAAGCACCATCCATGTCTCTTCACAAAAAGAACAATTAATTTCCTCTATATTTAGTTTAGTTTAAGAGGTTTAAAATGAATGATATTTGAAGAGTTTCTTTACACTTTTTATTTGCAACTCTCTGTAACTTGTACTTTGGGCCTGCATTGAATCATTTTCTACACCTTTTGTTGTATCCTGAACAATGTATGGTGTTTAAATAGAAAACTATATATTAAAGGCTGATACAAGCAGATGTATGGATAGCCAGTATGACTGGGTGGAAATGGCAGGATTCAGTAAAGAATTATTTTGGTGCCATCAGTGTATCTAAAAACATGGGAAGTCCCAAAGACCACAACTGCTAGGCAGTGTTAATGACTCAAACACTTACATGGCCAAGTACATGACATAGATGTGGCCAGTTCTTCCTGTTCTTTGAAGTCCTTTGAAGCTCCCTTCATTCACATTACTGAGATTTCCTTCAACTCATTATTATCCACCCATTTAGGGGCTTCAGTCAAGGCATTAGATATTTTGAAGATAGCAGTTGCACCCTGATGTGAAGATGCTGTGGACCTGCCATTTACAATTTTCTAATGCCCTGAATGTATTTCTGTATGTGATATTTATTTTATATATCATCCACAACAGCTACAGAGGCTGCCTTCATCTTTTTTTCATTTTGTCACATTTGTGGGAACAATTGTGGGTGTTTTTTTAATCAACCAGAAGCAGAGAAAATTGATGGAAAACCATGAAAATGGATGGTAATAAGGGAAGGCTCATTTTCTACATCTTTCCCAAGCCTTTGCCATTGTCTTCTCATTTTCTTGTCTAACATAGGGAAGGGGGGCAGAATGTGGATAGCCTTAGAGCTATGAATCATTTGCCCATTTTGCACCTGTAAAACAGTGTCAAACTGAGCTAAGTATTAAAATTTATGTTGAATAAAAGTCCATTTTCTCTACTAAGTTATAGAACTACCCCTTATATTTATCAGTCACTTTGGAAATCCCTTTGTTCTTATTACTCAACAATAATTATGTTCTTAACCTTAAACTACAACTATACCTATCTATCTAACCCATTCACTATTATTTGGTACACTACACTATTATCTATCTAATATCTATCTATCTATCTATCTATCTATCTATCTATGCACACATCAAAATAGCATTTATATCAAAGCCCTATTAATGTATTCTCAATAAAGTATTCAAATAAATAATGAAAGTGTATAAGGCCGAACTGAGACCTAGACTAAGGGGCTAGTTTGGATGGGGTCAGTGCTGGATTTATGTATAGACTAAGTAGGCTGAAGCCTAGGGCCTCTAAATCTAGGGGGGCCCCACCAGCCCTCCCGGTTCCCCAGTGGGCAGTCTCCACTCTCCCAAAATTGTAAACCCAAGACTTCATGAGAGGGCAGGACAACTTGGGCCTCTAAATCTAGGGGGCCTCGCCAGCCTGCCCGCTCCCCAGTGCCGCAGTCTCCCCTCTCCCAAAATTGTAAATCAAGACTTCATGCAAGGTCAGGGCAACTCAGGCCCAGCAACTATTAGGGCAAGCCAGTGGGGTCCAATTTGAAGCAGTGGGGCACAACTTGATTTTTTTTTTGTAGGGCCCCAGTTCACAGCCCAAGTCTGCAAAATCTTATAGATATAAATAAAATCCATCTAGATTGCCCTGGTGCAGGGGCCCCCTTAGGAGCGGCCCGTGGGGCCCAATTTGGCCCAATTGCTCCATTGCCTTAAGGTCAGCCCTGATGAGACTGTGCAGGGGTTGGACTGACAAGCCCTGCACCTTCTAGGTCCCTGGTGTCACCATTCAGAGTACAGACTCAAGGACTTGTTATGGAAATAAAGGGGGGCACTTATTGGAAATGAGTTTTGTCACCTCTTCCCCCCCAAACCCCAAGACAATGAGCCCAGCCACCTTTTATTCACAGTCGTATAAACACTACACTACAGCATGGCCATAAACTTTTTTATGTGTTTTAAATCAAAATTTCTTATAAAGATATTGGCCACACTGGGAGCACATTTGAAGCCCATGGCCCATGAACCGTTTAACCGCTGGATTAATAGTGTAAATCGACACTTGACCTTTGAAGGAACATCAAGTCCACATCATTTACCTTTCCTTGATCTAGAAATTAAACATTTAGTACACCGTGACCTAAACATTAGAGAGAAGAAGATAGGGAGTTGCAGGCAGTACAATTTGAGTAAGCAATATTCTCTAATCCTGAATGAACTTACTACTGATAAAAAAATTAATTATAAAACCAGCAGATAAAGGGGAAGCCATTGCACTAATGAATAAGATTGACTACATTGAGGAAGCAGAGAAACAATTAAGCAATTCAAATTTCTACTTGCCTATACCTAGTGACCCTACCACATCAGTGAAAAATAAATTACAGGTCATTCTAAATGAAGTCTTCTGTTTAAGCTATATAGATGAAGGTTTAGCTGATTTTTTATGTCCCGATGACACCAGAGTGCATAGACTAAGTTTGTCGTGCCATATGGGTCACTTTAAGAAATAAATTTTGTATCTGTGGATTGCCAACTCCTGTAACTCAAATCAATAGTGTGTTTGTCCATATAACTCTACTTTGTAACAGTTGCTGCTTATCACCATAAGATCCACTGCCATAAGATCCACTGTCCTGTTATATCACATATGGTATGTACAGTTGTTTATGGTTTTTATATTATTCCTTCTGTAAAAATGTGTGAGATCACGATTTTGTACTTATTTGCATTACCTAGAACTTGTACTACTGAAGAAGCCCAGGATGGCGAAACAAGGCTAATATTCCGGAAATCTTTGTCTTAGAGTCTGTGAAAGGATTCTGTGGAATTGTAACAACCTTTCATGTGGATTGTTTGGACTTTATGGACACAGGTGGAATAGACACTAATACATGTATGGACCTTATGCATGAACTGATTAGAGAATGAACTGATCCACTGGGTCTTCTGCTTTTTTAATTGAACTTTATGAGTTACTTTCATTGAAATTTACAATATGATACATGAATAGTATACTTTATTTATGCAAAAAGTACAGTCGGTTACGTCTCGTGTATCTATTGAGTATGTTTTACGTAACCAGAGGTTTGATGTTGTTTTTAAAGCAGGTAACCAGCAGGGAATGATTCAGCTCAGCCTTTGCACTGTTGACTGAACACCCCCTGCTGTTCAGATAATGGAGAAAGCTCATAAATTGTATCCCTTCCGGCATCCTGTCCAACTCTATTACGCTGGTGTAAACCCTGGTGCACCAGAAGCACAGAATAGCAGCAAATAAAATCTGTTCATATGTCAGCAACTGATAAGACTTATCAACCAGTTCTTCCAAAGTCTTCCTAAATTATAAAGCTCCAAAATGCAGGCCAAAAGAGAGGTCTGGGAAGAGTGAGGCATACAATGGGCACCACCAGCGAAAAGGCACTGCTCCATGTAACTCATGTGCTGTCATTTGATAGAGTGCCCACTTGCCCTCCTTCTAGTTCCAGGCCTGCCCAGGCCATAACCCCACAAAAGGTTTACAAAGTTCAGTTGTTGCAAAAGTTTTCAGTGTTAATTTTATGCATTTTTTAAAAATCACCATGGTATTTAACAATATATTATGTCCTTTAGAGGAGAAATTGTGAATTGTAGAATTTTAAATACCCGTCATCATCCTTGGGTTCACTCAATTTTGTTTATAACACTCTTCCATTTTCTTCTAGTTGTGAGGGTGGGGGATGGGGAGGGGCCTCACAAGTGGAGTAGCCTAGGGCCTCTCTTCATCTAAATCTGGCCCTGGATGGGGGGGATGTGTACATTTGGTAAGGCTGATGTGTGGGTTCAACTCACCTGCCCAGCAAGCCACCCACACTTCAGCTCTGTTCTCTGGGCAGCACACAAGAGCCTGATGACTTCATCAACAAGCTTCTTTATCAATTCCAAACTTAAGAAATATTAACTCCTGAAAAACTACATTGCATACTGAGAGGAGCACACTGCCCCATCTTCCTGAGTAAGCCAAGAAGATTGACTTAATAAACCAATAATATGCACAAGCTAAGTGCTGATGTTTGCATCCTGATTGCTCCGACTTTGCTTCTCCCTTGGCATGAGTGGGTAAAATGCCCCTGTATGCTTCATAATTTATATGAAGCTGCTGAATGAGGTCATCAGAGGATACGTAGCTCTCTTTTCCAGCTGGGTCAGGCGAGGCAGAAAAAGTAATGGTACAGTGTTAGGTACAACAGACCTATCAGTTGAGGAGGGTGATATGCTGACTGAAGCCCAGCCTGGATGATCTATCAGAAATTACCCATGTTCTAGGAACCTCCAAGTAGGGTTACTGCAATGTGCTCTACATGCAGTAAGTCCAGAATCCTGAGATTCATTTGCTAAACAAGGATAGGCAAAGAGATCACAACTTGCCTGTATTAAAACAACTCTGCTGGCTGTCTATGAGCTTCTGAACTTAATTTAGAAAGTTTTTAATTTTAATAAAGATTTTAATTTTTAAAAGCTTTATACAGCTCAGAACACAGGCATTTTTGGGTTCACCTCTCATATCAGTCCACCTGTCCACTGAGGCCTCTCGCTGGGTGCTCCCACCATGAGAAGTATGGCGGGTGTTGACTAGACAAACTTTTCTGCCTGCCTAGAGACCTCATTACTATCAGGCAAAAGCATTTGTTTTCCCAGGCTTTTAAGAACTGCTAAACATTATTTAACTTAGAATAGTTTTAGTTAACTGCTAAACATTATTTAACTTAGAATAGTTTTAGTTTACCATCTATTCAAATTTATTGTTGCTGTTTTAGCTTATTTTAATTTACTGCTTTTGTCTGCCTGCATTATTATTATTATTATTTAATTGTATTCCCCCCCCCCCAGTATTCTATAAGACCCTGGGAACATAACTCTATGATGAAGGTGTGGGGTATAAATTATGTCAATAATTATTATGTTTTTCTGGACAAAGTAGGGATATTTAGGACAAAATTCAATTGGGGAAAAAATTAACTGTGACTGTTGAGACACCATTTAATTCAGGATTAGAAATGGCATAATTTATAAAATATTGAAAAACAAGGGCAAGCTACATGTCACATGTCATTCAGGGCTTAAGTAGTGCTAAGGGACTATTCCTGAAAGCAGTTTCTTTGACAGACTAGTTCTGGAACATGTAAAATGATATTTTAATGCTTTGTGCTTAAGGATAAACTTAACTGCACTGGAACCTATTTCTCTCATGTTATGGCAAGGATCAATGTTTCTCCTGCACCCGCAAGCTAGCCAGACAGGTAAGTATTTACCAATGCACATGGAAAGTGTATTTCCCTTACTGTATAACTGTCTGAGCACAGCTAGCCTCTGTACTTGGATCTCTGAAAACTGGAGAAGAGCATGGCAGGCTACCAGGAATCTGGAACAAGAGTGCTCCTACTAGGAGAAGATGCACAGCACTGCAGCATTTTGTTGCAGGTCCTACCTCTATCCACTAACTAATTATCAACTAGGTGATCAAGTGTCTATCAGTCTGGAAGCAAAAAAGATCATGTAAAAAAAGGTACTGATTCTACATACATGGGGGACCCCCAGGTGTGTATGCATAAATACATAAGTTTGTAAATTAACAGGGGTAAATAGATCCCTACCAATGCCAAACAACCCAGTGAGGACTGAGCATGTTGGCTGACACATTGGTGTTCCTTTGGGAGGAAGGGTAGGATACAAATCTAATTTTTAAAAAACAAAAAAAAATAAAATTTAAAATGTACACAATGCAACATTACATTGCTATTTCCTGAATTGTGTTTCCCATGCAAGCACTTTGAATTACACGCACTAGAGGCTTGGGGAAGCCTATGGTAGCATAGACTCAAATCTCCTACATCAGAAAGGCAGCAACAGGATTAGGGCTGGCTGAAGACATTTATTGGCTGTGGGTGCCATTTTGCTCTCTCTCTGACACTCCACAGCCACAGCCTTAGAGGGGAATGAGGCTCAGTAGGATTAGTGGCAGGATGCTGTGTAATATATTGGTGCTCTCCCTGGTCCCCGCGCCCAGGGAAGTTGTCTGAGGGGATGCCAATGATGATGGCGGAGTCGCCGCCTGCCTTCAACCTCCACCAGCGCCCTCGCCCACCGAATTCTCCTGACGACATAGGCACGTGCTGGCGGGGGAGGCCCGGCGTGAGGTGAGTTTGAACTCCAACGGACAACCGCCGTCCGCGGACGAAAGCCGCCGGGAAGCGGAAACGGCCGTTTGCCTGCCGGAGCTCGCCGCTTTCAGGGCGGGGAAGAGACCGCTCAGCCCGCAACTTTTGAAGGCGCCGAGGCCGCTCGCGAACACGTAAACTTTTCGCACGCGAAAGGGATCTTGTGGGCGGCTCCCCGGCGGCCTCTCTCCCTGGCTCCGGCTCCCTCCTAGAAGCCCATGGGCTTCTCGTACTTCGCGGAGGCCGAGGCCTCGTGGAAGGCGAGGGGCGACTTAAACCTCAGCTTGCCCGCCCCGGGCCCCGGCCGCCGGACCTACATTTCGATGCGCCATAACCATGACGACGACGCCGATTTGTATTACGACAGCTACCACCTCATCGCGAAGAAGCGGCCGATGATTGTGCTCGTGGTTTTTATGAGCTTCCTCTTGGGAGGTAGGGCTAGTGGCTGCTGAGTTGCATTAGCTCGCGCTAGTGCAAGAAGCAGCCCCGTTAGCCACTCTTATGAGTGGGTCCGTACGATAAGCTTGTGAAAACGCAGACTCCACCCCCCCTCACAAAACAACCGTATAACATAAGACAACTTGGTATTGTGGAGTGCCAAGCACACGGATAACATGTAGTAAATGCTAGCTAGAATTGCTAAAGGTTTGCATGTTGACTATCATGGATGCTTAATTGGACGCCTAAATAAGAGAGGCATGGTGTTCAGCAATGCACAAGCCCCGCAAGGTGCATTTTCTTTTCCTGCTGCTTTAATGCAATCGGAGGCCCTCTGAATAACACCTGCAGGGAAACACAAGTGTAGAGCAGAAGGTCTTGCTTGTGAGCTTATAGGGATCTAATTCTAGTTGACTGGACCAGGTGGGCCACTGACCTGAAGCAGGAGGTCTCTTCCTATGTTAGTACCACAAGCTACCTTGTGGGATAACTAAAATGAAAAGTGGAGTAAATATTTTACATAAAATACCCAGCTGCAGGCGACTTTCCATAGTGGAACCTCTCACTCTGCTTTTTGTGTAAGGCCCCCATGCCTTAAATTGGTACCAACTTGAATTAAATATTGGGGGGAGCTAAGTCCTGCCCTGCATAATCGATCACTTGACACAGTGCATGCACACCATTTGAACGGCATTGCCCATCAACTTTTTGGGGGCAGCCCTCCAATATTTTATTGAATACCCCTTGGACCCTAGTAGTTGGTTCCTTTGGATATGCTGCTACTACATGCTGATCCTAACCTGAAGAAACCACTAGGCCACATATCTTGCCTTCCAGTTATTGTTAGACTACTGCTCTCTTCATTCCCTGAACATGAACTATACTGGCTGGGGCTGATTGGAGTGGGAATCGAACAACACCAGGGAGTCACAGGTTCCCATTTTTCAGCTCTACACTTTGATTATTTGGGGGATTTATAAGCCTTACTGACAAGGACAGCTTCTCTTAAACTCGTCTCTAGAAATATTAAAAACTACAGAGATGTATCTACTCCTCCAAAGCCCTGAAGACACAAAACTTAACAAATCTTGTGAAATATCCTTAGGACACAAAACGTACCTGGACATCCATGCAGTCTTAACACTTAGCAAAGATTTCCCTAGAACTGCATTTTTAAAACCAATGAAGTCAAATGTCAAAGCATAAACAAATTTATTTGGGGAAATTGAGAAAAGTGGGAGGCAGCAATCAGATTTGCAAATAAAACCACTAAAGTACATATAATTTAGCTAGTTACATATTACCTGCTTGAGAAGTCTTGGGTGGCCTTGCAAAACAGAGGTTATGAGAGAGACCATCTCTGGCTACCTGGCTGGATGGTTCCAAGAAGCAATACAGAGGTGATGCTTGTTGCTTTATTCGGTAGTGAGAGCAGTTACATCTCTGATGTGAGTTAGATAGCCAACCATAAATTTCTCTAAATGATTCTGGATTTATAATATAAGAAAATTAACCTCAACTTATTGGAACTAGATATGTTAAAAAGGAATGAGAGAGACTAGCTTCTTTTTCACATACCCACCTCCCATTATGAACACTTTATTGCAGTTGTCATGCATTTTTTGGAAATAGGTTTAGAAACCACTAAAGATTTAGGAATATCACAGTTTGATTGAAGATGGGCTTCCTTGCGGTGTGACCCAGTCATTTATGGAATGCTAATTGTATATCGTTAGATATTGTTTCATTATTTTTTAGAGGTTTTCTGCATAGTTTTGAGTCTTATTTTTATAGTGTACATTGCTTCAATTATTTCAGGCAGTAAAGTGGTTTATAAATTTATATAATAAAAATAATAGCAGTGTACTAAAAAATTAAAAGATGGCAGTTAGCTAGTAATTAAAATAATTAAGTGCCCCAGGCCATCAACCTATTATAACTATTCACTTTAAAAATATTAAACATAAACAATAATGCCATTTATACTCAGAAATATGAATGAATGAAGGGTTATTCATATGAACTGGATTAAACACAATTCCCTTAATAGTCACACATTTTTATATACTTTTGCCGTATCACAGCAGGTAATCTATCCAGTTACTGAGAATTTGAATGCCAAACCATCTGAAGAAGACAAACTGCTTTTAAACTTTCTTGCCATATTACAGAGAATATTGTGTTCTGTGTTTGAAAGCATCATCATCATAACTCAGTTGAAATATCTGCAGCTGCATAGAAAGCCCTTAAATGCTACTCATGACTCAGGATGTAATAAGAGTCTCATTATTGAATTAGAACTTTGCATTTATATGAGAGCTAAACTATTATTTGCATATACTCTTTTTTTTAGCAGTTTAGAATGGGTGAATGAATGGGATCTTTTAGCATCTAATACACTATTTCTTAAACTGTATTTTAATGGTGAAAATAGTTACATCTAAATACTATTCCTTTAAAAATGAGTTTGTTGCATTGCAATAAATGGAGAAATTCTCTTTCCCTCTATAGAAGTGACTCAAATTATGATTTATTCATTATTTTAATCTTTATAGTAGAATTCAGTCACAAAGAAAGCAGTCCAATAAATATTATGGCATTATGACACATCCCTTTGTGCAATATAATTAACAAAAATGTCTCTTAATAATATTTTATGTGCAATTTATATCTGTATCCTTATACATCAAACAATGGCTTATTGCCTTAATGGTAGTCCATAACAAATATGTTTATATAATTATACAGAATTACATTAGAATATAAATATGGTCATGATTCAGCCAAATTAAAGTCCCATTAATTTCAATAGGTGATTTAAGAAGTGTTTACTTCCCACTGAAATCAATGGGATAAAAATGCTTTTCCTAGACAGATCATACTCTAAATGTTATAATTGTACAGAATTATAAAAATAACTACAGGCATATTACTTCCCCAAAAAGTTTCTATATTTCTTTAAGAAGCAATATACTTTTTTAAAAAAATGACAAGGTATACAGCTCTCATCTCTAGTATAAATCTGTTATGCAATTACTTTAATGCTATTGTGAAATATTCTCCTCTTTCTAGAGTTTGATAAAGTTCAGGACAGCTTTTACAGAAGACAAAAGTCCTGCAGACATATTGGCTTTGTAATATTGTATTTATTGATAAATCCATTAGTTTTCAGACACTGGGGGGCGGGGGCATAGAAACAAGTGCACGGGCAGGCAATATTTGTCCCAAAGCACTTTCTGAACTCTAAAAGACCCAAACTGTTTTTACCTCCAAAACCTTTAATTACTAGATGAGATTAGATAATTTTTTTATCAAATATATCTTTATTTTAATACTACTGTGCGTGTGTGTGTGTGTGTGTGTGTGTGTATTCTGTCAATTTATATCATATTTTTCAACAAGTGTCCTCAAAACAACTAGCAAATTTATAAAACACAACAGAGACACTAAGATTTAGATTTTATAAATCTCTAATTTACTTGTAATTTTAGTGATAGGATTTTGATGAAGAATTTCTTTATGTCAACAGGCATGTTCAGTAGTTTAAACATGTAAGATAAGTCAGTAATTTTTATGATTGTTCAGTGTTGTGTTTAATACTACTTTATTCTTTTGTAAAAAAATTTGTGTTCAGCTGATAGTTTTCATTTTATTTATAGAAATGTTGATAAACATTTTTATAAAGAAACATTGAATTAATAAAACTATAGTTATTTACTGACATTCTTGAAATTATGTAACAGTAGTATTGATTACATTTGTAATATATTTTTTCCCTCAGCCCTGTTACGAACAATTATCAAAGAAGTAAAAATTCCTATTCTGGTAATTGTATGTTTAGTAGGAACTGGCATTGGAACAATACCCCATTTTTCAGCTCAGGTAATGGAGAACAATTAATTTCCCCCATTTCAATAACTAATAAGGAAATAGATTTTACTGATATTTTGTAAACGAAGTGCTGTTGCAGACACAGTAGGTTGAGGAGGAGGCAGAAGGAGAGAGGAAATTCAATTCCATCTCTGCTCTCCCTGCATGTCTCTGACACCAGGTCTTTATGCAAATTGTCTCCACATTACTAGCCTACAGAGGATAACAGTAGTTGCTGTTGCCAGTTTAGCATTTTGAGGTGTCTCTAGGCAAGGTGGATTTGTGGACCCCTCTTCAAGTTGCTTTCTTGAAGATGAGCCAGTGGGTTCTGCCACTTCAAAGCCATTCAGCTTGGGAAATACCCAGATTGAAAAGCGTTTGCTACTGAAAGAAGTGGCAGAGCAAAATATATGGGTTTTCAGGGGAGAGGGTTTGGGGAGAGATCTGAAATTTGGAAATGAGCTTGGAAGAAACAGGCTTCTTGCATATATTTTAAGGAAAGAGCATGGTATGCCAAGCCCAATTCCAACTTGAGCCAAGGACTCATCATTTTAAAAATGTTTCAAACATCATTGTTTCTGTAAAAATTAACTTGTAGATTGTTTTACCAGAGGGCACTAAAAGCTACTGCACAAGGGTAAAGTTTCAGACACCCAGCTTCCCATCTAACACTGGATCCGACTCTACAATTTAGGAGGTCCTCCTCCCAGTGGCAAGGCTAGCCGCTCGGGTGCCCAGGGCAGTGTGCGTGCCCTGCAGCTGGGGACAGAGCGAGCTGCCCATGGGGCGGAGCAAGCCAAGGCAAGGTGTGCTGCATGGAGCCTCTCTGCAGCCTCCTCCTCAGCTGTAGGGCAGCTGAGGCGGTGGGCAGAAGCAAGTCCCGTGCTGCTCAAAAAAGCAGCGCGGAGCTTGCAGGCAGTCCGCACACCGCCTCCCCCTCAGGAGAGATGAGTGGCTCAGGCATGCTGCAGACCCCGCAGTGTGACGTCCATTGCCCCATGCCTCACCTAGCTACACCTAAGTGTGGTTCTCCAAACTCTTCTCCCTCAACTCCCCGAGCCCTCCCCCCATTGCTCTTGCTCCCTACCATAGGAGCCAGCGACTAGACTGTGGCTGGACGTATGCTGATGGTGGAAAGAAGAATGCAGCCCGCTTATGGAGAGGGGAAGAAATGGGGCCGGATGGTGGGTTTCTGGCTTATTTCAGAGATTCAAATGTTGCTTTTTAGGGCAGCAAGCCTCCAAAGGCAGCTTCCACCATGCAGTCATAAAACCCAGAGCAACCCAGACCTAGCAAAAAGTATTAACTCACTCCCACACCACCCCCGACAATACAGTGGTACCTTGGGTTACAGACGCTTCAGGTTACAGACTCCGCTAACCCAGAAATAGTACCTCGGGTTAAGAACTTTGCTTCAGGATGAGAACAGAAATCACGTGATGGCAGTGTGACGGCATCAGGAGGCCCCATTAGCTAAAGTGGTGCCTCAGGTTAAGAACAGTTTCAGGTTAAGAATGGACCTCCAGAACGAATTACGGTAAGTTCTTAACCCGAGGTACCACTGTACCTGTTCCAAGCAGCCTCAGCCCATTTCAACCCGATCAAGCCTTGGAAACCTTCCAGGCGGCTGAAACCTGGCAGGAAGATCCCCTCCTGGCCTCCAGGGGTAGCCTCGCTCTCTGCCCGGCTGCCCACGCTGGGACTCTCCCAGTTCCTGCAGAGGGAAGTGGCTTTCCTCCGCAGAGACTTACTGTGCCAAAGCGAGCAGGCAAGGAAGACGGAGAGGAGGAGGCAGCCTAGGCAAATTCATGGAGGAGAGGGCTGTCGAAGGCTACTAGCCATAAGGGCTGTGCTCTGCCTGCAAAGTTGGAGGCAGCCATGCTTCTGGTTTCTGGAAATCACTCGAGGGAGAGTGCTCCTGCAGTGGTGTAGGTAGGGGCGTGCGGTGGGGGTGCAAGTTGTTTTTTGTCACCCTCCTCAGCGATGACACCCAGGGCGGCCCGTACCCCCCTTTCTATGCCACTACCTCCTCCTTTGCTATTCTCTTTGTACAGAAGAAATCTAGGTACTCTTTCTCCACTCCCTCTGATCATATGCTTGGGCGGGGAAGAAATATGTAAAATAATATTAAAGTATTCACAATTAACAATTCCTTGTACTCATTTTGTGTTGCCAGATTCCTATTGTGAAGAGCATTGCAGATATAGATCCTGTACTTTTCCTTCATTTGTTTACACCAGTTATAATATTTACAGCTGCATTTGAGATGGATTTTTATATATTTCGAAAATCATTTTGGCAGGTAAGACATATATACAATTTTCTGTTTAGAAATTTACTTCAAACTTCACATTAAGGATATAGTTGCATATTACACACAAATGTGTCCAGTCAAACCCCAAAGTAATATTTTCCAGGAAAATAGTTTTGTTTAAAACACATCCGATTCATATTTAAAGCATTTGACTTCCCCCAAGCAATCCTGGGAACTGTAGTTTGCTAAGGCTACTGGGAACTGTAGCTCTGTGAATGGGAAACTATAATTCTCAGGATTCTTTGGGGGAAGTCTTGGGCATTAAATGTATGTTGGATGTATGTGTGTGCATAATTTGCAGTGAGAAAATGAAAGGCACCAACAATTGGGCAAGAATGCTCCAAGTAAAACTTAGTTGGCTATCACCCTACAAGTACAGTGGTGCCTCGCAAGACAAAATTAATCCGTTCCGCGAGTCTCTTCGTCTCGCGGTTTTTTCGTCTTGCGAAGCACGGCTATTAGCGACTTAGCAGCTATTAGCGGCTTAGCGGCTATTAACGGCTCAGCGGCTTAGCGGCTTAGCGGCTATTAACAGCTTAGCGGCTTTAAGAAAAAGGAAACAAACTCGCAAGAACTCGCAAGACGTTTCGTCTTGCAAAGCAAGCCCATAGGGAAATTCGTCTTGCGGAACGACTCAAAAAACGGAAAACCCTTTCGTCTAGCGAGTTTTTCGTCTTGCGAGGCATTCGTCTTGCGGGGCACAACTGTACCTTTTTTACATTTTCATTCATATGAGCTGATTAACTGTCATGTCATATATAGCACTGTGTCATTAAATCTCCAGCCTTATCCACCTGAGTTTAATGTAATTTTATTTTGCAAATGATTGATACACACATACATATATTGTCATTGCAGGTGTTAATTCTTGCAGTTCCTGGATTTTTGATGAACTGTGCTTTCCTTGGATGGTTAACTTATAAAATTAATAAGTATAATTGGTCCTGGGATGATAGCATGCTATTTGGAATAATTCTTAGCACAACAGACCCTATCCTTTCTGTGGCTTCTGTAAGAAACATTGGTAGGTATTTACACTGATTTTTCTGATAAGCTGAATTCATTATAATACTTGAATGTGGAGTGTACTGTTTACAATATAGCTTCACAGAGCTTAAAGGTAAAGGTAAAGGTACTCCTGCCCGTACGGGCCAGTCGTGTCCGACTCTAGGGTTGTGCACTCATCTCACTCTAGAGCCAGACACTTCCGGGTCATGTGGCCAGCGTGATGAAGCTGCTCTGGCGAGCCAGCACCAGCGCAGCACACGGAAACGCCGTTTACCTTCCCGCTATAAAGCGGTACCTATTTATCTACTTGCACTTAGGGGTGCTTTCGAACTGCTAGGTGGGCAGGAGCTGGGACCGAAAGACGGGAGCTCACCCCGCCGCGGGGATTCGAACTGCTGACCATACGATCGGCAAGTCCTAGGCACTGAGGTTTTACCCACAGCGCCACCCGCGTCCCTTCACAGAGCTTACTTAATTGATAATTAACTGTAGTCTGTAACAAACAAATGTGAAGTGATATGGACAGTTTAGGGACATGAGCAGAAAGATACCGCCCCCCATACACACGTTAAATAAAATTACTGTATTTTTTGCTCTATAAGACTCACTTTTTTCCTTCTAAAAAGTAAGGGGAAATGTGTGTGCGTCTTATGGAGCGGATGCAGGCTGTGCAGCTATCCCAGAAGCCAGAACAGCAAGAGGGATTGCTGCTTTCACTGCGCAGTGATCCCTCTTGCTGTTCTGGCTTCTGAAATTCTGAATTTTTTTTTTCTTGTTTTCCTCCTCCAAAAACTAGGTGCGTCTTGTGGTCTAGTATGTGTTATAAAGCGAAAAATACGGTAGAATTATTGAGTCCAGAGTTAGAAGTCATTTTGGCTGTCCTGAGTGAACTCTTTCAAATGTGTATACACATAGGCGCCGACTCCATGGGGCCTGAGGGGGCCTGAGCCCCCTCAATAATTCGTTTGGGGGGGCTCTGCCCCCCCAATAATTTAAGAAAATTATTAAGACTCTCCTCCCTGGAAGAGAGGGGAGTGGTTGTGGGCGGGAGCCCGAGCTCCGCCTCCTGGCCGGGGGCCTTAGCCCCCGCCCCTCCTCACCTGGGCTGGCACCCACGCCCACCGGAGGCAGCCAACCAGGTGTCTCCGGTGGGCGTGTTTAGCAGTTTAATGCTGCGGGGCCAGCTCCGCCTCCCCCGTTCGTTCCCAGCAGCGACGACCACGTGGATCTGACTAAGAAGAGAAGCTTTAACAGAGAAGTTTTGCCTTACCTTTTCTCTACGATAGTTGATTTGGGAGGGTTGAGTGCCTCTGTGTGTGCAAGTGGAGTGTGTGTGTGTTGATTTGCTCTATCTGGGGAGTCTCTTTGTACATCCCATCTAGCCTCCTTGTTTAGCTAATTTGGAGTGTGTGTGTGTCTTCAACGTTGCTGCGCTGTTTGGGGAAAAAGCGGGGGAGCTTTCACTGCTACGTTTTTGTGGGTGCTAATTCTACTCTGCTAATATTACCCCTCTTACTGCTGAAGGCTTTCCTTAATTGGAGAGTCTGTGGGTTTGCAGAAGCGATTGTTTAAATCTGTGGGGTGTGTCCTGAGACTGTGTGTGGATATATTGAGTGTTTGTGCGATTGCAGAAACGCTTTACTTTGAATCTGCTGGTGTGTGTGCAGAGTTCATGGGGGGGGGTATATTTGCCCACCGGGTCTGTGTGTACCTCCGGAAGTTTTTCCCTTCCCAGAAGCAATGCTTGTCTCTTTAAACTGCTCCTCAAGCTGCTGATTTTGAGCGGTCTTAGCATTGGTTGGGGGTGCAGGCATTGAAATTGTGCTTAAAATGGCTGAAGGTGGGCATCTCTTTGCAGACATTACATTGAGGCTGCTTACCTTACACGGACCCAAGCCTCCATTGTCCTTCAAACCCCTTGTGTGTCTCTCCGTGCTTTGTTTACCCCCACAGGCACCCTCCGCCCCCATCGTGGCTCCCTCCTGACTCTGATTTCCCTTACCAACCCCCTCCCCCCTTATGGTTGCTGGCTGTGCCTTTAATTTATAGTTTTACCCTTCCCCGTGCTGCGGCTCCCTTCTGGCTCATATTGACCTTCCGTCCTATTGTTGTCAGTTGTGCCTTTATTTTATAGTTTTATTTGCCTTGCATTTATCGTTATATTAGCTGTTTTCAGCATTTGTCTTACTTGGGAGACTCAGTCACCCCCCATTATCCTTCGCCCTCCACTCCCCCCCCTCCCCCCCAATAATTTAAGAAAATTATTAGTTATATTATGCTTTGTAAAATCACAAAATTATGTTGGTATTTTTTATTTTCCTTGTTTGACGATAGTTACCTTTTAAAATACATTCAGTAATGAGTTAAAACAAATAATTATTACGGTAGTAAGCAGGTTAACTGAAAAGAGTGGTGTGAATCATGATAGTGTTTTGTTTTGTTTTTAATAAATTTTTATTGGTTTTCCAAACACAAAATAAAAACAAACAATGCACAATACACAGACATACAAACATATAAACATGTATAATTTCATACACTTGTTTTCATACACCTTACTTCCCGGACTTCCCCATACCTCCCTTTTTCTGCTTCCTTGTTTTACATTTCTTCAGCAACTCCTCCAATTAACTAATTATTCAATTCAATTTCTTTTAAGTTCTTCTTTAACTTATTGATTACAGCTGCAATTCTCTATTTCCCTATTCCTTGACATCTTATCACTCCTCAATTTTACAACAGTTTTTAAGATATATTTTAAATTTCTTCCAGTCTTCTTCCACTGTCTCTTTCCCCTGGTCACGGATTCTGCCAGTCATCTCCGCCAGTCCCATATAGTCAATCACCTTCGTCTGCCATTCTTCCAGCGTGGGTAGTTCTTGCGTCTTCCAATACTTTGCTAAAAGTATCCTTGCTGCCGTGGTAGCATACATAAAAAACGTCCTATCCTTAACACCAATTGGCCCACCATGCCCAAGAGAAAAGCCTCAGGTTTCTTAGGAAAAGTCCTTTTAAGGACTTTCTTAATTTCATTATAGATCATTTCCCAAAAGGCTTTAATCTTCGGACAGGTCCACCAAAGGTGGTAGAAAGTACCTTCAGCCTCATTACATTTCCAACATTTGTTATTGGGCAAATGATAAATTTTTGCAAGCTTAACTGGGGTCATGTACCACCTGTAAATCATTTTCATGATATTTTCTCTTAAGGCATTACATGCCGTGAACTTAACACCGGTGGTCCATAACTGTTCCCAGTCAGCAAACATAATGTCATAGTGAATCATGATAGTGTTACGGTGCTGCGGGCACACTTAGAATTTGTCCCGGTGCGCGAACCTTCGTGTAAAGTCTGGCGGGCCAGCGCTGCGGCCGCGGCGACATCAAAAGGACTGGAGCAGAAGCGCCTGGAATCCTCCACCTCGCGTCGCCTTGACGCTTCAAGACATTACGACGCCGCGGCTATATAAAGCCCACCCTGCTGACGCAGTCATTCAGTGTGGATAGTTTCGTTCAGTGCATGCTGCAGACGTGTTTAGCGTTCCGACTTTAGTGATTACTTTTAAAAAACTTTAAAACTCACTAATTTTCATCTAAAATTTAGAAAACTTCCCGGGGCAGGACCCCGGTATGGGCCCCCCCAATATTTTTTATAAGTCGGCGCCCCTGTGTATACATTTATGTGGCAGTACATTGTTAACTGTGCTTGCTCAGGCTTGCTCACATCTGAAAAACTGTTTCTCCCTTGTAAAGTATTCAGCAGGGGAGCAACAAAGATGACACCAGAGTATTTGCAGAAATAAAGTTTTATTTGAGGAAATAAAATGTGACAATTTGAAAATAGAACAATTAGCTGTAGAATGCTATCTCAGAGAAAGAAGTGGGATTGACTGTTAAGTGGAATGGTGGTGAGCTAATGTACGTTTTGCAATGATGTTTCAACATTTGGGTTAAAAGGAGAGGGGTTGAAGTGGCAAATGCTTGAAAGCTGGCAAAAAATATATAAAAAAATAGAATGATATTTTCCCTTCCATATGATCTGTACAAAAACCAGTACTTGAAGAGGATGAACAACCAGCTATGTTAATGTTGAGTTGTCAATTGTGTCACTATAACGTTAAATATACATTAAATTTTGACTGAGGATACAGTTTCAAGCATCTTAGGGGATTCATCTAAGATATTATCCCCTAATGGAGTCAGGTTTGATTTGAACATAACAGCAAACTATGGTTTGTCAAGCAGGCATGTGAGTGATTTGTGCTCTCCCTTCTCTTCCTTGCTCCTTACATTTGTGCGCAGGGAAGACTTGAGAAGCTTCCATTCCCATTTGGACAATTGTTTTGCACAAACCTGAATCAGTGATTGGTTGTAAATTGATTGGAGTCTTCTCCACTGTTGGAAGCATACTACCTCCAAATAACTGTTGCTGGGATGAGATTCGTTGTATAGCATAGTGCAGGCTTCCTCAACCTTGGCTCTCCAGATGTTTTGAGACTACAGTTCCCATCATCCCTGGCCACTGGTCCTGCTAGCTAGGGATCATGGGAGTTGTAGGCCAAAAACATCTGAGGTCCGACCTTGAGGAAGCCTGGCATAGTTCCATGCATGGATTTGCATGATTCCCATAGGCATCTCTTTGGCCACTGTGAGAGTAGGATGTTGGACTAAATGGGCCTTTAGTTTGGTTTGGCACAGCTCTCCTTACACAGGAATAATAAGACGGATTGCACAAGTGAAAGGCTTATACCTGATCATTACCAGTGTTCCAAACTTTGGTTTGTAGGATAATCTGAAGGCAGACAAAGCCTGCTCATATTTTTAAGGTACAGTAATACCTTGGTTCTTGAATGGCTTAGTTGCTGAACAAATCGACTCCCAAATGCCGCAAACCCGGAAGTAAGTGTTCTGGTTTGCGAATGCTTTTCAAAAGCCGAACATCCGACGTAGCTTCCACTTGAGCGCAGGAGGCTCCTGCAGCCAATCAGAAGCTGCACCTTGGTTTTCGAATGGTTTCGAGAGTCAAACGGACTCCTGGAACGAATTAAGTTCGGGAACCGGTACCACGGTATTTTGTTTCACTTGAAATATAATTTTTAGCATAAAGTGAAGCAGAATGGAGCAATATTGGAAAAAAGAGAAGACAAAATAATCTAGTTTGCAAGTTCTTTTATTTTCATAATTCTCACAAAATGATTTTATATGGGAGTATGTTGAGGCCATTCTTTCTCTCGATTAAAAAAGTATGCAAAGTTTATATTGTGCAACAAAGAGATGCAAGGCCTGGTTATAAGTAAAACAGCAGTGTAAATAATACACTATTTGACTGTAATTTAAAATAATTAAGCTGTCAGATTTGCACTGTTTAAGAAATTTAAGAAGTAAAGTTGATTCGAATCAGTCTTTTTTTCCTGGCTGATATAAACTGTCATGATTTAAATATATTCACTCTTGGAGAAACAGGAAACATGGGAGGAAACAAAATCAAGCTTCTGCCTCTTGAACAGCTGATGAGCACTACTGCATATTATTTGCCTGAGGAATCTATTTTTGTGAAGCTGCTGAATCAAAGTGCTATTGTAAATGGCTTAAATCTTTGCATTCCACCTTTATTATCTGGTTCTACTTCATAGCCGCCATCTCTGCAAGGTTTTTGACTGGAAGGATGATGGGAACTGTGGGAGCTTTAGAATGGCTGCATGTGTATAGGCAGACTTAACGGTGAAGTGCTAATGGGAATTGTATGGAGAGAATAGAGCACTTTTCCTTCATTGTTTGAGAAGAATATATGCACTAAAAACAAGCATATCTTAATCATGTGATTTTGATTCCCCCATTTCTTATGGGTCTTGTTATAGTATCTTTCCACTTAAGAAGCAAAAATAAAAAAGAACTTGTTCATTTTGTTATCTTCCCCCCTTTTTTCAGGGCTTTCAAAAATAGTTGTCAACTTAATTGTTCATTTTGTTATCTTCCCCCCTTTTTTCAGGGCTTTCAAAAATAGTTGTCAACTTAATAAAAGGCGAGTCTTTGTTTAATGATGCTACAACAGTAATAATTTTTGAGTTATATAGGGATCTTGCAAAACAAACTCACCAAGAATTGAGTAAGTATATTATGTCCTGTATTCCCCCCCCCCTCATAAAAATACAATCCACATTACGCCACAAGCCTTATTTTTAACTGTTGAGATCTAGGGCATACAAGCTGAAAAAGAAACATGACAGGCACAGTCACGTCACTAGCGGGTCCACCCCACGAAAAGGGATGTCTGCTGTATCAGTCCCGTCCTCACTCTGGTAGCTCTGCTGTCATAGCAGTTCCTCAGGTGGTGGATGGCAAGGTGAAGAAAGGGGTAGGTGTTGTGCAGATTGGGGGAAGCCTTGGATCCGCCAGAGCTTCCCAGGATGTGGATAGATAACATCAGATAGAGCAACACAAATGCTTGAAGGATATGGCACAAGACAGTATTACTAGGGGGAAGAAATACATCAAGCTGGGTTGTAGGGTATTTTGTTGAAAAATAAGTACTTTGGGAGTCAGTTTGTTGTCTCAAGTTTTACTAAATATGGAGGTGTTGCTATTGTTTGAAAGCTAGCTTACGTTTTGAAGTTAACACCCTGTTCAGGAAAGACCTAAAAGAAGGATAAGGTTTTATTTAAGGCATTTTAGAGGGACAGAACACGTTCCAAATATGAGACTATTGCTGTTAGTCTAGCAGTGGGGATTGACTCTATCATTGTAAAGTTGATATCAGGCAGGGAGGTAATGATTACAGAGAAGATGATGCTTGTTAGGACAAGCTGAGTAAAAGGCTTACCTGCAGAAGTGATAGTTCCAGCTTCTACTTCTCACTGAGTAAGCCTCCTCCATTAAAGTTACACATGTGCACCAATGCATCGGCTTCTTGCTGGACGGGCTGTAAGGACCTTGCCACTTACCACCATATATGGTGGTTTTACCCTAAATTGTTGATTTGGGGGAAGGTATCTTCCTGGAAAAAAATAAGGTCACTGAACATAATTTAATATAGACCCCAGAATTGGCAGTGCTAAAGAATGTGGTCATGCAGTAAGTCCTTGATTGGATGCCTTCTGATAGCAGCACTGCTTAAAACATCTAAGTAGAGAATATATTTAGAAGGAACTACAATGAAGTACAGTAACTATAACTCTAAAGTGTAGTACCTAGCGTTGATCGAGAAACTGACACAAAAGCTCAAAGTCAGTCATTAGAAGTCAAGTAAAAGCATACTTTCATCACAAATTAGTATGATTTTATTAGTTTTACACATACATTTCAGCCGGAGCATAACAGAGGTCCACCAATACAATATCCAAAGACTTGGAATTCCTGAAACTGGTCCAAACACTGGCTTTTCCTTTTCAAGTAAATTCCCAAGGCTGGACTTGCACAGGATCTATGAACAGGACAGACAATTCATTTGAAAGCTGTTAACATTTTCAGCTGGAATATTCTGTCTCTCAGATCTATTGTATGGGGTTATGGTTGGGTTTTTTAAAATTTACTACTACTATTGCATTTTGCTCTTTTTTTCTTGTCTAAAATATAAAATCATAATTGTTTATATAGAGATATATATGAAAAATAAGTGTATAATTATAAAAGTTTCCTGAATAGATTCTGTTCATCCATAGACCTAATATGTATGACTGCATAGATGACTGTTGAAAAAACAACACCAAGAGTTGCATGTAAGCAACCTGTTCTTCTGGGTTCCAAGGAAGAAGAGGGTTCAGGGTACAATCAGTTAGCATCATTAGTTATAATTATCTTTAAATTAACTATTGGAAAGCAGATTGTAAATAACTATTTTCTTTTTACCTTTTACAGTTAAAGAAATTTTTATAAAGTTGATTTTAAAATTTTTTGCAAGCACTGCTTTGGGATTTTTTACTTCAAGATTAGTTAGTTATTGGTTGCAACATATTTTCAATGATGGAGTAGTTGAAATAATTGTAAGCTTCTCAATGGCATACATTATTTTCTTCATCGGTAAGTTAAACGTCTTTGTCAAATGCAATGCATTTTAAACAGTTGTGCTTAATCATTAATAAAACTAAATAATAGTGGTTTTTTAAAATAACAATTCCCTATTTTTTCTATCCTTAGCTGAATGGCTTGGAATGTCTGGAGTTATTGCTATTTGTATTTTGGGCCTTCTTTTAGATACTGTAAGCTTTAGTCCAGGATTGGATATATTTCTTTATAAGTAAGTGCTCATAAGTAAGTGTTTATCTTTAAATTTCAGTTTGAATCATTTTGAAAATTTCTGTCGTAGCTAAATGTATCCCATTTACATATTGTGTAAGGAATGTGAACTAATAGGATTGAAGTCCTTGTAGAAGATTTAAAAGTGCCTTGTAGAAGCACTTTAAGTATTCAGTGCATAAAATTTCTATTGTTAACCAGATTCTCAGTAACAAATGGTACTTAAGCACTGGTAGATTTGAAATAGCTACAAGAGGTAATTGATTAATAAATTATTATTTTTGGCTTTGAATAATATTTTTTAAAATGTAGTATAAATAAAACATGGTGGTTGGTTGAGTAACAACTGACTGGTTTATTAATACAGAAGTAACATTTCCTGTCATATCTTTCAATGATTTGAAGACGCAACTAGACAGGAGATCTGTCGTCAGCATTTAGTAGTTTAAAGAAGGAAATGCCGGGTTAGCGCCATCGGCAATGGCGGAGTTCCTCTGACCGGGAGGAACCCGCTTCGCAAAAATCGGGTCTTGCCGCCGCGGCGAAGGCGGAGACCCTCCAAAAATCCCAGGCGGATGAAGCCTGGGAATGTGGGATTCGGCTGACACCAGGAGCGCCTCCCCTACTCGCAGGGAAACCCTTTTTCAGGGTTCCGAAGTGACGTGGGGTGAGCAGCGCGGTGTTTTGAATCGACTGCTACTTTTGTGGAGTGAAGCCGCACAGCCGTTGCCGGAGAGCGCTGACTTTTTCCTGTGGACAATTGGACTCTAAAACAAGTACCCGTGAGTAGAAACGGAAAATTGGATCAAGAAACATGTTAATTTGGCACCGAAGCGGGAAGGTTCAAAACAGGAAGTCCGCCTTCCGCTTTTTGTAAATAGACTGAAGCAAAACCTTGTAAGCTAATAGCCTGGAAAGTCGTTTATAAAGGTCGAAATTTCCTTCATTTATAACCACTAAAACCCCCTTGGAAGCAGGAGAAAAGGGGGGGGGGGACTTTGACTGTTTAAGCCTGCAGGAGAGGGAGTAAAGAAAGATAGGTTTCCACCGTCTCAAACCTGGGAACGGGGTGTCAGAGACAGAAATTGTCGGAGACGTTCATTGACTGTGAGTGGAACATTTTGACAGATAGTTAAAAAAGAGAAACAAGCTGATTCCAATGTTGCCTTTTGCATTTCAAAGAAACAAAGTATTTGAAAAACGAAAGTAATCTTCCTTTGTTGGACTTGCTTTAAAAAGATGGATACAAATAGAAATTGTCTCCTCTAGAGGGAGCTTGTTAAATTGTTGCTGCAGTCTGCTTGGGGACTCTACAGCTGAAAGATTAAGATCGTGGGACCAGTCTTTTGACCTTGGACAAAAATGTGTTGGGAGGAAGCTTTGGTGCTTGCTTTTTGCAAGACAAATGCACTGTTGGAGCAGATGCATGAGAAGATGGATTTGATAAATGAAAAGCTGGATTTGATGACGGCTGTAGGGAATACTGTCACAGAAATTATTCAGGGACCAACTCAGGAACCTGTTTTAACTGGGCAAGTACAAGTGCAGAAGATAATGGATGAGGTTGCGGTAGCACCTCAAGCAATACAAATGGAGAGATCTGAGGCCCTGCAGGAGCATAAGCCGCTGTTTTTGAAGATTGCATTTGGAGTGGGCCAGGGGAAGTCTGGAGCTGAGGAGGCTCTTAATTTCGGAGGGACTCTGAAACATGCTGTTAAATATTTTCTGGATTATGCTGTTGACTGCGGGGAGTGGGACTCTGGGGAATGGGTTGGTCTGATGAGGGGAGACAATTTTGGGCTGGAACCCCCCAGAGACCTACTCTTTAATGAGAAAGGAAAGAAATTAAGAAAGAGACCAACAAAAGACAAGGAAAAGTGCAAGTATAAACAAGAAGAAGAAGATCTGCAGAAGGGGCATGGAAGAGACTTAAGAGCCTCGGACATAAGACTACCAGGTTGATGGACTAGATGGAATGGACAGTAAGGACTGACATAACCCGAGACCAGGAAGAAGAGATGTTGGATGAAGATTGGAAGAAAGTCTCTAAAAATTTATTTTGGGAATTAGTGTAAAATTAATGAATATTAGGGGGAAATGCTGGAATGAAGCTATTTGGCCTTAGTAGATATAAGGAGTTATGTATAAATAAGTATTAAGTTTTAAGCTTTAAGGTATTTTATGGTAAGATAAGGTTAAAATAAATTAAGGTAAATTGTATGACAGAATATAGTGAAAGATGGAAAGGATTTGCTGAGTTAATTAATAGGTTAGATTGTTAAGATAAATTACCTAAAAAATTGAGAAAGATGGAAAGAATTTGCTGAAACAAATAATTAAACTAGAACACAAAAAGGGAGGTGTGAGGAGGTCGAGGAAATAAGCAAATGAAAGATAAAGAAATGGAATATTGGATGTGTGTTTTTTCTTCTTTTTTTGCTGCATTGTTGTATTGGTTTTTATGCATTTTTTCTATTTTTATGTATTGTAATGTATGTTTTGTTAAATTTTGTGGTTCTTTTCTTTTCTTTTTTTTCTGTAATCTTTAAACTTCTAATAAATATCATTTTAAAAAAAATAAAGAAGGAAATGCAACCCTGGGGGACATAAAATTGGATTTGAACTGTACCATTAGGAAGGTCTTTTTTGTCTTTTGCAATGTGAACATTTGATTTTAAAATGTTATAACTACAATAATATAGAATAATATTATAAATGCACATTGTGTATTCTGTATTAAGAGCCTGTGAGTTACATTGTGATTAAGACTTGTAGTTTTACCCTTCTGGAAGTCTATGTTCTTTCACAGTGATATATGGCCAGACTCAACAGCCCCAACTGGTAAACACTTAGATCAAATTGTAACCAATTTTATTGCAAAAGGAACCTGTACATGTTTATATCAAGTCTAATACCTTATATTTTAGCTACCAAACTACTCATTAATATAAATAAATATACAGGCAAAGAATCTGTAGTTTCCTTTCCCTTCTGAGTTCAAATGGTAGATAGAAAAAATACAAATCCCATGTTCATTGGCCATTTCCTGTTGAGTATTGGATTGCATTTCCTCTGGCTCTCAACTGAGTTTGAGAGGTAGAGCAAACTACAAATCTCAAGTTACCTGCTAGGAAACTCTCTCTCTCTCTCTCTCTCTCTCTCTCTCTCTCTCTGTGTGTGTGTGTGTGGTTTTGCCTATCTCTAGTTTCAGCTTGTTTTGTAGAATTCTAATCCAAAATATAATCTAAAAAATTGTGTTTGACCAAATATTCACTGTGTTAAATGCTTTGAAAGTTTTGTAAGAAACTGATTTTGAGGTTGGGGTGAGGGGAGAATGCTTTTGTACTTTATATACCACAAAGAATTATAGCTTTGCTAATAGTCAGCCCCCCTTAGCATGGTTTAACACATGTTTTTTTTAAACAGGTTCTGGTCAATGTTGACCTTTTTGGCTCACATTATGATATTCCTTATAACGGGAATTGTGTTGGCTCAGAAGGCATTTCCATTTTTTAATTCTCGTGCTATTTTTTATATTATAACAGTCTACCTTTCATTAAATCTTACAAGGTAAGAATTGTTTAATTTTCCTTATTGTATTGATGTTTTCTGCCAATTCACAAAGCTCACTGTTAATATTCTTCAGACTGCAATCCAAATGCATTTAACTGGGAGTAAGCTACACTGAATTCACTAGGACTTACTTTTTATGCATGTATAGGATCGTAGATTATATATTATTTTCCAAAATTCTTAAGTTCAAGGCACACATGCTCTCACAAGTAACTGCATGGGAGCCATGAAGAACATAAATAGGTCCTTATACTTACCAGAACTTCTAATATTGGTGCCTCTGAACCTATTACCCAGTTTGCAGTATGAATTTGGCATAGTTTTGAAAACACACTTTTATTCGAAACTTATTCCAAACCAGGCCATCATCACGCTTCTTTAACAGTTTGGATTGCAATCTTCTTTGTGAAGAGCTCATTCTACCAGACCACCTGGTTGCTTCTACTTCTGTGTTTGTAGCAGCAAGGAGGGATTCTCATCCTTGCCACCTTGAGCCCCTTTGGAGGAAGGTTGGAATATACACCCTCTTTTCCTGGTGCTTTGAACATTCCTGGTGTGATTGACATTCATATGCCCTGGCTTAAAGGATGCTACTGTAGTGGCATTCCAAGCAGTAGTGAAGGAGAAGATGAACAAGAAACAGAGAGGCACACCTTCCCTGCTATTGCTGCTGTTGCCTCCAGATACTAACTTTGGCAGCTGCTAACCTTTAGGCATTACACACTAGAGGACAGCCACTAGTAAGTAATACTTACATGTTTGTCTAGATTTTGTGTATATTGTATATACAAACTTTGCACTGAGTGCCACCTGCTTAACCACTTACCCATCTGCCTCCCAGAGATTTTAGAGGACAAGCATTGTATGAATGAAAATTATCTTAAGGTGGCCCAAGAGCCTTTGCTTCCTTGCTTCCTGAGGAATATAAAGTTTGGCTGTTTTAATAACTTTTTGAAAATTGTGGCATTTGTCAAATAGCTAGCCTTATGAGTAATGCTTGGAGGTTAGAGGGTTATAGCCCCTATACACTATTTCAGGGCCCTAATGATTAGGACATTAATGAAACAAGTAATGTGTGTTGCTGAATACTGTTGAAGTGAAAATATTGGGAACTAAACATTGGAAAAGAGTTTCTTAATGTAAAATAATTTTGAAGTAGACAATTTTATATGAATTAGATGTAGTGGAGGCTGGAACCTGATTTCTGAATACTAAATTTATTCCCTTTGTGAAAAACAATTCTGTGCTTTGACTTTATTGCCATGGTAATTCATAGCTTCTGTGCAAATTGACGTATTTCCAAGCTGAAAACAAGATTTAAAATCTGCAGTTTCCTGAAATTTTTACAGTTACCCAGTCAGTACAAAGGAAGACTTCATATTTATTTATGCATTTTGGTTTTTAGTGGGTTTGTCTCTTACTTTTTGACTAGAGTATTCAAAGCAGTTCATAACATTTATAAAATGCAATGGTTACATTGCACATTTAAAACAAATCACACATTTCAAATAAAGTAGGAACAGTAGCATTTCATTTTCTGTCTGTGTGCTTCCCTATCTCCTGGATTCCTTTTCTTAGGGGAATTAGTGTTAGATGGCCCTGTGCTAGGGGAAGGGACAGCCCAGCTGCAGCAGGAGCAGACATCTGATGTTCTCTTTGCATACCTTTGTAAGTTAGAAGAGGGATATGCACTTGTCCCACTATATTGCTGATTGCCTAAGTATATGTTAATGACTGCTCCCCGCTTAAAACGGGGGGCGCCCTTTGCGTGGACACGTGCAGCCCCTAGATCTGGAGCGGCTCCAAACAGCATAGGCTTGGCCTTTCCTTCCATCAGGTGGGATACCTGGAGGTCTCCGCCTACCTCAGTCAGTTGTCCAATCCCACCTGGGGGAAGTGTTGCCAAGGAGACCAGGCCAGGTGGGGGAGGGATTACCTGCCCACACAATAGAGGGAGGATCTTACCTGGGAATCCTCACTTGGCTCCAGAGCTTGTCCCTGTTGTGAAGTTAAAGAGATGAATCCCCACACACCTTGAAATGTAACACCCAGAATTTGTGTTATTTTTATTTTAATAGGTTTAAAATAGGCTTAGAATAATGTGGAATGTGTTAAATAGGTCAGATTTAAGCTGGAAAATCTCTTTTACTATTTAAACTAATGAAGCAACTTTCTGAACATACCGAAGGTTTTTTGTTTCTAGCGTTGTCAAATTTCATATTATATCGAAAGGAAACAATAGGGGTGCACCCACCTAACTCATTGAGCAAGCAGAACGGCTTCTGCTAACACAGTGGAATTTCACTCCCCCACCCCTTCTCCCGCCATGCACCCCAGACCATATTTGGAGGCAGGGGGAGAGAAGGGGGAAGTTCTGTTAGATGAGTGGAAGTTGTCCCACTGAACAGATTGACTTAGTTTAGGGATGGGCAATATTTTTGGCTTAGGCTGGATGTTTGTATTACGCCATCTCATGGATGAACTTCGGTAGGACAACACACCTGCCAATCACAGGTCATTGTGATGTCAGAGGTCTAACAGTTGGGAGTTATGTACAGACCCAACTATAGGTTAACCATAGGTTAATGGGAATGCGTTCTCTTATATCAGAGATTACTGGTGCTCTACCCCAAATAATTCAGGATGATTTTAGACAACAAGAGAGAGTACTTCCAATTAGTTGCAAAGCAATTTTTAGAAAAATATGTATACATAGAATGCTGGACTCCCTCATCTTCTTAAGAGGGTAGTGAAAAAACAGATGGAATCAGCTCCTCATGGCATACAATTTGAAGCAGTGATTCCTCAGGTAGTTCTGGTAGTTTAAGCCATGCTACCATTAGCCAGGAAAAAAAACCCTGACCCCCCCTTGGCTAAGCTCATGATCTGTTATTTAACCAGGGTATGCTTTCTTAAATGTTTGCTTAGTTTGTTAACATAGTGTTTTAAGATTTAAATGCATTTTTGCATTTATTTTTATTTTATTCAGGGGTTTGGTTGTTTTTGTGTTGAGCCCTTTTTTGAGTCGTCTTGGCTATGGATTTAATTGGCGTTGGGGAGCTGTTTTGATTTGGAGCGGAATGAGGGGCACCTTCACTTTGAACATGGCTCTTGGAATTAGCCAAACAGAAAGCAAAACTCCAAATGAGTTTCAAATTAAAACCATGGTAAAGTAAGATCATTATTTTTGGAAAGCATTATCAATTTGTACTAGAAGCCTGCTTGAAAATCTGTATAGAAAGATGTGTTTATTTCTGACGCCATATTTTCAGTTTATGTACTGTACTCATATAGATATTGGGAACGTAGGTATGCCATTAATTTTTACATTAAAGGTATGCACAACATATTACAGAAAGTATAATTCTGTATATCCAAAGAAATAAATATGCAATTGTTTGCATTGAAAAGAGATTAAAATCTAATGCATATAATTGCTAATCTGTCCTTAAGACAGCAGTCGGGAACATTTTTCAGCCCAGGGTACAATCTTCTGGGGTTTGCATGTCTATGGTAGGTAGGGGCAGAGATGAAAGTGTGCTGAGCAATAGATATCACTTCCCTTTGTACTCTTACCTACATGCCAGACACACACAAGTCAGATGTTTCTGCACACACATGCACCTCTATCCTCCATCTAGATGAGCAAAAGGCATTTTCACAGTTCAAGGACACATTTTAGCCAGGCATTTGAACATAAGGAAGGCCTGCTGGATCAGGCCAATGACTCATCTGGTCCAGCATCCTGTTCCCATAGTGGCCACCCAGGGGCATCTGGGAAACCACAGATTTTGTAGGTGAGTTTCTTGTCTTTGGGGAAATTGCAGGGGTTGGCAAAAGCTCTTGAGGGTGAAGAGGGCACATTCAACCCCTGGGCCTGAGATTCCCCACTCATGCTAAAAGATTGCGTAATATTCTTTCCATTTCCCCCCTTGCAGTTTGTGGCCTGTTGCAAAATCTAACTTTCTAGAACTCAGAACTCAGTATTTTCTTGTTAGGAAAGTCCCCTTAGCACAGTTAGTGTGCCTGTAGAAATGGTTATTATCTGGAATGTGGTTGAGGGAGTACAATGAACACTTATGGATTGTGCTTCTGGCATCACTGGTAAGATTTGATACAACTTTGTCTGTCCACAACAGTGCCTTTTGTGACTTTCCTAATATACATATATGTTTTACAAGGCAGGTTAAGTGCTTCCTTGCAATCAAAAAGTTGAGCATGGAAAGTACTTATTTTCCTTTTTTGCCTAACAGCAAACCTCCCAGTTAGCTAACAATAAAATAAAATTAACACACAGTAAACATACCATTTTTGAAAAATAAGGAAACTGAAATAGGTATTGTGTTCCAGCAATTGATCTCTGGTTAGAACAGGGTTGATCCTCCCCTGCCTCACCCTGGGAAGGAAGCCAAGATGATGTGTGTGAGAGAGAATGAGTGAGTGAATATGTGTATGTGATAGACCAAGTGTGTCCAGGCATGCCCAATGACACGTGGCCCCTGAGTGCATTGCTGCATTGGCCCTTGGGAGTAAAAAGTTTGCCCACTCCTGCAATGCCCAATACAGAAAAAACTGTGATGGAATCCCCAGTGTTGTGGTTTAAATCACATGGGTATAGGGTGCCCACCACTATGTATAGTGAGGCCTCCTTAGGCAGCTGATTGGGCTGTCATGAAAGGACAGCAACTTGTGAATCACTTCATTTACTATTACTTGTATTTTTGCTGCTAGGGAGGGGGATAGGTGCTCTGAAGTGCACAAAACATAACCTGTAGATCATGAAATCTCATGTCATCATTTTGTGACTGCTTCGCCCCACGCTGACATTTTGTGACTTGGTCTGCCTTGCACCCACCACTATTTTGTTACTGAAGGGCCTCAGTATTTTCCAGCCCTCTCACGTGGTCCCTAAAAGTAGAAAGTTTGATAACAGCTGCCGTAGATCATATTTGACGAATGTCAGAAAGAGCACCTTAAAATATATTTTGGAAGTTCAAACTGTAGTATTGCCTCACTGTAAGTTGAGAACATTAAGATGCATTGAATGCAGTCAGCTTACTTCTGATTAAACATTTGTAGGGTCTCATCATACTTTTTTATCCTGCTCTTTTCCTATGATGTTTAGGGCTGATACAGATGATTTGCTTTTTTCTTTCAATAACTCTGTCAGAGTGGTTATGGTAAGAAATGGTTCAGTGCCATGCATTAAGCTTCATGGTTCTGCGTGGGCTTGAAGTCTGGGCTCTGAAACCAAATCAGATTCAATGGCTGGAACTTTTAAACAGAGAAAAAATAATATAATAAGTAAAAATAAGCATTTTTAAAAGAAAAAAATAGATTCCAAAGGTACTTAAAATTCCATTAGGCATTACTTCTCTGCCAAGTGGGAGAGTGCAATTTGCAGTGGAAAAGTGGTATGTGGGGTCAGTGCTTGACCATTCTGCAGACAGTAGAATGCTATTGAAAAGGTCAGCGCTGGACTGAATGGGTTGTAGCAAGTTTTGCTCAATTGCAAATACAGTGGTACAGTACCTTGGTTTGCAATTGCTTTGGATTACAAACGTTTAGGATTACAAGCACGTCAGACCCGGAAGTTCGTGTCCCTTTTTTTTGGATTACAGCCCATTTTGGGGGGAGGCCCCATTGGTGAATGCCACTACTGAACTTCAGGAGGGGGGGGGGTTGCGGGCTCACGACCCCACCACACCTCCGCGAGGCTGGCGGCCAGCCTCGCGGGAACCAGGGTTCCCTTTATTTGCATCCCCCGCAGCGCCAGCCAATCGGCTGGCGGGCGGGGGCGGGCCGTCCAGAGGCCACTTAAGTGCGGGGCAGCCCTGGGCTCGGCCCCTTTCTCCTTCGCAGCAGACGCAGTTCGCATTTGGGGGGGAGGCCCCATTGGTGAAAGTCCCCCTTGGGTTACAACCTGTTTTGGTTACAACCGGACCTCCAGAACGGATTATGGTTGTAAACCAAGGTATCACTGTACTTCCTTTCTTGGGAAAGTGACTGAGACAGTTCAGGCAGAACAACTGCAGACAATCCTGAATGAGGGACTAATATCTAATCTTTGACAGTCTGGTTCAGGCCTGGGATTTGCGACTGAATGAGGCCTGATCGACCTTATGGATGGACTTTTATAGCGAGGGAATGCGACTCTGCTATTTCTGTTGATCTCTTGGCAGTCTTCAATACCACTGATCACGATATCCTTCTGAACCGACTCTGCAGGATAGGTATCAGTGGCAGTGTATTGCAATTACAATACTCCTGCAGGGTCAGGTCCAAAGAGTAGCATTGGAGAGTGCACTTTGCCCCCTGGTGCTTACACTATGGAGTGCCATAGGACACTATTTTGTCCACAGTGCTATTCAACAGCTGGCTTTCCTGCTGCTACTTTGCTGAGATGGAGCATCAGGTTTTTGCCATATTTGGTGATATTGTAATGTGTAGTTCCGGCTTCTTTCCATTGTTCGGTACTGAACTCCCAAAGCAGACTAAAGTATTATAAAATGCTATAAAATGTAATGTTATATTGCTGCTTTTACTAGTTATGATAGCGATGCTAATTGCTCAAATCTTTTCAGTTATTACTGCATTCAGGAACTGCGTCTTTGTTGACCTTGATGATTAATTCTACCACTGTGAAAAGGCTGGTTACAACACTAGGTAATGCTCTCAACATTTCTTCTTTTCTTTATTAAAATAAAAATTAATGTGTTTTATTCAACTTCATCCCTATTTAAGCATTTTTTTAAAAATTATATGATTTAAACGGGATAGGAAGACCAGTTTTCTGCATGCTGACCCCACTCCTAATTTCCTTGTGCTCACTGGGCATGCCCATTCCATCCCTCGCCCTCTTGGAAGGTCTGAAGGGGGCTTTTAAGCATGTTCAGATGCACAGTCTTTCAGCCTTCCTCACAACTGGGAGCCCTGATGAAGTAGGGTTTTATTTCCCAGCCATGCTGTTGTCTCTTTGCTATATCAAGCACTCATGAGTCTGGAATTAGATGACCTTTGTTGCTGTCTTGTAAATCTTATTATGACCAATGAATTACTTTTCTGTTTCTATAGGCCTTTGTAATATTACTCTTCCAAAACGTATGGCAATGCATAACGCTGTTCAGCGAATCAGACAAATGGAAGCCAATGCATTTGCAATGCTGAAACTTGATAGATTTTTGGCTGATGCAAAGTGGACAATGGCTGAAGAAGCAATTAAAATAGATTATCCTTATAAAGTGAGTATCTTTCAGTTAGTGTTAAATAAACATAACTTAGAAAGTGTGTAAAACCAAATGCAAGGTGGGCTCATAGCCTGAGCTCACTTGTCCGTTTGCTTGCCCAGAACAGAGCCACCTATCATTTGCCATGCTAAGGCTTGTGCCTGCACTGTTCTTCAAAAGGAAGAGACGGGGTATGACACTTGTTGGGCCAACCTCAGGTCATGCTTAGCCATTCAATTCACCTGCTATGTCTTTGTTAAAAGAATTTGGCAGAAGTAGCAACCTGATTTCAAGTTATTCATCTGACAGCAAGGACTGAGACATAGAAGGTGCTGAACTAAATACTTCCAAGAAGGACCACAAATTTTGAGGAATCTCTCATTGCTTGTCTTAGCTCTTGTTTGTCCCTAGGTAAGGGTCCCAGCTGAGAAACAGGGCTCTAGCCTAGTGGGGATTTGTGTTAGGAACAGAGTCCACTTGAACATTTATTTATTTGTAAACATATTTGTAAACTGCAATTTTCTATAAATATCAAAGTGGTTCATAATAATTGTAACATAATAAAAACTACATAAAATGAAAGTAGATCACCAGCTAACTATTAAGAAAATGTTTTTCATCAATTATCTGCATAAGCCTGGTAGCAAAGAAAAGGTTTCAGCAGTGGCGTAGCGTGGGTTGTCAGCACCCAGGGCAAGGCAAGTAATTTGCGCCCCCTAACCCGTGGATTTGCGCCCCCTAACCTGTGGATTTGCCCTAACCCCAGATGTTGCGCCCGGTGCGGCCGGCCCCCCCTGCACCCCCCACGCTACGCCACTGGGTTTCAGCAAATGTTTGAAGGTTAAGCTAGAAGGTGCATGCACCCGTTCAATATCTAAGAAGCAGAGCATGGTCAAGCATAGGTCAGGTTTGAGTAATGGAAGGTCAGACACAGAAGTCTGGATAAGCAAGATCAGAAAGCAATAATACAGTCATACCTTGTGTTGTGTTAGGTTCATGTTGCATCTTTTCAGTTTGTGAACGCCGCATGCATGTGCGTAGAAGCGTTCTGTGCGCTTCACATATGCGCAGAAGTGCTCTATCGCACTCTGCACTTGCGCAGAAGTGCTGCTCTAGTTGACGACTTTTCGGGGTGCGAACGGCACCCTGGAATGGATCGTGCCCACAACTAGAGGTACCACTGTAATAATAAAGGTGTTTGGTTTTTTTAAAAAAGTACACAAGTGATAGCAGAACAAAACTATCTAATAAGTCAGGAGCAGCATAATCGCTTAACTAGGGGTTAACTAGGGTTAACATAGGGGTGCTGGAATAAAAACATTTTCACCTGGTTTATAAACACTATTAAGGATGGAGCCAACAGATCTTCTGGGGCAGGGAGTTTCACAGGCTGGACACCACCACATAAATTCCCTCACACATCCCAACCAGCTGCACTTCTGATGATGTGGAAAAGTTGTCTCCAAACAATCAGAGTGGATAGGCAGAATCATGTGAGAGGAGACTGATGTGTTTCCTCACCACGCTGACATGATATTCTGGGATGCAATCAAGCCAAAGATAAGCCCATTCTTTCAGCTCCTGTCTGGGGTGCAATCTCGCCCTCAGGATTGTGGGTGCCTGTTGCCACAACACAGATGTGTGAAGGGTGCCTCGCTGGCTGGTTGCGGAGGGCAGAGCTGAACTGATTCTCGGAGGCAATGTCGCTGCCACCTGCCGGCTTTTCTCATTGACTTTGTGGGTGCTCTGCCCCCACAATTACTGTATTTTTCCGTGTATAAGACTAAAAAAATAAATGTGTATAAGACTAAAAAATAATGTCAAAAATTAGGAGGCATTCTTATACAGTAGTATCTCTGGATGTGAACGAGATCCGTTCCAGAGCCCTGTTCGCATCCTGAAGCGAACGCATCCGCGTGACGCGATTTGCCGCTTCCGCGCATGCGCGTGACGTCATTTTGATGGTCTGTGCATGCGCAAATGCGAACCGAGTACGTGCTCCGTTACTTCCGGGTCGCCGCAGCGCGCAACCCGAAAATACTCATTCCGAGGCTACTTTAACTTGAGGTATGAATCTGTGTCCCCCAAAATAGGGGGCGTCTTATAGATGGAAAAATACGGTGTGTCCAGGCACCTATGGCCCTCTAGAGTTGTCTCCTGTGACTCCTGTGTGTGATTTAAACCAAACTGGCCCTGCCACACAGTAGTGTGAATCAGTGACTTCAGGCAGCACCATGAGCAGGGTAGATAAGACAGGATTTTAGTGTGTGAATGCTGCAGCATTCTTTGTAAATTGTTGAGTCTACAGTAGAGTATAAAAGTGCTCAACTTCCATTGGATTGTGCCCAAAATGTTTAGATTCTTAAATTAATTTAATATTACCCTTGGTTTGATATTGAGATTGTATATTCTGTTTTTCTTATCCCCCCTTGTGCAGTTAGATTCAGAAGAAGTTGATCAACTGATCAAATCACTTAGGTGTCCAGAATGTGACGCCAATGTTACATTTGAAGGAAGTTCTCAACAAATTGCTGACATAATGGAAGAAGCCAGATTGCGTCTTTTAACGGCACAAATAGTTCGTACTTTTAATTCTATTGGCCTTTTATTGATGTAATTTCAGGATTATAATTACTTAACAATATAATTGAGCATTTTATGGTGGTTCAGAACGAAAAGTCCCAATTCTATAGAACATTTGAATCTTAAAGTATATGTTTTACTGTGAATTCAAAATACATTGTCTCTAGTGTGGTCCATAGCTATTAAAAAATACAATATTAAGTGTCCACATAATTAAGGTAGAGAGATCTTTTTATCTGTCTTTTATAACTACCTCTTTATTCCTAGGAAATAGTTCATTGTTAATCTGAGAATTAGTTCTAATGTTGGGCATTTCCCCCCCAAAGTTTTATTGGAAGCCACTCTTTGCTGTAGGATGCCTAATCAGAATAATTTAGTGCGTTGACTACTCCGTACCTGCCTACCCCACATTTCTTACTTGTGATCAAACCAGTTAAAGCAGGGCTCCTCAAACTAAGGCCTGCGGGCTGGATTTAGCCCGCCAGGTTCCTTGACCCAGGCACCCGGCAACTGCAGTGGCAGACTCCCTGACGAGGCAGGCGGCACAAGGATGGATGAGGTGGTGCGGCTCCGGGAGGCCCCCTGGCTTGGCACACCCGCATCCAGCGGTGCGGGCAAGGTGAACATGCAGGGAGGGCAGGCTGCATGGCTCCGGGTGCTCTTATAGAGGCGCTGTGCTCCTGCCCACGCCTCCAATCGCCAGCGTCGACGCTGCCCTGATTTCCTGATGTGCCCAAACTGGTGCAAGGCAGGTTCTTGGGCACCCACACTGCCGCCTGCACACCGAGGAGCCGTGCGCACCCCGCACCTCTGTGCAGTAAGTTGCACCTTGCCTAGCGGAGCTGGGTGGTGGTATGGGAGCGGGAGGAGATCCATGTGAGGAAAGGTCTGGATGATGCAGGATTGTCCCACATTTCAGTGTGGTCCCAATAAAGGCATGGCCCAGAAATGGGGATCCTAACCATGTCTACTCGGTAGTAAGTCCCATTGCTGAGTAAGTGCCTGTAGGATTGCAGCCCTCAAATTTTTAAAATGTATTTTTAATCTTTTGTTGGAAGCCGCTCAGAGTGACAGGGGAAACTCTTTTCACATTTTTTTTTTAAAGGGCAGTTTCATCTGTCTAGTGTGAGGTGTTCCTACCACTACTGCTCACTTTGCAAAGTTTTAAATGCTGCAAACCCCACTGGGAGTGATAGAACTTGATGTGCCATCACACTTTAAGAATTGCAGAGAAAAAGTGTGGGAGTGGCTATGTGTTTGCTATACAAATCCCCCTTTATGAGGTAGTGCTACAGCCCTTGAACCACAGTATAAGGAATCTGCAGGACACATAGTCTGATAGGCACATGGATTGAGCAGGTGTGGATGAGATTAGTCCACTTTGGACTCTTGAGTTTGACAGAATCAATCCCCTTCTTTGTTTTCTTATGTAGCATGGGATCTTTAAGTGGCACAATCCTACAAAAATCTACTGAGGAAGTAGTCCCACAAGTCAAGCACATAATGCTGCCTGAAAAATCAGTTGTCGCCTGAGATTATCACACTGTGTACTGCAGACCATTTTCAAACCAAAATGTAATAGTGTTGTATCTTATTACAGTGTTGTAAAATGCTTAGGCCCGATATTGGATTTTTCTGCATTGCTAAATCATACAATCAGCATTTCACATTTGAAGATAGGGACGTGGTTGTAACAGTCCCTTTCCAATATGAAGGATTAATGCCTGCACTCTGTCCACCTCACCCCACTCTATTGCACACACTGTTACATATCACTGAAAGTTTTTTCACCTGCTGTATAGTATCAGTTTGCCCACTCCGATTTAAAGTATAAGGTGTTGGGTTGGGTTTTTTTTGCTTTTGCCAGTGATTAGTATCAGACTAGGATGGGGAGAAAGGATCAAACTGGGTGTCTTTGGGCCAGTCACTATCGTTCATCCTAACGCACCTCACAGGGGTGATGTGAGGATAAAAATGAGATGGTGTATGCCTCCTTTAGCTTTTTAAGGTGGAAAGGTAGAATCAGTGCTGTTTTTCTAGAAAAAAGAGTGCTGGAACTCACCACGAACGCCTCCCTTGTTCTTTTATAATGCCAATGGTGCCTACCTGAGAGGTGCCGGAAGTGAGTTCCGGCTGAAAAAAAGCCCCGAGTGGAATATATATTTAATTACATAAATCCCAATCCTCCATCAGAGTCAAGAAAGGCTGAAGCTCTGGAAGGGTAATGATTACCTCCCACATTGAAATACTTTTGAAGTCTGTTTCTTGGATTAGAAATCTAGGAATGTTCTGTTCAAAGCATTGGTTGCAGCCAGAATGTACTTCAAGCCTTTGTGGAAGTTGTGGTTTAATAGAAGGGAGGGATCTCTGGACCTCCACATGTTGGATTTCAGTTCCCAACATCATCCCTGACCATTGGCCACAGGTTCCCCACTCCTCCTATAGAAGTTCAGGTCCAAGCAGAACCTTGGACAGTTGCAAATGGCATTCAGGCTCACACATGTATGGCCAACTCAAATGTTGCTTCAGCAGTGGTTTAGAGTTCCCTGAGGCTTAAATAGGGATGCTGCTCAGAGTAATTAGCTCCACCATCACCCTGAAAAATGGCTTTTGTAATTAAATAAGTTTTTCCTCAGTTGAGCTGGGAATTAGTTCTTATGGTGCCATGGAGACTGACTCTGTTGCTGCTTTCAAGATGAAAGCATAAGGTTAGTGTTACATCTCAGGAGGTTCACATGTGCTGTGGAGTGAGAGTGGGATTACTGAGGATACATGCTGAGGACAATTTCTTCCCTCTACTCTGGCTCCTCAGAGTCTCTGGGCTCACTCGCTGAATGAGGTGAGTTTCAACCTGATATCATGACTAGGAAATCTTAGAAAATGTCTACTCTTCATCAGTGCTGGTACCAGAGGGGTGCAGAACAAACACACATAAACTGCAACCAAATCATAAAATTAACAAGATATGCTAACAAACAAAGCAGCTAAAAACAACATCAGGATAATAATCACCTTACATAACCTACAAATAAGTAAGTCTTAACCTAGTGCCGAAATGATGACAGTTCACAGATAGAGTGCCGTCTCTATTCCCGCATCACCATAAAGTGAGCTTCCCTTAGTGATAGAAAATTGAGACTAGCATCGTCCCAAAAATATTAGTACATGAATAGGGAGAGGTGCTTCTTTAGTTATGGACTAGTCTGAGAAATGCATAAATTGAAGACTCGTATCTGACAATGCATCAAGTGATGATAATAATAATAATAATCTGCGTGTGGGAATAATGTTTTGTGCAGAATGCACAAAAGATATACATTTCCTACAAAAAAGACACAAAACTTTGGATTCCTGAGTATGCTAAAGCTATCCAATATTAGAAGCGCTGGGGAAGGCAGCTGTCTTTAAAAAAACAAAAAACAAACCACAAGTTTAGTTACAGGTAGGTAGCCGTGTTGGTCTGCCACAGTCGAAACAAAATAAAAAATAAAAAAATTCCTTCCAGTAGCACCTTAGAGACCAACTAAGTTTGTTATTGGTATGAGCTTTCGTGTGCATGCACACTTCTTAGGGTTTTTTTGTTTGTTTGTTTAAACCACAGGTTGCATGTGGGGAAAATGTGACGCACTACATAAAGAACTTCCATGTAACCTCAGTGTTTTTAATAGAGCTAATTAACAGTTTAATTAGCATGCAGAGGCAGATAGATAGCTATGTTGTTCAGTAGGTAGATAATGCATGTTGCTGAAGAAAACAACAGTTATTTCATTCAGTATATGCATTATTTTTTTCAAAATATAGGCCAGTTATCAGAAGCAATACAACAGTGGAATGCTGAACCAAGATGCTGCCCAAACATTAATAGGTGCAGCAGAAAGCTATGTTGATATTGAAGGAAAGTAAGTGCTGTATTTTAAAGAAAGAAAAAGATAAGTGCTGTATGATTTTTAATGTTATTGTTACAGACATCCCACCAACCACCTGAATGAAGATCACACACTACTGATGGTTCATGGAACACAGTTTGGGAACCACTGGCCTTAGAACACAAGTTCATAACCTAATAATGCAATCTTAAGTACATAGGGAAACGTTTAGTGAGAATTGCCTGAGAGTCCAGTGGAAGTGCTTATCTGGTGTCTGGACTCAATAAAGAACTGGATGATGACTTGTAAACTGAAGCTCAACCCTGACAAGATGGAGGTCCGGTTGGCATTTCTATTAGAGCAACTGAGACAGAGTCCTGTGGTAATTGCCACACGTTGAACCAATGACAGGGCTGTGGTTATGACTGCCCACTTTGCAGCACTTAGCCCACTTTGCACTCTGGCTTGCTGAGCCTGCACAGATTGATTGTTCACTTTGGCTGTGACTGCATGTTTTGAGCCCTGGGTTGCAGGAGCCTTTGCCTTTGAGAATGCCTTCTGAGTACTGTCTGCAGCCTTTGGGGCTGGGCAATTTCATGTCAGGCAAGACATATTTGTACAAGCATTAAAAAAATATGCTCCAAACACCTGAAAAAAATGGAGGAGAGTAGAGTTGCCTTAGTTGAGTTGCTTTAAAAGAATGAAAACATATATTCGTTAACTAAAGCAGTCTTAGCCACTTGCCAAAATACCTTCAGCTGGCATGCAAAAAAATTGGGTCATCCAGCAATTCATTAATGGCATTTATGTGATCAACTAAGAGCAATGGAACCCTAATTCCTTTAGTCTCTGGTGAATCTCCTCGATACCTGATCAGCCCCACCCCCGGAATCTTCAACTGGGGGAAGCCAGCTCTCCCTTGTATCACATCCCTAAAATTCCCGTACACAGAGGGGAATTTGATCATCAGCTCACTAGAATTTGTCAACAGATTAGAAAGGTAGGACAAGAGCTGAGAATTGGGCCCGTCTCACCAGGATGGTTTCTTGGGAGCCTGGGACATTCCTTGTGAGGGAGATTCCTTGGTCCTAACTAGGGATGACAGAGAGATTTGATTGAGTTATAATTTCTGACCTGAACTTTCTGAAACACCACCGTCCTTCAAAATTGACACTTCTCCAAATATGCAGTATACTTTGGTCAAGTAATGTGTGCAAAAATACATAATGCTGTGGTTAAGTTTGCATAAAAATGCATATCTGGAGGGAGGAAATAACATAAAAAGGCAATGTCTTACAGCATATTGCTTTGCAAAAGAGTGTATATTGGGCAGAATTGATTGATTTCCCTTTTTGGTGTGAAATTGGATTAGGTCCCTCTTTCAGGGATCCCATAGGCAACTGGCTGAACCCTGTGAAAACGGGATGCTGAACTGACCTTACCTTCGTATGGTCATTATTTTCCTTCTCCACTGATTTTGTATCTTTCTGTTATTTAAAAGTGAAGTTTTGTAAGCAACCTTGATCATTTTTTCCTGAAGAGCAGGCTTCTAAGGAAACATTCAGGATTGCATTGTTAATTTTTATTTTTTTTAATGAAGCAGCTGTCTTGATATCTGTATTCTCAAATTCACTCTATGATAATGTAAGTTGAGATATCTTTAGGATTTTACTATTTTCTTACTATTAGCTTCTCTTCTCAATTACCTTGTCTTAAATATTTTAGGTTTATGAATATTCATGAAGTAAAGACCTATTGGGAAAGCAAAGGAGTGCTGGTAAAGTTGAAGAAATTGCTATCTGATTGGGTTTACAGCGTGAAAGAGGAAACATTTAAGGCACCAAAGTTAGTGTTTATTAATGTTTGCTAAAATATGGTTGATAGAAAAGGTAGTGTGCTTACACAGTAAAATTATACAGACATACATACTCATTTGCTAAGATTAGTAATCAAAATATTGAGCATAGATGTTGAGGTTTGCTGGGGTTTGGCCACAAGGAATCAAGTTTCCAGTTCTGTGGAGAGCTGACTGTTGGTCTAGAGGTGAGAAGTTCAGTTCCAGGCAGTTAATCAAGTCCCAAAATGACAAGCAGAGTTCTGAAGGACCAAAAGCAAGTAATAGCAAGTTCCAAAATCAGCAAGTAAGATCAGAGAGCTAAGGCTTGCAAATAATCAGTGCGAAAGCCAGCTGTGTAGGGAAGGGAGGAGAGGCACATTATTCAAAGTGAAGAGCAAGCTCTGAAGCTTGGATTTTATAAGGCAAGGGCGTGCTAAAGTCTGATGGTGGTGCTTATATTGTAACCCTGATAGATACCTTTGGATGCACAGTTCAGGTTGCAGGAATGCAGCCGTAGTGGCACAGGAGGTTAGGCTCGGGAGGTGGGGGCGGCGTGCCTGAGTGCTGGGAGCCCTGAGTCTAGATTTCTCTTGACAGTGGTTCATATCCCTGTGTGTGCAGGTGGAGATCAGTATAGAGCTCAATTGAGTCTTCTTTCCAGCCAGTGTTCTGGCCCAGTTCTGAGCATAGGAGCTGTCAGCATTCTCCACTGACTCCCTACTCTTTAGTCAGGGAAAGGGGGCTGAGGCTGAGGAGACATTGATGACAGTGATGGGTAGAAGATTGGATGCAGAATTCTACTTTTGGCTTTGCCAGCATCACGTTTCTTTGGAGCAAGGTCAGTGTTGGCAAGAAAGAAAAGAATACAAGTGTGTTGTTGTACTGTTCTTCCTCTGATACCTCTGGATACCCCCTTGTTTGAGAAGTGAGTGAGTATCTCAAACAGCCCTTACAATTATGTATAGTTCTGTTGGGAAACCCCCCATTTCCAATGGGGAGGGGTGCCCAGTTTTAGGAAAGGAAGAGGAGCAGGACTCTTGTGCACACTTTTTCGTTCTTCTCATTTAGCTTCACAAGACTCCTTAGCACCTCTAGTTGTTGCTAGATTCCTGCCTGTCTATAGGTCTTATCATACATTTTTAAATAGTCTAATTACCCATGTATGGTATGAACAAGTAAATATAATGTAGTGGTCAGAATTTTCTAAATGATTTGGTAACTAATCAAAGCTCAAAATTTTATTCTCCTCCCTCCCCAGAAACAAGTTTTTAAGAATGTGCCACCATATGGTATTCATGGATGAATTTGAATATATAAGTACCATGATGACATTTTTGAACTGTGTTCCTATCGGTCTTCACTTTATACCAAAGTATTCTTCAACATTTATTCTAGAACTAAAAGTGTGCAACTACTATTATCTGGCTTTGTATATATTGGAAGCATTATTTAAGGTACTGGATATTCAAAGTATTGCAATATTTGTATTAACTGTATTTTTAATTATTGACTTTGTTGTTGTTGTTTAGTCGTTTAGTCGTGTCCGACTCTTCGTGACCCCATGGACCAGAGCACACCAGGCACTCCTGTCTTCCACCGCCTCCCGCAGTTTGGTCAGACTCATGCTTGTAGCTTCGACAACACTATCCAACCATCTCGTCCTCTGTTGTCCCCTTCTCCTTGTGCCTTCCATCTTTCCCAACATCAGGGTCTTTTCCAGGGAGTCTTCTCTTCTCATGAGGTGGCCAAAGTATTGGAGCCTCAGCTTCACGATCTGTCCTTCCAGTGGACATATAATCATTATTGACTTACCGTACATTTTTACAATATGGAATTTGAATTTACTTGACCAACAGTGTGAAATTGAAACTCTTGTTTCTTGGAAATATCACACCCTGCTCCTTCTTTTTCTTCAGTTAATGTTCTGATTCTTGCTGTGGCTTAAAAGAAACAACTATAGCTGTGTTGACTGAGAGTTGATCCCGCTCCTCTCTTGATCACCTCCTGCAAGATCACGGAGATGTCTGTGTATGAGGAGACCTCCATATTGACAGTCCCTTTTCCCATACACTCGAGTTGTGTGCAAAGCTGCCTGTGAACATTATTGCAGTCGGTGGAACTCACGCCCTCCCCATTAATTCTATTTGGTTAGGTTTATAGAATTGTGTTGTGTCTATCCTTTATGTTTGAAAACTTAGGAATACCTTTCCTCTGCTGTTGCCTCTACAGCAACTTAGAGAAGTACATAAAGGTTAATCATAGACCTATTCTCCATGACCCCTTTTAAGGTGGTCTAAGGTTGCGGCCATCTCAAAATCTTGTGGCAGTGAATACCGTACATTAATGTGGAGAGCACATCAGTGCTAGGTGAGACCAGAAGTCTACCATCCTGTTTCCCACAGTGGCCAACCTTGTGAACTTGTGCAGGGCCTGAAGATACTAGGCTCTCCCATTGTTGCTTCCCACCAGTAACTGGTACTGGTACTGGTTTCTATTTACCTGGTTTGGAGAGATTTTTTTGAAGCCCTTGTAAGTTCTCTGGGGGTTTCATTATGCTGAATAATTTGGCGTATTGCAAATTTGTCCACATCATGACTTATTCCATGTCTTTTTTGAACCAATTAAAAACACCAGTCCCCAATACAGAATGTTTTGAGGCTCCTCTTCTTACTACTGGTAATTGTTTTTATTATGTAAGGTGCTTTGGGAGCCCTGTGAATTGAGGAGTAAAATGCTTAATACACAAAATGTTTGATGTCAATTAAATATTTGTTTTAAACAGGCTTTTGCAATGGGGAGGACCTACATCTTTTACCACTGGAACCAGTTTGATCTTATAATCATAGTAGTGGGAGTTGTAGATGTCATGATTATTAACCTCTTTAAAACACTCAGTACAACGTATCATATGATTAATACTATCAGGATATTTCGGTTTATTCGTGTTTTAAGAATTCTGCGGCTCTTTAAGGTAAAAAAATTTGATAATTCTTTCAGTAATGTGTTATGCTTTGTTAGTAGAAAACTATATTTTCTTCTGTGGTTCAGGAATTGGGTATTTTTTTTGGGGGGGGGAAGAACCTTCTGTTGACGGACAGGACTTGTAGAAAAAATTACATCGTTGGGAGGGCCTTTTCCTCAGTTCCTATGAATGACTTCACTCAATTCCTAAGCTGCCTTGAGTCCATGTCAGGAAAAAAGGCAGGGTATAAATAAATATAATAATAATAATAATAATTCCCAGAACAATGCTGCTTTGCTAGAATGCATCAGGCACTTGTCATGAGTTGTAGCTGAGCGTTTGTGACATTGTTTAAAAGCAGCTTATTGAATTTGTGGAAGATACGGTCCTATGGTCCTGGCTGGGTAATGTTAAAGGAGCTGTAATGGTGTGGTATGACCATTAACTGTGCAATACATGATATATGTATATTTTAATACATTATGTATTTCAGCTTGTGATACCTAGAACGATTTATTTATTGGACAAGCAAATAAACAGACAGCTCACTTTCCGGTATGATATCGCTAAAGGATATGTTCAAGGTGAAGAAGATACAAATTGTTTAATTGGACAGATTGCTGGCCATGAGAGAGTTTATCAAGTGAGTACATAACTTCACATTTTAAGCAGAAAATTACATCACTTGTGATATCATTCCTTAAAGCAGAGATGAGGAACCTGTGGAACCAGATGGACTACAGCTTCCATCATACCTACCCATTGGCCATACTGACTGGGGTGGTGGAGTGCAACAATATCTGAAGAGCCACAGGTTCCCATTTCCTGCTTTAAAGAGTCAATAATATATTTTGAGAAGAACTCTTCACAAGGGGATTACATACTATTTTGTATTTGTAAAAAGCTCAGAGCACACGGAAGTAGTTCAGGCTATTAGAATCTAAAAATAAATAAATGAATGTAACAAGATCAAGATAAGAGAACTGAACCTTAACGAAACAGCTTAGTTTCCGTCAAGCAACCACATTAATTTTAAGTACCATAGGATGATGCCCTCTGAAGTAGTAGAGAGGACAGCCCCAAATAATGTGGAGCTGCTCAAAACTAAAGAAATGAATATTTTCCATTTAAATGCCCTTTTCCAAAGTTAAAGAAAAAATGGCTCCCTCCAATGGAACTCAGTTCAGATATAACACTTAGTTGTTAGGAAATGGGAATCATGCCACAGATTTCTCCCCTCCCCATATCTCACTGAAATGAACCAGCATTGCCTGGTAAGTATTGTAAACCATGATTTGTATTCTAGCTGGAATCTGCTTTATAGTTGTCTTTATTTTAAGTGCTTTAAGCATTTAGGTTGTGGGCAAGCATAAAATCATACTTTAAAAATAAGTACAGAAATACATATGTACTATTAAAAATTGGTATAATTATTCATTAGTGGCTATAGATATGTAATTACCTTTCAAGGAAACTCGAGTTCTGCTTAACATAAGGTGTATTTTCTCCCTTTTTACAGGAAATACATAGAATATTGGAAATGAACAAACAAGAGGCTATGAAAGAGTTAGGTAGGAATTTAATGAGGTATACAGTGGTGCCTCGGGTTACAGACGCTTCAGGTTACAGACTCTGCTAACCCAGAAATAGTACCTCGGGTTAAGAGCTTTGCTTCAGGATGAAAACAGAAATCGTGCTCCGGTGGCGCGGCGGCAACAGGAGGCCCCATTAGCTAAAGTGGTGTTTCAGGTTAAGAACAGTTTCAGGTTAAGGACAGACCTCCAGAATGAATTAAGTTCTTAGCCCGAGGTACCACTGTACATACAAATTGTTCTGGATAGTTCTTGAGAAATAAGTTATACTTATTTATACTTATTTAATTCCAATTTCCAAAACTTTTATAAAATTCTGAGGAAAATTTAAAGTCCTAAGATACTGTATTTATTATTAAGACTGCTCCTGCTCCTCTTGAATTCAGGAAACAGGCAGGTTTTTTTGGAAATGGGGTTACTTACAGCATAAGTAAACAGCAAAGGGGATTGATCATACAGTATTTTCAGGCAAGAAATGTTTGATCCCAACTCAACTGAAAGAAAATTGTTTAGGTAACTAATATTTTAATTTGTTTTAGGGTTAATGCAGCGTGATTATCCAGAGATTGTCACAGGCGTGAAAACCAAACAAGCAGTCCAAACAGTGCTAAACACAGCTTCTGAAACTCTAAAGTTTATGATATCGGGAGGAATTGTTGACAAAACTGAAGGTGCTGAACTACATAAGGTAATTTTAAAAATCCACACCTATGTATATATCTGTGCCTAACTATTACCTGTATCACCGTATCTTTCATTAGTAGATGAATGTCCTACTTTTTGACTAGAGTCTCCAAAGCAGCTAGGAAAACCCTCCTGGAGCACTGCTAAAACAGCCCACTGGTGCAGGAGCTGCAACAAAAGTTCCTTTCCACAGTGCAGTTGCTGTAAGTTGACTCCATTGCAATTGGCACAGGACTGATACAACTTACATGTATATTATGAGAAAGCAGAAAGTAGCAGTGAAAAACAAGTCAGGCAGAGTATACTTCTACATTACAAAATACACAGTTGAGATCAAAATGGAGTCAGGGCTCAGGACTAACATCCTCTCCCATCAGCTACATGACAAAGTAAAAAGACTGAGCTCTGAGCATGGAGGAGGTAGTAAGGATTATTTCCCCATTGTTACTTTTCTTGCTAGGGCAAGCAAAGGATGTGACCTCACAGAATGCCCTCTCTAGGAATTTACAGGGGGAAACTCCATGTATCTTAACCCTTTGCTTACTTAGCAACACATGACGTTTTATTTTCGCTGCAATCATTTCCCATAGTATCTCTACCTACTGGACTAGTTTCTGTAGATTGTAAGATTACTTTTCTTCTTTAGATGATTCTAATTAAAAAACAACAGCTTGCAACACTTCCATCTACAATTGCACCTCCTACTGCACAAGAACTTCTGCGTAATGTAATTTGGCTACAGAATGACAAAAAACAGGTAGAATACATTCAGGTAAGCATTGTAGTAAAACATATTTCTATGCTTAAAAATAGTCTATGTCTTATTTATACAAGGCCCCAAGAATGTAGATCCTTCATTCCATGGGAGATTTCAAATCCTGCTCCACTCATCAGGAGCTACCTGGCCGACTGGCCAGCCAGCCTTTCATCCATGCATTGAATTTGTCATCTGAATATGATCTGTGATCTCAGAATCCAAGGCTCGTCAGCCCACTCTTATTACTCTTATTGCACAATTACTACTCCTTGATTTTGATGTGTAATATTTTTCATTTGTCCGGTGCAGTCAGATTGTACACAGAGAGAGCTTATACATTCAGATTCAAAGGAATGTAATGCATCATTATGTGTGTCAACCAACATTTATTTCCAAAACCCATCCCTATTCATTGCTTTCTACAACCTCACCTCCCATCTTCTGAAAACGGTTGCTGCTTTAACAAAAAAAAATATCAGTTTTTCTTCATTCTCACTTCCTGTGATACCTTGGCCTTACAAAGATAGAATATCTTCATGTGAGATGACCACTTTTTCTATTTTTCCCATTGGAATCTCCTACCCTGACCATTGTGCTTGGAGCTCCTGTCCCCACCCATCTCTCATGAATGTGTGATTTTCTTATTTACTCCCTGTGTTTGACTATGTGTTTGGAACCCTGCCCTGGGATAAGGGGAGCTGTTTTTGAGGGGTGATTTTTGAATGGGTTACATGACACCCTTCTCCAATGTCTCATCTTATCAAAATGACAACCTTCTGGTGATGTTTTTTGTTTTGTTTTAAAATGCTTGGATTTTTTTATGCATATTTGTGTATACTGTCTAATTTGTTCCTGAGTGTATGTGTGTATATATATATATATATATATTTGCTTTCGTAGATTTTCACGGGTACAGGAATGCAGGTTTTGGTGTCCTCGGGTGTCTTCCCGTGTAAAAGTTGGGGTGTCTAGGCGACGTTTCGACGAGGTCTCACTCGTCATCTTCAGGCTGGTGCTTTCGGCTTCTTGTTACTGGAACAGAGCAGGATCTCAGTGTTTGAGTTCCTATAAATACTGTTGAGGGGGTGTGGTGTATAGCCTCCAATGTTCTGGGCAGAGAGGAAGTTCCCAGGCTAGTGTGCCTTTTCTTCTTTTGTTCCTTAATTACTTGAGGGATATCTCAAGAAATCACTCAAGATATCCCTCAAGTAATTAAGGAACAAAAGAAGAAAAGGCACACTAGCCTGGGAACTTCCTCTCTGCCCAGAACATTGGAGGCTATACACCACACCCCCTCAACAGTATTTATAGGAACTCAAACACTGAGATCCTGCTCTGTTCCAGTAACAAGAAGCCGAAAGCACCAGCCTGAAGATGACGAGTGAGACCTCGTCGAAACGTCGCCTAGACACCCCAACTTTTACACGGGAAGACACCCGAGGACACCAAAACCTGCATATATAAAAAATCTACGAAAGCATATACATATATATATATATATACACACATATATATATATGTCAGCATTTCTGTTTAACCTTTAATCAATGTGAACATTTTGTAGGCTTTGTATTTCAATTATCTATTTGTTATTTGACATTTTAATGAATAATGATGAATAGGATTTCAAGATGTCTAACTTTCTGAACCCAAATGTTGGTTAATTTTTCACTGCCTCAAACCAGATACTGTTGTCTCTCTCAAGTGTTATGTTTCCATTTCTCAAAACATCTTTGTTGTAGATTTGCAAACTTTTGATCAGTTTCCTATAGATTGGAAAACACAATGAATGACTACTATTAATGACATTTACAAGTTATGCATTTCGAGACACACCATAAAACTACCATGCACATTTAAACTGTCTCTTTTACATATCTCACCTTTATGTTACATAGTCAAAATACTTTTAAACCTTTTATACTAAGATATAATAGATATCAAATCAGTATTCCATTTGTTTATTTAAAACTTTTTAAATAAATTGAATGTATATTTGCTGATTCTTCAGATATTATCTGCCCATTATCTTTCTGCCATATATCTATAAAGTATCTTACACTGCAGTCTACTTATTATAAAATGTTGCTGTAAATAGTACTCCATTGCTGTCCTCCCAAAGTAAGTTTTCAGAAATATCTTAAGAAATCTTAAAATATTTATATCCCCTCATTTTGTTGGCATACTTAATAATGTACTGTGTGTCTTATGCTCTGTAATACTTTCTATACCATGTTCATTTATTTGCTATTTTCAGAGAAAAGCAAAAATTCTTTATTATGATTATGGAGATATGATATGTGAGGAAGGTGAATTACCACAAGGAATCCATTTAATTGTATCAGGAATGATAAAGGTAAATGATAGTTATAGACAAAATACCTGAGCAAGGTAAATAACTGGCAAGAAAATAGGGACATCACAGTGGTGGAGAAAATTATACTAAATATAATTTATAACTTTTTACTGCAAGTCTTTAGCACACTTTTCTTGACTTTAACTTTTTATAGAGATATATATGGTCACGACTGTTATTTTTTTATCTGCTTTTGCAGCTGTAACATAAATAGCACCTTTTTGTCACTTTCACCACCAACCTATAAACCTGTAAATGGATTATGTGGGGAAATCAATTGTCCACATCCAGTTTTGCCTCATGAGGGAAATACCACACAGGTTGAAATATTCAAGTTGCTACGTTCATATGAGTAAGATTTTCCTTTCACCTATTGCCCAAATATAAAGCTTTATATCCTTGCTGTCACCAACAGGGAAAGGGAGGAATTGCCAGGCAAATGCTCCTGTACATTTATTTGAGGCTGTGAAACTCCTCAGACATTATTTCTCTTGTTGGCTATGTGTAAAAAGTCCCAATTCTTAGGAGTCCTTTTGGACTATCACAGTCACAGCTATGTACTGCATGAAGAAGTACTTCCTTTTATGTGTCCCGAGTTTTCCAACATTCAGCTTCATTGTATATCCACAAGTTCTCATGTTAGGAAAGAGGGAGAAAAACTTTCCTCTATTCACTTTATCCATGGTCCTAGATTCAGGTAGGTAGCCGTGTTGGTCTGACGCAGTAGAAATATATACATAAAAAATTAAAAAATTGTCCAGTAGCACCTTAGAGACCAACTAAGTTTGTTCTTGGTATGAGCTTTCGTGTGCATGCACACGCACACGTAAACTCATACCATGAACAAACTTAAGTTAGTCTCTAAGGTGCTACTGGACAATTTAAAAAAATATATATTTCCACTTTATCCATGCCATGCATAATTTTATAAACCTCTATCATGTCACCTCTTACTCTACATTTCTCTAAACTAGACAGTCACGAATGTTGCATCCTTTCTTGGCATGGCAATTTGTAGTCGCTTACATGAAAGGCCTCTTCTTTCCTCTCCTTTCCCTTTTCCAACTCCTATACTGGCAAGGACAAATTTTATTTTAATTTAAATGCAGCTGCTGTGCAAAAATGATTCTCTGCAAATGAGCTGTTTATAAAATAAAAATACCACAAACTGGTGGGAAAAGGCAGGCTCCATCATTTCCTTTGGAGTGATGGAAATAAAATGAAAGTAGTGGATGTGGCAACAGAAGGCACTAAGCAAAATCTCACCACCACAGATCTAAAAGAAGCCCATCCATAAAATGTGGTTCAATGCATCCACAGTTGAATAATTTGGATTTTATCCCCATACCAGATTATCTGCAGATTGGGAAAATCCAAATTTAGCAGGGGGGAAATGTGGGCTGATACTTGGATGAGAAGTTTGGCTTGTGGCCATTGCAAAAAAATAAAAAATAAAATAAAAACACAAACAGCTTCAAATCTAAACTCCGATGTAGATGAACGCATTAACTGGCTACAGTGATCCATGCTCTTATCACCTACCTGAATTATTTAAAATTCATTTACGTTTTGGTTTCTTTGAGGAAACCATTTCCCCCCATACATTATGTGCCTTCTCATGCACTTCATTGAACATCAGATCCTGCTCTGGGTCCCTCTGCTAATTGAAGTTCGGCGGCTGGACACAATGAACAAGGTCTTTTCAGTTGTTCTAATTCTTTGCAATGAGCTCTGAGCAGCCATAGGATTGCATCCTTATTTCTAGTTGTATGAATTTAGACAGAGATGAGCCCAATCCCATTTTTGCCTGATCATCCCTCTTTCTCCAGTTTTTGCCCCAATTCTCATGGTATGTCTTACATTGCTCCCTGTCCCAGCCCTTACAAGCTTCACAGATTCCTCTGGCCTCTTCTGAGCTTGAACAGATACTTCATGTTGTAATTCAACCTTTTACCTAGTGGCCTTCTCAGCTGTCCCTGTTGCTCCTGTTAAAAAAAATAATCAGTCATATAGGAATAGAAATAGCTTTGAATAGGATTTTTTAAAAACTGTTTAAATCCCCAGAATACTGAAGCTGCATTAAAATCTGTGTTTCCATTCCCAAACCTCATGTATTTTTGGAAACAACCAGTGATGTCTGCCTGCTTGTACAATGGCACTTCCAGTTTCTCCGCTTCCCCTCCCCACTCCTGGTCATCCTGGAAATCTGTACCAGAGTGTCCCACAGTTCTCTGAAGCAGATTTTGGGAGCACACGGGGAAAGAGAGAAGCGAGTGGGTCCCTTGCATGAGTGACTGTCCACTTGCACCATGTTGGATCTCAGTAAATATAATTTTTCAAAAATATAAAAAACTATTTTGGCATATAAACAGCAGACGAGTCAATATGGAGCTTAACATCCTGTTATATTTCAAAGTATCTTTTATTGTGGCTAAACAATGATCAGAATTGTTACCTCGTCTTTATATGCTAATTTAACTATACCACAGTGGTCGACATATGTTTATTGCATGAAAAAGTGGAACACGTGCGCGCACACAACTTATATTAAATCTTCACAGGCTTTTCTTTTTTGCTTTCCTCTCCTCCTAATTGTCATAATGTCTTTGCTTAAGTAATGATACCAATTTTGTCTCCCCCTCATATACAGCTTTCAGATAAAAAGGACAAAATACCTTAGTTCACCTCAGCAGGAAAAAAATAGTAAAATAACAGTAAATTACCTTTAGACTTTCATCACCTAATTTTTTGCTTTGCCTAGAGAAGTCTTTTTCCTCCTCAGCTTTTCTGAATTTATAATAATAAAGAAGGTTATGATTAATTTGCGGATAAAGTAACCTTTCTACAAATGTACCCTACTCAATAAATGAACAAGCTGCTTACATTAATTAAAGTAATGTCATCCTGTGCCCAAATTGCTTGTGCTAATAAGGCAAATTGGCAACAGCAAGCATTAAGCGTGATTAGTCATATGTATCTAATGTCATCACCAGTGCCTATAATTGTCTGCATAGAGAGAATTTCACATCTGTTTTAAATCATTTGTATGGTCTCTGAAAATGATGTTCATTCCTGTATTACATGAAATACATTCTTCAGATCTTGTGTTGCATCATAAAATTGGTTCATAATTTAAAACACAAATTACTGGATACTGAAATGGATAGTACTTTTATTTAGACCTATAGCCTGCTAAATGCTCAGGAATTCCAAATAGGTAGTAACTTTATAAAATAAGATCAGTGAGACAAGAGTTAAGAAATTCAGCTATATGTGAACTATATGCTTATCCCAAGCCTGCCAGACCCCATAGGGAAATTGTCAGTAGTAGTGGTAAAAGTGCCATCAGCTGTGGTGCTGAAGGAGGTATTCTCTTTTTTATACAGTGGTACCTCGGGTTACAGACACTTCAGGTTACAGACTCCGCTAAACCAGAAATAGTAGTGTTGTTATTTAGTCGTTTAGTCGTGTCCGACCCTTCGTGACCCCATGGACCAGAGCATGCCAGGCACTCCTGTCTTCCACTGCCTCTTGCAGTTTGGTCAGACTCATGTTTGTAGCTTCGAGAACACTGTCCAACCATCTCGTCCTCTGTCGTCCCCTTCTTCTTGTGCCCTCCATCTTTCCCAACATCAGGGTCTTTTCCAGGGAGTCTTCTCTTCTCATGAGGTGGCCAAAGTATTGGAGCCTCAGCTTCACGATCTGTCCTTCCAGTGAGCACTCAGGGCTGATTTCCTTAAGAATGGAGAGGTTTGATCTTCTTGCAGTCCATGGGACTCTCAAGAGTCTCCTCCAGCACCATAATTCAAAAGCATCAATTCTTCGGCGATCAGCCCTCTTTATGGTCCAGCTCTCACTTCCATACATCACCACTGGGAAAACCATGGCTTTAACTATATGGACCTTTGTTGGCAAGGTGATGTCTCTGCTTTTTAAGATGCTGTCTAGCTTTGCCATCGCCTTTCTCCCAAGGAGCAGGCATCTTTTAATTTCGTGACTGCTGTCACCATCTGCAGTGATCATGGAGCCCAAGAAAGTAAAATCTCTCACTGCCTCCATTCCTTCCCCTTCTATTTGCCAGGAGGTGATGGGCCCAGTGGCCATGATCTTCGTTTTTTTGATGTTGAGTTTCAGACCATATTTTGCGCTCGCTTCTTTCACCCTCATTAAAAGGTTCTTTAATTCCTCCTCACTTTCTGCCATCAAGGTTGTGTCATCTGCATATCTGAGGTTGTTGATATTTCTTCTGGCGATCTTAATTCCGGCTTGGGATTCATCCAGCCCAGCCTTTCACATGATGAATTTTGTAGAAATAGTACCTTGGGTTAAGAATTTGCTTCAGAATAAGAACAGAAATTGTGCAGTGGCGGGATTCATCCAGCCCAGCCTTTCACATGATGAATTCTGTAGAAATTGTACCTTGGGTTAAGAACTTTGCTTCAGAATGAGAACAGAAATTGCGCAGTGGCGGCGTGGCAGCAGTGGGAGGCCCCATTAGCTAAAGTGGTGCTTCAGGTTAAGAACAGTTTCAGAACGGACCTCTGGAACAAATTAAGTTCTTAACCTGAGGTACCACTGTACATCATTGCTTAACAGGTTGTAGTGCTTGGAAACAGTAAAGAGCACTCCAATCTGCTAGCAGTAGTTTTGCACAAGAGAGAGACATGCCTTTGCAGGGCAGTAGAGTATCTGCTAGAGCTGTGCAAGGCCTCTCTGATTTGGTTTGGGGCAATACGGTGATTTAAACTGATTCCCTGTTTGGTGCAGATAAGTTTGGACCCACAGCAACCTGATTCAGACTCCAAATCAAGATTCAGAAATCTGAATCTTACATTACCCATTGACTTGCATTGGAAAACCAAAATGGTAATCCCCCCCCAAGTGCATGAAAATTGGAGACGTGTTAGCCCCTTAAAAGAAAATTTACTCTGCTAGATCTCAGACATATAGATCCAGTTTGTTTCATGCTAGCTACGTTTAAAGTTTGCATGGTCTTTAACATTTAAAAAATAATAATTGAGTGCTCAATCCTGCCAAATCTCATGCACCAGTTTTGCTTTCTCTATTAAGATTTTTTTAAAAAACCAATTTGATTAAAGGGTGCAACTCCATCTCTCAGACACCTAAGTAAAAAAGAAAGACAGACACCCTAGCCAGAACATCTCCTAAGTGCAGAGCTGAATTACTTCACTGAGGAAGATCCTTCTGTACGTGGATACAAAGCCTGACGTTAAAGAACAGAATTTGGGGTGTAGAGGTTGGAAAACAGTAGAAAAGTCAGGAAATTAGGTATGCCCATATCTGTTCACAGTGTCCATTTCAAATTTTGTGTGGGAGGCCAGTGCACAAAGAGCTTGGACGACTTTGGTGCATTGTGCACATGTATATACAGAAAATCAACGTATTTTAAAAATAGAACTGGAAACTAGGGGAAATACATTTTCAGTCAGCCAACCCAGAAGTCTCCCAAATGGTCACACCTCCCCCTCTGATTCATAGTGGGCAGCCATGTTGAAGTCCAACATGTTGAAGTCCAACACTTTACCTATTTTTAAGGTCTTTGGCAGGACCCCTACTCTCTATGGAGGTACAGATATCACTGCTGCTGAGGAAGACCTGCAGTGTGAGGAACGGTTGACTCAGCTCAAATCTTCCTACTTTCTGCAGTCCAGAGATACACCACAATGATGGTCTTATGGCCCTAGCATAACCCAATTCTGGAATTGGAGCAGGAGGGTCATGTCCCTTCTGTTAAGCACAAGATCTCCGATTGGACAACCTTATGTAATGAGTTACATAAGGCAGATACCATCTAACTTCATAAGAAGGAGCTAAAGAATTTAGCCAAAAGTATGAATGTATCTACATATTTGTTTAAATGGTGCAAGAAATGTGAATCTTGACATGGTCAGCATTTGCATGTAGTTGCATTTGTGTGAGAAGAGAAATAATGATGTATTTATTATTTTTAAGTAAACTTCAATGAGTTCCTTTTGAACACAGTATGACTTCCCTCAGCATTAACATGTATTTTTTGAAAATTGCAATAAATATGATATTAAAAAAAAAGCATTAACATGTATAGAATTGCAGTCTTAGTATTGTACTTTTCTGAAAATGTAGCAAGTGTAGATTTTGAAAGTTATTACTGGAACAAGGGGTGGAATTCAGGCAATCTTCCCATCAGTGTAAGGATTTCTCCTTGTGTGATGTAACATCCTCCTCTCCATCCCCTTCACCCCTCAACTCTGCTCTAGTGTCTAGCTCCAATTCCAAAATCCCTCTGGAGCAGATCTGCGTACAGCAAGGGGTGAGAGCAGGGAAATCCCATTGGGTATGCAAAAGTAGTTTTGCCTGTGCAATTATTCAGTTGAAAGCTGCCAAAGATCTACAGCAGATCTTACTTTTTTCCTATCTGAGATTAAATATTGTTTTCCTTCCTTTAAAAATTGTTTACTAGCTTTCTGGTTCCATTCCTCGTTATGGAGTTAGCAAAGAAGCTTTTAAAGAAATCCGCGCACGTCTTCCAGTCACTTCCTATACAGACTACCTGGTTGCTGGGGCTATAATAGGAGAACTCAACTGCCTGACGAAGCAAGAAATGGAGTATGGAGTTACATGTGAAACTGCTGTGCAGGTTGGAGAATTCTGCTTTCCAATACGTTACATGAAATTCATTTTGCTTAATAATTGGCAATACATTTAAACTAGAGCAGAAGTGAAATTCTGTGTATTAGTGAAACCTATTTTTTTACATTTTAATCCAGTTTTGAATTTGGGAATTCTTACAAATTTTGTCTTACAGCATGAGAACATAACCAGCATTCACTTCTCACTGTGCGATAATTCTTAAGAAATTTAATTTAAATACAGAAATGTCTCTTTCCCCTTAGGAATATATAATTTAAATAAACTGAACCAAGAATTTTAATTATGCAGAATTTATCTTCACTCTAATTCTTTCTTAGAATGTAGCACTCAAAATGTTTGGAAATATGCCAACACCGTTGCTTTGATTAAAGGTTATCATTTCTCATTTTCTTGTTTTATTTTTTCAGACATGTTTTATCTCTATAGATGATTTGCTAGAAGCTTTTGATAAGTTTTTGGAACCCCCCTCCCTAGAATATAAAATATGGCTGAAACTTGCTCTTGATATTGCTCTCAGAACTTTCAAGGAAAACCTTCCTAACCAGGTAGGCACATGTGTTCTTGCATGTGTAATATGGAATACATCTGTGTTGTCTGCAGTCACACACAAAAAAACCTTATAGAAATCTACATCTTAAATTTATGTGAGACAATTAGGCATATTTAACTGGTCAGTATTTTACCAATTTTGCAGTGAGTGGCTCCTCCCATTAAAATCAGGCAAAGCCATCGTGAGGGTGCATTTTGGAGAATGCGTAGAACAGGCATAGGCAAATTCGGCTCACCAGATGTTTTGGGCCTACAACTCCCATCATCCCTAACTAACAGGACCAGTGGTCAGGGATGATGGGAGTTGTAGTCCCAAAACATCTGGAGGGCTGAGTTTGCCTATGCCTGGCGTAGAAGGTGGACACGATGCTGTTGGACAGAAGCCCCCAGAGGAACCTTCTGGATCACTAAGACCTATAGGGCCAGACCCCAGACTCGAGAGGAACCTTCCCTGAGCCTGAAGAACCAAAAGCTTCATTCACAGTGTACACCGTCAATCCAGCAGTGTAAGGAGTGCACCAGGAGGGAGGCTGTGAATCAGAGGAGTGTCCCCCTTCAGGTCAGAGTGTTCACCCTCTTAAGGTGCTGAAGTTTTCTGCAAGGGGGTGGAGTCCACTCCCAGTCTTCATTGGAACATGTTGCTCACTTGGATCTATCTGTGGTCCAGCAACCTTTTTATTCTCACAACTCTGAAATAGATTGGGCGGAGATACTCTACTGGCCAAAGGTCATCCTCAGTGAGCTTCATGACTGAATGGGGATTTGAACCTATTGTCTCCCCAGTTCTATTCTATACTAGATTATCTAGAGGAGTTAGACCATGACTAGACTTTAATTAATTCATAACTTGCTTATGGTTGTTGGAATACTAGAAAAAAGCATAACTTCAATCAACTATGTAGTTTGAACTGAAATGTTCATTGGCATTAAAATGTCTAAAACTGACATACAATAAAGGGAAAGTAAAATGGAGTATGTGATTTTTTTTTTTTTGGTCTTGGATTAAATAATTGGGTTAATACAATGGCACACCAAGGTTGTTACACATAGTAGATAACTAACTAAATTGTTGTTACAGCTGAAATGGTGTAATCAAGGTTGTGTAGGGGTGTGGATTTGTTTGCTCGTCATTTTAGATTGTCTGACTGGATTGTTGTGTAAAACTTCCATTTTAAACTTTGTTAATAAAAGTGGTCTAAACCACTGAGCCTCTTGGGTTTGCCAATCAGAATGTAGGCAGTTCGAATCCCCACGATGGGGTGAGCTTCCGTTGCTTGTTCCCAGCTCCTGCCAACCTAGTAGTTCGAAAGCACGCCAAAAAGTGCAAGTAGATAAAGGTAAACAGCGTTTCCATGCACTGCTCTGGTTTCGCTGTTCCGTTGTGACAGAAGCGGCTTAGTCATGCTGGCCACATGACTTGGAAAAACTGGCTGCAGACAAATGCCCACTCCTATGGCCTCTAAAGCGAGATGAGCGCCGCAACCCCAGAGTCATCTGTGACTGGACTTAACTATCAGGGGTCCTTTAGCTTTACCTTTTTAATAAAAGCATAATGAGGGGGATAACTAAGTAGAATACATTCAAAACTATTAACTTGAAACCTAACTGCTTATGCTGGGCAATCTTTTACATAATTTACTTGCTTAGCGAACAGGCCAAGGAAATAATGAAGGTAAGTACACATACCTCCATTTACCAAGTCATATTGTCATATGCAACAGTATAAAACAGAAAGCCTAACAGCACCACTAAATAAAATGTAAATATAGACTTACCAATGCTAGACTGATTTTCTTTGAGCTATTTAAAGTTTAATCCACTATACTCATATCATATTTCAACTTCTATAAACAACTGCAGAAACTGTATCATATGACTTTTCATTGTAGGACTGGAATTACAAGATGTGTGTGCAACTTTCCAATATTTATTTGCTGGATGTACCAAACCACACCAAATGTGACATTTTTGATGGGAGTATGGATGAGGTCATTCTTGTACACGGAACTGTTCTAGATTGTCAACTAGGGCAGCGTTACTATGCACCATTTCTTTTACCTAAAACCTGCCATCAGGTAAGGATGTTTCCCTCTAACTAATTCATAGTATATCTTCAGCACTGGAAAGAGGGGAAAGAAGAGGAAAAGAGTAGTCTTTGGTGTTTCCAAGTATTTTTAAAAACAAAACAAAATGGTCACCAGAACTGTTCTATTTTAGTGTTACATTGTTGGCTTGTACGGAATGAAATAAATAAAATAAATAAATAAACACACACACACACCAATTTAGAAAACAGCTTGGATAAGGAACTTGTGTTACTGTTATCAGTTATATCATGGATATCTTTGAATGAATGTTCACAACATGTGTTAAACCACAATCCATAGATTGCCTCTCATTGCAACATTAACAGCATGCAGGTAAGCAAGTTTCTGCAACTGCATCCTTAGCTGTTTCTGGTACATAGAAATGTGCTTCCTGCCACTTGATAGTAGCCACAGCTACTTTGTAGTGTGTTCTAGGGTTTGAATCTGCGTGCAAAAATGCATGCTGTTGTAAACATAGTTAGATTGGGGGCATAATGTTTTCTGTGATTTTCTAAAATATAAGGCAAAGGTAAAGGACCCCTGACAGTTAAGTCCAGTCACAAATGACTCTGGGGTTGCAGTGCTCATCTCGCTTTACTGGCCGAGGGAGCCGGCGTTTGTCCGCAGACAGTTTTTCCAGGTCATGTGGCCAGCATGACTAAGCCGCATCTGGCGAAACCAGAGCAGTGCACGGAAATGCTGTTTACCTTCCTGCCGGAGCGGTACCTATTTATCAACTTGCACTTTTTGGCGTGCTTTTGAGCTGCTAGGTGGGCAGGAGCCGGGACCGAGCAACGGGGGCTCACCCTGTCACGGGGATTCAAACCGCCGACCTTCTGATCAGCAAGCCCAAGAGGCTGAGTTGTTTAGACCACAGCGACACCTTGTCTCTAAAACACAGCAGTGGTATTTCCTGAAGGGAAAACATCTGGACCCCCACAACTTGAAAACCATTGCACACGAAAATTAACAGCTGTACATGTATTTGTCTTGGAAGACAATAAAATTTGTAAGAAAAGAAAAAAACCATTTCACACCCGAAATTAAAATCCCTAGACCTTCTCCACCTTTATTAATGCAGATTTTCTACTGCTGGGGAAATTAATAGATGTGAAAATGCCAAAGCCTATTTCAAAGTGGAAATTTTTTGAATTTGTTTCTGACATGTTATGTGTCATTTATTGAGTTGAGGGCTTCTCTCCTGTCATGCCACTCAGTTCTGGTTTGTCACTGCTGAGCACATCTCAGCCATTTTATTTCCAGGAACAGCCATGAGAAGATTGTTGCTGTGCCTTTCTTCTCTGGCAACTGGAGGGATAGCATCAGTCAGGGAAGCTTGTGTGACAAAAATTTTACTTATCCACACACAAGAGGAAGTCATTAGCAGATTCAGAGGAAACTCAGGATTTACAGAAGTACAAAAAAAGGCTTTAGACCAAAATCCTAATTGGGGAAAAATCATAAAATCATTCATGAGAGTCGGGGGTACAAGGGTGGGATATCATGCTACTGTGTCTTGAGAAAATGTAGTAAGAGAGTATTTGGAAATATTAAGCCCAAACATGCCTCTTGATAATTTTGTGTGTTGAGAGGGTGAGTTGTGGCTCTCCTTATTGAGTATTATTAAAATTAAATTTAAAATTGTACTGAGCCATTATTGTGCTCAGCTTAATTTAACCTTTATGTAGAAGCTATGAAGAAGGCTGCTGCCTGGATGAGGTGTTATTCCATCTTTGTATTAAGCTCAGATGAATTAATTTCAAAAAGAACGATTACCATGGCAATATTCTAGGTACAAGGCACTGCATCATCAACAAAACTGCTGGTTGTACGAAGTTCAGAGCAAGGAGCACGAAAGAACCCTGCAGCATCCTCAAGCAGCACTGAGGGCCACTATCATTCATCTCGGCGACCTGGTATGAAACTCAAACTCTCAGCCATGCAGGAAGAGGAGAATGGAGCAGGGAGGGAGGACATAAAATTGGCAGTACTCATCATAGGAGTTGCATGGGAGATAGGAGGAGGAATTGGCCAGAATTGCCTCCCCCCCTCTAGCGTGCCTCCTCTGTTGGATCTCAGTTCCTTTCATGAATGAAAGAAGCCTGTCCATTCCTAGATGGGACACACTGGATTCAGCCACAATAAACAGGATAGTTAAAGTCTTCTTACAGGGATTTAATTTCCTGTGAAAATTTACAAAATAATGGGCGAATGTAAACAAGATAAATTTGAAAAGTTCTGTATTTTAATATTGTATAGGGTTTTTTTCTAATTCCCCAAAATTCATGCAAGTTTTAAAGCCCTTTAAACTTTACAGCTGCCTTGGGACATGTTTTTGGAATGAATCTTTCCAGTCCAAGTACAATAAACTCTGATTTGGTAAGTATAAGTGTATATTAAATGTAAACCAAATTTGATTCTTACACCTTCAGTGTTGCTCCAAACCAAATAAGGATTTGGAGTTGCTTGCATGAAAGGCTCCTGTTTCCGTTCTTCCCCTTTTTCTTTCTTGCCTTCTATACCTGTAGGGGCATATGATATTATCTTTAATACAGCAGTCTCATGCAAGAGCAGTTCGGCGGAAAAGAAAGGGAGGGGCAAGGCAGCAACAAGATGCATTTGTGCACCAGCAGAGCCACACCAGGGAGTACATTGCAAAGCTAATGTAGGGTCATTCCTTTAGTTAGAAGAACAGTGGGATAGAGGCAAGTTGAAATGTTTAATTCAGAGCAGGGTACTTTCTGGACACAATGTCAACATTTAACACACAATTCATTTGAGATAATAAATACATGAAATACCACATTTAGGAGGCAGGCATTCAAACTGTAAACTACTGCAGTGCTTGCTTATGCAAAGGGAATTCAAACCAGCATGTTAAATTACTAAGACAATTGCTTATTTGCAATGGCAACTAGCAAAATTGAAACACCACGTTTCTGTAATGCAGGATGTGTAAACTTAAATAATTGAGCCTGCAATGCTATATGATGAATCTGTGCCCTCAGTGTCACTGGAGTGCAACTCTTGTTATCCCTGAGCATTAGCTGTGCTACCTGGGTCTAACAGGCGTTGGGAGTCCAACATCATCTAGGCAGCCACAAGTTTCCCTCTTCTATACTCCTGTACCTAGGAGTAAGACCCACTGAACTCAGTGTGACTTACTCCACAGTATAAATGCAGGCATCAAAATTTCATAAAGTGGAATAATGCAAAATATTCTTTGGGTTCTTAGTGACCAAAGTATCTAAAGCCCGCTAGTGTAGCACAGTTCTCTTTTTGGGGCTGTTAATAGGAAGCCTTCCATAAAATGAGACTGCCATCAACTGAATAGGTTGGACTAGATCAGAGGTAATCAGCCTTTTTATACCTACTGCCCACTAACGCATCTTTCTTGATGGTAAAATTTCCTTACCACCCACCAGTGCTGCAGTAACATGTGCCATAGAACCCCCTACCGCCCACCTGGAATCCTGAAACACCCAGTAGTGGGCAGTAGGGACCAGGTTGACTACCCCTGGACTAGATGGTCCTTGGGTCCCTTTCAACTCTACAAGTCTATGATTCCACCATCTGCTTTCCTGATAAGACTGCATAAGTAGCTGCAGTATGTTCCATCCTTGAGTTTTAGATATGTAGGGGGGAAACAAGAGAGACTGATTCAAAAGGTCCTGGTTTATCAACAATGTGATAATTGATCAGTTTCAAATCTTCATTTGGGTATATAAAAAAAGTCACACCTACTTAAATCTGATGGATCTCACTTCACTACCAGGTGACTAGTCTGAAAATAAACAAGTGTCTAGTAATCTAGTAATTGTAATAATTCATTTATTAAATTAGATGTTTATTATACTGTATGGAAAATGTAGCTGAGACATATGACCATGTAATTTTCTCTTTTACAGGAGTATACATATTTAAGCTCAAAAAACCCCCAAGGGAAAAAATAATGAGAAACACATGTCATGTTACAGCACCAGAGAGCAAGGATATGAGGTTTTGTAGAGAAACAAGCTTAAGTGTTAAATATCAGCTTGCTGATGGAGCCAGTTTTTTTATTAGTTAGCCTTTGTTCTGTGAAAGGTTTAAAGTTATACAAAATTTGGCTTAGACGCAAGTGCTAGCAAAACAGCACTGTCCATGTATGCACACTAATCTAGACTGTTCAAACTGTTTTTAGTTTATCTGATCTTATTTCAGCTGTTGTAATTTGTGTAATAAATTTTGAACTAATTTATGCCTCAATAGAATTCAGACGAACACAGCAATAACAATGCCCATTGATATTGTTTTCAGAATTATTTACCTTTTGATACATGCACAGGTCTGACTGTTTATAGCCACTGATGCTGGGCTCGTGAACAGTTACAAAGTCACATTGTCTACAACCACCACAAATATCCTTAGAGCAGATTGCTTTTTAAAGGAGTTAATGAAGTAAAACGTACATCACTTGAAAGTGTTTTCAGAAGGTAAACAATCTCTCTGAGAGAGGGAGGTATTTCGTGCCACTACGTATCATGTGGAATGAAAGCAAAAAGAAGCCACGCTCACTCCATGGGAGGGGGGAAGGCGTGCTCCTTTTAGGTACATCAGGATTCGGTAGTCATGAATTAACAGAAGAAACTTTTTTTTAACAAGATGCATCCTGTAATTTAATTTAAAAAACAGATACTTTTAATCAACTCTGAAGCAAGGATAAACCATTAGCGCACATTATCTCCCTGTTGTGCACACATGCACTAAAAAGATCCCAGGTAATCCGTTAAGTGGACTTTGTTGATCGTATAAATCTTTATTTGAAAGTAAATTCCACTGAGTTTAGGATTGTTACCTTAGACTTGCATCCTGAAAAGTATGAGCTGAATTCAATTCCTGATTACTCCAACACTTTGAAAGGAACATACTGAAATGGGAAAAGTTTTTGTTTGTGTTTTATATAGCAAAAAGGGGCCCGTTCACTTACTACTCAGTGGGAAATAAAAATAAAAATTTGGAGATACTTAATCGTGCTCGTCACTTCGCAAAGTTTATCTCCTGAAAACCTTGGTGTAATTACCTGGGGATACAGCTGCAACTAGTAAACATTTTCACTTTGCAAACATTTACAAGTTGGAGAACAATTTAGCAGAGTGGGAATACACCACACCTTTGATGAAGAAATCCACTGTGGCATACAAGGTGCCAATACTCATAACTAACCAAATGAATTCCAGTTTCTTTGAAAAAAGCAAAGATGCTATGAGCATGAGCATGAAAGCATTGGTTTTAAACTGCTCTCTTTCTACTGTAAATGGAACATGGGAACTACCAGTGAGCTGGAACTGACAGCATCCACTTCTGTTTTGTAGTAGGTAAGCAGCAGCATGCTTCCTGTTTTGCTACTTGATGTAGAAGATCCCTCCGATATAGTGAAATGTTTATTTGAAATGCAGGTGGGAACACTTTACATGAACACTGCATTTTGAAAAGCTAAAAATAAGGGAAGAATAAAATGAAGTACCAGTATACATTTGTCTTTATTTCTGTATGCAATGTAGTATTAGGCACATAGCTTGGGACACTTTCTAAAATAAGTCATTGGCCATTGTTTAGAGTATCCTTTTGGCTTTTAAATACTGGTCAGGAAAACAAATGATGTAAAAATAAATGACTAACTTTCTATGAAAAGAAATAAAAATGGATTTGCATCTAAAAGTGCAAGAGGTGAAGTACTTTAACCCTTTCACCAGACAATGTGGCAATATACATTATATTGCTTGTTTGAGAAGGCGGTTGGAATTTTATGACATAGAAAATTATAAATTACAATTAGTTTCCATAATCACTATATATATATACACAAGCCAGTTATGAAAAAAAAACTGGTTTAAAACTTACAAATGAAAAACTTCACACAGATCAAAACAGTGAAAGTATAACAATTAACATGCTCAAGTGCCCAATTTTGATATTTAAAAGATATACCTTTAAAACACATGAACTGTAATTACATGAGCAGCATGGGCATTTCATTATATTTAGTTGATTTGTCAAAAGGATTACAGTGTTTTAAATATGAAGATTGTTCCAAAAATGTTTAATTTTATAATGCTCTGAATTAAAGTACATCTTGGTGAATGGGTTAAAAAAGGTGAATCACTTAAAATACACAACAAGCCATGTGCACTTCAAAAATATTCTAGTGTTTCACCTGTAAGGTATTGTTTCAAGCAAACAAAGACTTAACAGAACGTATGGCTTTACAGTAACATCAATTTGTCAACTAAATTGTAGCAATAAATACTTAAAATCTCTACCCATAGACTTACATTTTGATCTGGTTTAAACAATACAGAAAACAATTACCAATTGAAAATCTGCTGTAAAATGTTGAACACCAAAATTCTTTTAAAATCATTTTTCAAAATCTAAAACCAAAACATTTAAAGGGCATTGCAGATGAACAATTCTTTGCCAAACTGAAAGAAACATGGACTTCAGATATTTTTAGGGTGAAATATTATGAAAACTGCTAAATACTTTGGTCACTAATTGTCAAATAGTTATGCCTCAAATACATTAGATTTGTGTATTCACTTTTTTATAAAACTATTCTTACAGCCATTTTAACTATAGTATCACTACTTTTGTTACTAGGGTGGCAAGATCTTATTTCACAGGCCACCCATCATTTAGAACAATACAATTATAAACATACGCAAAAATTTCTTGGTATTTCTCAATGTGCAATTTTTACACTTATGAATTTCTGTACAATGTCTTAAAATCTAGAATATAAATGTTGCTGGTCCTGATCCCTTGCGAAATTAGTGCAGCATTGACTGGCTCCAAAATTACTCTAGATGAAATCCTCAAGAGACATAAATCCTTGCATATCAGTTCATGTTCTTCAGCCAACAGCAGTCAATATCACATATCATACAGGGCCATTAACGGATGCTTCTGCTAGAAGAGCTTGTTGATCAGTCCTAAGAAGTTAAAAAATGTGGAACCAAGTATTAACACAGTGCACCTTTATATTAATTTAAAAATGCAAAATGAGGAAACAGATAAAAGTTGTGATGCTTGGAGCCCTGCTGCCTCTTTCCCTGAGCATGTACAAAGCAGCTCTTTTTGCACACTCCTATGGCCATTTCGGGGCAGTGAGTACTGGCACTTTTTTTTTCCTAGAAAAAAAAGCACTGGTAACACTTTGCTTTTCTAGCACCACGATCCTGAATTACTTGACTGTGGAATATGAGAACAGAAAAATGGGAGGAACCACTTTTGAAAGCTATTGAGAGAGCTATTTGAGAGCCGGTGTAGGAATTTAAGGAAGGTGATCACATCAGATACTCTAAACCAGAGCTTTCCAAACTGTGTCACAACACGTTAGTTGCAGTGTGTAGGTATGTCGTGCAAACGCTTCCTGCACTACTCCTGGGGCTGGAAAGGGGTTAGTTTAACCTCTGGTTACAAAACGATGCATGTCTAAAAACTGCCACCAACATGAAAAGTTGGGAAAGCTCTGCTCTAAACTATGAAATGAAAATATTTTGGCAGTGCTCTAAGGAAGCTTTACATGAGACAAGGGTTGTATTTAACTTTAGTCCTACTCAGAGCGACTGAAGTTAATAGACCTAACTTAGGTTCATTAAGTTCAGTGGGTCTACTCTGAGAAGCACTAGCAAGGGATACAGCCCAAAGTGGGGAGCAGTAACAGAGACATCAATAGAATCATCCTTTAGGCCTGCTTATAGGCTCAGATGGTCATGTTATAAGACAAAAGGAGATAGCCGAGGCAACTCAGTTACATTTATGTGGGCCTTACAAATATTTGAGTACGGGTGCTCACAAAACAGTGCTTCTGCTTAAATGTTTGCAAGCAGGAGCATTTCCCTGCTGTGACCTGGGGCCATGCTCACCTTCATCCTTTGAGAGTGGCCAATTCCTTTTTCAAAGCCCATTAACACACCTTTGGGGGGGGAGGCATCCAATTCTTGAAGAAGCATCTCCCATCCCTGAGAGGAGGAAGAAATCTCAACAGAGTCTGGAGAGTAGCACCAGCATCTGTCTCCTTCCCATCCCTCTTAGTTACAGGGCCCCAGGAAGGCAGTGGCAGAGGGCTCTTCGCAAACCTCCAGGTATGAACAGAGATACAAAATTCTCAGAAATGTTGACACCAAGGAGAAGAGAGTTTTTCCCATTAAAAAACAGAAATTTGGGGAGAACTTTTTCTCTCCCAGTCTTCCTGTGCCAACCAGACAAAGCACTCATTTCCATAAAAAGAACAGGAGTGGAGAAGAGACCATGATTCAGTGAATGTTAACCTGAAGTTTAATCAGCATCTTTCAAAGCTACCATTACAATCATACCCTGGGTCGAATGTGCTTCGGGATGAGCGCGTTCGAGTTGCCGTCCATGGCAACCCAGAAGTAATGGAGCGCGTTACTTCCGGGTTTCGCCGCTTGCGCATGCGCAGGCACTAAAAATGACATCACGCACATGTGCAGAAGCACCGAAACATGAGACACGCGGACACGGGTTATGTTTGCTTCTAGATGCGAACGGGGCTCCGGAACGGATCCCGTTCACATCTAGAGGTACCACTGTATCAGTTTCTGCTTCTTTGTATCTGTCATATATATCATGGACTTCTGAAAGGTAGAGTACAAGTACATGACTACTTCCACCCAACACAACAGTTTTTCATCCATAAAGGTTTTTCTTCCATTGTTAAATAAAAGCTATAAGGTTCTTGGGACTGTGGTCCACATATTCTTCCTTCTCCGCTTTTAAATATATTTTTATTGCAATTTGCCTTTGGTTGAAATGGATGGTCTGAATTTTTACTGTTTAAAACACTGTAATAGTGCTTTATTATAATTGTCTTATGCTGCTTTTAGGTTTAAAATTTTAGATACAGTACTAATTTTTAAAAATGCTTGTGTGATACCAAATAAGCTGCCTTTGGTCTTTTGGCAAGGCAGAATACATATCCTTAAATACAGCCTTCATTCCAATGGTAAAAGAAACCACACTGTGAAAGGAATATGGCAATAAAGAGCTACCTCTGTTCTAGACTGCTGCTAGCAGGCTGTGGAGTGACAGGATTTTCTTCTGCAGCTTCTGTGTTCTCCTCCACCACGTATTTACAAGAAGCATCTTGCGAGGTAGACAATTTTCCTTCCTCACTAAAGAAACAGGTTACAGTTTTATTTGTGCCTTCAACATTTGATATCATCATGCATTAGTGGGAGGCTTAGGTAGAAAGGGTCCAGAGGTCACATGCAAGTAGAATTTTAGAAATATGATTGAAACATGGAAAACAAGCACAAGGTTGTGGATTCTGGTCACATTCATCACTGGCATCAGTTTATGTTCACTTAAAAGGGAACTGGACTGGAAAAAATGCAGGATGTAAGATTACAGAGTAGTAAAAAGAGGAATAAAGAATGTACATGGTGCCCAAAATGGAAAAAAAAACATTCATTATCCTTTACATACCGATAGGATTTCAACACTCTGAAGCCAAAAGTGAGGGGGAGGGGGGGAAAGAACAGAAAAGGAATGTAAAAAAAGACCATTAAGAAACTCCTAGAAAAAATAGCCCTTGGATCAAGCCCTATTTATGCAGCAGCCAAAAAAGTCATGGTTCATTACGTCAGTCTTCTAAAGTGTGAGCCCAAACTTGCAGTCTGAAGTGGTACAATCTGGACTCAATATTTCTTCCCCTACCCACTTGTTTGTACTAGGCCTCAGTCTAGATTAGAAACTGTTTGTGAGCAGATACATAAGCAGTATAGAATAAATTGTTCTCAGCTTCCAAAAGAAAAGAATAGTGTACAACTTTTGAAAAAAAGGATAAAATATATGTGGATATCAAATCCTTTCCCAGTCCCCACTCACTTTTTTTTGGGGGGGGGGAGCGTAATTCTCACGTGTGCACTCTTTATAACTTAATATATACCCATGTATCTTCATGTATTTGTACTTTAGTACAAAATACTATAATGAAGCAGCCCTTAAATAAATAAAAGAGCGAAACACAGAACAGCAGCAAAGTGGGATGCTGACAGAATATAAATAAATAGCTTAGCTAAGCAAATCATTAATTTGCACAACTGTACATTCAGCTATAGATTCAGATTGATGGCAAAACAAGATGGCATCCATGATTGATGCAAACATGAATATAAGAACATTCAACTGACCTTGAATGTTCCTTATCATTGTTGGATGAAGGGGATCCAGACTGGCATCGGCTCCTACAACTTACCCTTCAGGGAAGGCTTGTGGAAATTAAGCAAACTTTGTCCCTTTCATACAGAGAAAGCTCAGATTGAGACATGGTGAACCTGACAGAGTCAAATCTTTGAATTTTAAAAGAAACAGTGTAAAACTATACGGGTGGGCAAACTAAGGCCCGGGGGCCGAATCTGGCCCAATCACATTCTAAATGCGGCCTGCGGACAGTCCAGGAATCAGCGTGTTTTTACATGAGTAAAAACTGTCTGAGGGACAGTGGACCGGCCCACGGCTGAAAAAGTTTGCTGACCCTTGAACTAGAACATAGAAGCCAATATGTAATGCTAAAACAGAGAAGGAAGAATGTATAAAACTGCCTTATACTGAGTCAGACCACTGGCGCATCTAGCTGAGTACTGTCTTCACTGATCGGCAACCTCTCTCCAGGGTTTTGGACAAGGGCTTTGCCAGTCTTGTGCAGAGCGGCCAGGGATTGAACTTGAGCCCTTCTGCATCAAAAGCATGTGTTTTACCAATGAGCTATAACCCTTCCCCAAGAAAAGAGTCAGGACAGGACAGACATAAAGTCATCCCCAGGACTCAAACTACTCTCAAGGGGAGAACCAAAGGACAAGCCCATCCTTAAGCAGCATTCATGGACAGTCCAATATTCCTTGATGGGTGGGGTTGAAGTATGCACACAGAAGTACCAAGTGTACAGAAGAGCATGTCTTGCTGAAGAACCATCAGCAGAAATTCCGTAAGGGAAGTCCTGTCTAGCTTAAGTTTTTGAGTTCTTTGAGAATGTGTCAGTTATCATATGGATAGGGGGGATCCAGTAAACTGAGCTAGTCCACATGCCACACTAAGCCACGGTTTTAGACCTTGGCTTAATTGTGACCAACTCTTCCTCCTAAAACAGGTGCCATTTGGAGCACAAACAAGCTACAGTATGGATACAGCTCCCAAAATATCAATCCAAAGTGGATGAATAGGTGACAAAGTGATCCACAATGGGAAAGAAAATCATAATTCACATATATTTACGGGGTCTGAAGTGGCAGTGACCCAATCAGCAAAGAGATCTTGGTGCCACTAGTAGCTAACTTGATGAAAATGCTGAGCTCATATAGAACAGCTTAATCCACTCCTTGTCATCTTGGTGTCAATTTCTGTTCTTCAGGACAGCAGGAGACACTTTCCTTTTTTTCTGAGCACTTATCCCACCTGCATAAGAAAGTGAAGGCCACACCATAGCCGCCAAGCTGCAGGGGTGGGGGAAGCCACAAAAAGGACTGAGAAGCGATGCAAGTGCACCCCCTAAGGTGGGATGTGCTGGAGGTCAAATTCCTCAAACTCTGTGTTGCTTCAAAAGGAAATCGTACTCACTTGAACGGTGCCAGATTAAACCCTGTGGAGGTCCCTAGGTAGTTGAAACCTTGGGGGGCCCGTCATGTGAATGCTCTAGTGGGATGACATTGAACTAGGGAAGATTGATTGTAACTTTCTTTCTAGATCAAATCAGTATTATTTTGATCCACTGTCACAGGGCCCCTAAAAAGCACGGGGCCCTTAAGCCAGTGCCTACTCTGCCTATTTGGTAATCCTGCACTGCACTTGAACTTAGCCAAGTAAATGTTTGAAAATGTTGTCATGGTGCTAAAATTCCTGTCAGAAAACTGAATCAAATTTGAAATGTAGAGCAACACCAAAAAAAGGTGTTGTGTCTTAGAGAAGACTGGACAGTAGCAACTAGGAGGGGTCACTTCCACAAAAGGAACAATGCTTGCTTAATTTTCAGAAGCCCTGCCTCAAGAACAAATTGTAGTTAATTATTTACCTATCTCACCATTTATAAACCCATCCTATATCTGACACACATTTATATGAACACACACACCCTGCCATCAGGTTCAGCCAACTCTTCAAATAAACAATGAGCAAGAAACAGTAAATAAGCCCCCACAAAAAGGTGCATCTTTAATCAGCACCAAATAATACACCATCATGTTCCTCAGAAGGGAGATCATACCAGATTGGACACCAACACTGAGAAAGCTCTAGCATCTGGACATCCTTCTCCAACAATAAAGGAAAATAAAGTGGCTGTGTAACAGGATGAAAGGATTTTGCCAGTGAAAACCTACTAAAAGTGCAATTGCCAATATGAGCAGCTTATTTTGATAGAAGAGAATATGCTAAAGGACAAAACTGTACTGGCCAGAAGACAAACTAGCAAGGATAGCTTGGGAGACTAGTCAACCCCGTGCGGCGGGGGTTCCATTTTAAGAACAACAATTTTGGGGAAGTGTTTTAGGGTCAGCCCCGTCACTCTCTATGTTCCACTAAGATGCATAACATTTGCACACAACTTTAAAATGGTGGTGGTATCCTTTTTCTAAAGCAACAAATAATTCAGATATGGAACTGGATTCTGTGACCAGGCTTTGTTGGTGATAAATTTTATTTAGTAAATGTATGCCCTTTCTTTCTTTTAAAATGCTCGCTGTGCCTTACAACATAATTAGAACATTAGGGGGAAAATAAGAAATTAAAAAGCAACAGACAAATTTAAGAGACAGAAGATGCAGGATCCAGCAGCTAATATGTCAGAAGATTAGAATTTCTAAAAAATAAAACAAAACAAAAAAACCCTCCCCCCCAAAATCTGGTCACTGAAATTCACAAAACAAAGGTATATGCTAAAAGATTACACCTGGTGGCTACAATCAAATCACACTTAAAATCTTTAATTTTGTTGTTGGAAGTTCCCTATTTTGCCATGGATTTGTTTTTAAATGCTTTTAAAATGAAAGATGGCATGCCAGGCTAACATTAAAAAAATTAAAATGATCAAAACCCATGCTCTGAATCAAGCCATAGTGTTCTCTTACCTTTTGAAGACAGCAGTTTCAGTTTTAGCATCTACAGTAAGGCTAAGGGTCTCCTTCATACTGCCATTCATTACTGTTTCAGTCACCTTGTCTGCATTTTCTACATCATCTTCTCCATCAGAACCAGCCTCCATTGCAATGCTTCCTGCAGCTGTAAATACAAATTTGAACAGCTGAAAAGGCTTCAGGAGCTAATACTGATTTTTATTCTGGAACAAGGTATTTTTTGCCATTTTTACAATTGTTCATTATCACAAAATAGAAACACAATCGTTTAGATAATAAACGGTAGATAACAGTGTGTTTAATTTTCTATATTAACATCCCCACCTCCATTTTCTAGTCTATTTGGCAATTTGGATCACTTACAATAGCTAGCTAATCACATTTGAAGCCACATCAGAGGGTTTTAATACCTCTTATATATCCATCAGTCATGTAATTTGGAAGACATTCAGTGGCATAGTTTCAATTTCCATTATTTTAGAAAGCAAGACATGCTTATCCTATTTACACAATTGATGTGTTTGTACATCATGAAAAACCATAGTTTATTCTGATGTGCGTAAGCCACAGAGCCTTTTCCCTCCACACATGTAGCTGGGATGATGATGTAATTATTATTATTATTTTTTACTTCTTTCAGTTATTTGCCATTTGTCCTGTTGGCTAGCATTATAAACTGATTGACACTAACCCTGGTCTGTTTCAAACTTGGCTTGTTTAAACTAGGCATATGGCAAACAGCAGTTAATTACAACTAAAAGCTCCCAAAATTCTTCCAGCCACACAGGAGGAGCAAACACATGAACCAGAGGCTCACTGTGATTTGTGCAAGTAATGATAAACAATGGAGTATCAAATGCATATACAGCCATATGTGTGTCTGAATTATTTAAGTGCTCTTACCTTCTGGTTGCGTTGCAAGTGCTACATTTGCACTCAGAGGATCCATGGGCTCTGTGCTGGTTTCCATCTCTACGGGTGAATTACTTCTTAAGGAATCTTTTGGACTTTGAAAGAAAACGAAAGCTTTGATGAATTCCATTTTTAGTGTTTATCAGAATAAGTATGTTGGAACTATATTTTAGATTGGTGAAGCAGTCTGCCCATTCTACATCATGTGAGTAGATGCCTCAACATTTTGTGCTGACAATTTGAGAGTTCTAGAAAACATTCATGTGCAATCAAAAGGAGTAAAAGGAAATGGAACACATATCAATGTATACAAGTTTATGTCTACTTGAAAGCTAAATATTCATTTATAATTTCAACTTTCCCTGTTGTAATTAGGATATGAAGGGAAAAGACTGCAACGTGAGCAGAGAACCTAAATTATTTGACTTCTACATATTGCAATCACAGAAACATAGAAATAGCTGGAGAGCTGAAAAAAGCACCATGTTACAGAGGAGAAGATACTGCAGGTGGTGCTGCGACCAAAAATAAAGTAATTTTGTCTTTTTGGTGAGCGGTTGACAAAAGAAAATGTTTTCACTCCCCATATATTTGCTTTGGGGCTGCTGACTTGAGTACTCTATAGCCATTCTCAATTGTCAGAACAGAACAAGTAGAACCAGGTGAGGAGACAACATTCCTGCACTTATGTCTCCCCTTGCCCACCCCACAGTTCTCCCTATAGCTCTCCTGTCAATTCAGATACATATAAACATTTTGACTTCCCGTAATAAAATTAACCTGCAGCTTTAAAAAGGCTCTCTGGGAATGAATCTTTTCAATTCAAGATCTCCTTAAAACCAAATCCCTACACTCACAGACTCAGAACTCCCTCAATTTTCAGCTTAGCTCATGAAAAGAGTATCAGCGCTTTCACTCAAAATTAAATTCCATTTGATTCACAAGACCTGAAGCAACACAGTACTTTCCTACCTTAGTGAAGATGTGAACTCTGAAAAGGAGGCCCAGCCAGTTTCTTTTGCTGGCATTGGCTCTTCTGTGCTCCAAACATCAGACCCAACAGAATCCAGATTCGTACCATGTGTTGTTTCCATAGGAACATCAAAGTTAGCTGACCAGTTAGGTGCTGGAAAGATTGATACATTTATCATTTTTTAAAAAGCAAAAAACTAAGAAAGCAAAAAAAACTGCCATAGGACTAGGACTTAAAATATTAGATTAAAACAGATTTGGGAATTCCTTGGGCAACTTAAAACAATGCACACCTCATTAAGGAACATACATGATTTCAAAAGTACAATATTAGAATATTCCACTCCAAAACCCTCTGGATTTTGGATTTCTCCAATCCTAATAACCCTCAGTCCTCCAAAATATGTTTCCTATTTCAAAGGTTTGTCTGAATGTTTCCTTTATCTCAAGGCAGAATGATCCTAAGGTTTAACTGGTTCAACAAATATTTGAGGCTTTGATTCAGACTTGCCTTGTTTCAACCCCAAAGCTTTAGTCACACATCTGTGCTCAACACTGGCATTTTAATTGCCACCGTGTGTTTGATATACTATTGCTTATGTGGTCAATTTATCCCAAAACAAAGAAGGGACGTTCTAACCACTGAGTTCTGTCTCACTTTTGAGTGTTTCTGGACCTGTTTTTTGATCATTCATCCTGATTTGTCTTGCAGGGAAATTAGACAATGTTGGCTGTTTAATGAGCATTCACTCTGATTTGTTTGTTGGGGGGAAGGTTAAGATGACATTGCATCAAAGAATGTGTTATTCCCACACTTTCCGTTGCATTACCCCATCACTTTTCTTACTTCGAAAAGTTTGATGTTTTGAGGAAGCAGGCTCCAATAAACTTTAATTGCACAAGCAGAGTTTACTGGTATGCGAAGGAATCTCACTTGAAAATAATGGCAGTCTGGAAGTGCCCTTGCTTAATAGAATTATGCTTGTCTGAGATTTCCACTTCCAGTATCTTAAAGTGAGCAAGAAGCAGTGGCATAAAAACTACCTACCCTCATTCAAATCTACTTCCATCTTGTCTTCTGTATTGGTGCTTGACTCAAACAAGTCCTGCTTTGTTCCATCCTCTTCTTCAGAATCTGTACTCTCCTCACTGTCTGTACTGCCTGAGCTTTTTTTAAAAAAAAAAAACAAAAAGAACAGACACATACAGAAATATTATTTCTACCACCCAAGAGGGGTTGGGGTTTGTTTTTTTGCCATTTTTTGCCTTGATGACACAAAAGACAACCACAGAATCTAAACTTTCCCACTGTTAATGGCAAAATTCGCACCAAACAAAACAATCTCTAGTTGGGATGTAACACTAAGCCAGGGATCATGGCTGTTGCTGGCTAGAGGGGAGAAATGAAGCTGGATCAATCTTTGCATTCTGACAAAACATTAATTATGGTTTACTGTGACATGTGAATTAGGTCACTTGCATCACCTAATTCAGGTATCCTTGACCTTCTCAGACTCAGAACCCACTTTTAACCCAAACATGAATTCAAGGCCCTATTTCTTAGTTTTTTGCCATATATTTTCATGGTGGTAGTGCTCCTGTTGTGACCCACTTTGGATCAGGACACAAGCCTGACTTAACCAGCTGAAGACGTGCGATCTTATGAATATCATCCCAGTTACTGCTGGAATGTAATATATTCATCTTTGCATTACTCTTCCTAAAAGCACCTGGCACAAGCTTACCAGTGCTGAAATAGGTAAATATATTAGCTTTTAGATTAGATTTAATTAGAGGCAAAACATATTCCCTGCCATCTTAAAGTTACCTGGATCTTCTCTGAGATTCTGGTGCAAAAGCAATATGCTTCTCTTCCCAGATATCTTCTTCATCGGAACCACCATCATCAAACTGCTGTATTCTCTCCTTACAGCACGCCTCAAACAAAGCAATATTGCCCTAAACATAATAAAAAGCAAATAAATTACAAAGACTAAATTCACCACTCATGAACACTGAATATCACATTTAGGTGGCTAGTCATGATGTATGTTATGTTTTAAAAAACAAAAGCAACAACTCTGAAGTGCTACCCAACACAATTAATATTCATATCCCAAACTGTAAAGAACAGATAGGCTTCTGGTAGAAAGTATTTTGTTCCATGTTTAAAGCAAAGTTCAGATAGCGTCAGAATACTCTGCTGTTGTTCCTTAAATTTAGCATTAAAATTCTCAGAACATAATATCACCAGCTCATAGGTAGTTGACCACTTTAAACTGGTTGATTATGGCATGCTGGAGACTTCCTATGACCTCTCCTTCCAAAGAAATGGACAACCACTGTCTCACTCAATGAGTCCCCCCCCCCAAAAAAAATTCGCATTGGTATCAAGGATTGGTGCCAAGCTGAGTGAAAACAGCGTGGAAGACTTGCACATTGCTTCACTTCAACAGGTGCCCTCATCCTCTGGGAATGCAAGATCCCTCCCAGAGGACTCTGGGTTGATCTCATTTCCTGGGACGAGTACTTGCAAGGGAGAAGCAGCATATGTATTTTCTCTAGTCCTCACTGCAATTAGGAGATGGGGCAAGTTTTCCTCTGGAACACAAGGGAAGCCTCAAAGAACTTAAAACAGCTGACACTCCTGATCTGACTAGGAGAGTTCATAGAAGCCACAAAAAAGACCCAGCCTGTGGGCTGCCAGTTCACTGTCTCTGCCATAGCACATTAGCTACCTTTATTACTCTGGATGGGCATTCACTGTATCTGAAAACAATAGAACAAATGGGAAGTGACCAGAAAGAAGGGCTCCTAATGTTAATTAATAAAACTCAAAAGGGCCATGACTAATTCTGTCCCAAGATTAGGTCTCCAATAGTTTTACAGCATCTATCAAAGAAACCTACACAGAGCCATCCTGAGAATACCAAAGGACTTTCCATGAGTTACCCAGCCCCACTCTGGCAATGCATTCCATCACTTAACAGCTGGTGTACGTTGGATGCTGCTTCACCAACATGCCCCTAAATCTGCACCTGTTAAAACCATTTCTAGTCTCTTGTGAGGCTGAGGGACACAACTCCAGTCTTCTTGAAAGCTTATAAACAGGGTTGATAAATTCTGGCTGACCAATGAACTGACTAGTCAATGAACATGTGGTCTCTAGGATTCTGCCTCTTCCCCCCCCCCCGCAAAGTACAAGGTTCTGTCCCCAACTTGATGCCTTTGATATGCATGCTGAGGTCAGATACAACCCCATGCTCTTGCCAGAACCAAAGGTGAAGCTGGGGAGCAGATGGTGGGGGGCTAATTCCTAGAACTGCCCTGTGACTCTGCTTCCAAGGTGCTGCAAGAAGCTTGGATGCACCACACCAAAAGCAGCTCCAGGTTTCTACCTCATCTTGCAGTTGGGGAGGGGGCGCAGAACATCTCTATAGTTATGCTGGGCTTCCTCTGAGCATGTTGAAAGTGCAACACAAGAGCAGGGCCAAGCCCAACTGTCTCCTTCAGCTCCAAGATTGGGTGGCAGAACACTCATCATGGTGACCAAAATTATGGACCCCTACCCATCAATGTTTCCTGATAAAGATGCTTGAATCACTGCAGTGTTAAGACAGAAAGCCACAAAAAAATCTCTTAAAATGTTCCTCTTTACAAACAATGCCACCAAAAAGGGCAGGGCCTCTCCACTCACACATAGAGAGAATGTGAACAAATAGCATCCATTTTGAATTTTACAATAGCTGCAAGAATATACTTACACTTTCATTTGTATTGAGGGTAAAATTGATGTCTGATACGCGATCAAAAGAAACACTGTGAACAAAGTACAAATTTATACACTAAAACAGAGAATAAATGGCATTCCATACAGACCCCTGAATTATTTCAGTTCACATCATTTTATAATCTCATGAAACTGATGCATTCTTTTCTACTACTAAACTTGTGAGGATTTTGACTGGTTACATCCAAAAAAGGAGCCAAGACCTCTGTCACAGGCTCACAGAGCTGAAGAAACAAACAAAAAAAGTATTGTGGAAAACAATCCTCACTACTAGTTACCTAAACTTACAGATAACCATGCTAAAACTGCCGTCAAATCAAATATTCTAATCTAGGAACAGATTAAACGATGAAAAGATTTAAGGGTGCCCACCTTCTTTAAACAAAGTAATAAAGCACTTTAATTTGTCAGTTCCAGATACTTAATTAAGCAGCACAGCGATAACTTGCTGTATGTTTGGCATGCAAAGGCATTCACTGTGGACTGCATCTCTCCCATTTACTCTAGGCAAAGACATGTGACCATATTTTTTTCTTTATGAAACCGCCCCGCCCCCCAGCTGTCTTCTCCTCAGCTGCATTCCACGGATAACTTGTAGCAAAATCATTTGTAAACCTAACCACATATAAATTCAGAAGAGTAATAATCTAGTTCAATGGTGTGCATGCATGACAGAGTATGTACAGGTGAGGAAGTGGATTGCTTCATATGCCAAACAAGAATGAAGCTTCACAGTAAGTAATCAATGTTCCATTCTCTTGCTTGGCATGAGAGACATCCACTGTGGGTTGTGGAAGAGCCCTGTATGATGCTGGATGGGTTGGGTGGCTGTCTACTGCTTGTTAAAGACCACATGGCTGCTCAACAGATGTTGGGGGATGGAAACCTTGTTGGATAGAGCAGTAGAGGTGCCAGATGCAAAGTGGAGTGGACAGATGTTTGGCTTCTCATGCTAATGGCTGTGTAGACTGATCTACCATACCAACGTACGGCCATTGTAAGTCCAAACAACACTGAACTAGACAGACCAATTGACTGACTTGGTTAAAGGCAGTTTCCTATGACAAATGGTTACTACTGGAGAGAATGTACCAGCAATCCCTCCTATTTCGTAGGGGTTCAGTACCAAGTTTTACATGTATACATGAAAACTGCATATAGTTAAACTCTTGAAGCTGCCCTGAAGCTAGCGGGTGGAAGGAGAGATAAAGAGCACCCACATACTCCCATCGCTGGTGCACCGAGCGGGCTTCCCCCAGCCAGCGAGGTCAAGAGCATAAAAGTTATTTTCATCCAAAGTCTGCTTGGGTTACCCAGCACAAAAAGAGCTTTTAAGCTAGTTCTCTGATTTGCTTGCTGGGCTAGGCCCATTCGATGCACCGGCTCTAGAAGGCCAGCGATGCTCATGTGAAATCTCGAGAGAACATCCCATGGCCTTCCAGAACTGGCATGCTGGGCAAGCAAGGTGGAGAGCTTGAACGCACCTTTCACAAAGAAGACCTGGCATGAAAAGAGCTTTTAAGCTCCCTGCCTTGCTTGGGAATTGACTTGTGCAACTGAAAACATGCAAGGCAAATGTACGTAAGATGAAAGAATTACTGTACATGCTCCACTATTTTAGCCACAGAAAGGGTCTGATCACCACCATTAGCTACTCTGGTCTTTGTAGAGTGATATACTGAGCCCAGGGTGGCATCTGCTATGAATTCTGGTGCTTGGATTATTAATGTTATTATTAGGAACATTCTATGAGAATCAGAAAATAGGGATTCTAAACTTCTCAACAAATTCTTATTGAAAAATGAAGATGCATTTAGTAGGATCTAAAGCAGGCCTTTGAGCAGCCTTTACCTGATCTATGGAGCTCTGGCTTTGTACAGATTGCATCACCAGATGTTAAAAATGATTCTCACTGGCTTGAATTATGCTGCTCTGCCATCTGGTGGCTGACTGAAAGCAATGCACTCATTTCAGATGAGCAACATTGTTTTCTGGTCCCCCTTTAGACAGATTGTCTTTCTTTTGAGTTCGGTTTCCCCAGTGATCCAACATGGTGGGTGCTCTGGTACAATTTTTCTATTCCACTCATCTCTGCCTTTGGCAAGTGGGACTGATAGAACACACAGCGGACACTCCCACACCAAACAGGGAACTAACCATTTTCCTTTACTATTTGGGAAGTAATGGGGGGGGGATTCACTGTTTCCATAAACATATATGAAAACAAAACAAATGGTGCATATGCTTGCAGCCACTCACAGGGAAGAGATCCAGCTACAGTGCATAAATTAACTCACATTTTAAAACTGGGTAAGTTCTTACCTGTTCTAAACCTCCAAGGGCACACATTTAAAATATAATGAACTGACAGTACCAATCAAATCTAGTAATATTATTGGACTCAAAGGATAAGCTAAATTAATCAGGTCTATGTTCACAACCTTCACTTATGCAAAAATTACACCATATGGATTAGCACCATACAGAACCACACAGAAGTTGTGTTGGTTATGTCAATCTTCTATGAAAAGAAAACTTAATCAGAAACCTGGTACACAGTGCATTCAGAACATAGTACTCTGGATTGGGATAAAGAGGCTTCAGAGAGAGAAATCAACATTGTGAGCATTCTGGTCTATTATTTTAGTGGCAGTCATAAGAAGAGTTTGCTTCATAAATGCTAGGGATAGAGGCGTTAGACATGAGGCATAATTTAAAGGAAAAATTCCTCTTATGAGTGCACAAAATGTGTAACTGGAAAATGAACAAGCTGACTACACACAGATTATAACTAGAGAGACAGCCACTAACCATTGCAACACAAACAAATGGAAAACAAAAAGGCAGACATTAAATTTTAAAATACTCACTTGCCGATATCATCTTGGTCAGCAAACTTCTCATCGTTGAAGCCAAACTGGTCAATAAAATTGGACGTCATTTGTTGCATCTGATAATCAGAAAAGGCCTGGCAACCCCAGGACCAATGACAGTGATATAATGATTCTAATAATAGTCTAAATACTACTTGCCCATTTTGCTCCAGAAACACTTTCTCCTAAATTATTTATCTATGAACTATCGAATGTTGAAACTTGAGGGCCTTAGGGCAAGTGCTTGGTAACAGTTGCTCTTCTGTAATGATTCAGTTACTTTTTCATAAAGTAATAATTAACTTAGGCCTGAAGTTACTCTTCTAAAAACTATAGGTAAAAAGGCAACAAGAGTTTGGATACTCTTACAGAAGTAGCTTGAAGAGAAACAGTGTGACACCTCCATCAAATTATTTGAGGAAGATAAAGGGAAGTCTTTTTTGGATCCAGCAGAAGTTACATATATTTTGGAGGCAGTATCTATAAAGCAATTTCCTTACTAAGAAGGTTGCATCCACTAACATGGTTCTGGTAAATTAATTAGGTGCCTCGTGATGCCACCAAACAAGGCATTCAACAAATATTTAAGATAGCATCTTAATTTTCTGCACAGGCGACAGAAAAAAGAAAAGCTACTGCAACAGTTTGGAGCTCTTTTAAGTAAGCATGATCCAGAGTAACTTTTCAAGCTGTCGTCACTAACTGGCTAGAATAAGCTAGACTCAGATTTGATGAACTACCATGGCACAGATGAAGACAGCTTTTATGCCCATGGATGGAGAAATCCCCAAAGTACGTATCAGGAGACAGGGGGAGAAAGAGGCTAATTCTAGAATTGCAGTTATAAACTAAGGCTACATTTTCACAGACAGTAAAGCAGATTTTCAAGTGCCTTCTTTGAGTACACAGCCAGAAACTGGGTGATTTTATCGGAAAGAGAACTGTGCTAGAAAAAATAGCCTCTAAAGCACTAGTCATATATGCCTTTGGTGGTACAACTGCCAACAACCATTTCTGCAGGATCAGGGGTACACAAGACTGTGGGAACATGTGGTCTGCTTCCCCTCCCAGATAAGATTATAACCCTCTTTTAGTTCCACAGTCATGACCATAAAAGAACAGTTAACTCACGATCAGGTACAGAATATATATAATCAGTTCACTAAGACTGTTAAGAGAAATAACACAAGTATTTCCAGCTTGAGGGTGCTACACATTTGTGAAAGCAGGTAACTACACTTTTAGTTTGCCAGCTGGAACACCTAAAGGAATTAACTGCCTTAACTCTTACAGGTCAGTTCACACGATGTTCCAAGCCAAACATGGTTGGCAGTATTAAAAACATATTCTGAAATCTCCTTATGTCTCCTCAGAAAGTTGCAACTGACAAGAGTTGTTAGAAAATTAAAATTCTAATCAAATTAATGATACAGACCAAAATTACTTACATCCTGGAAGTTGTGACCATACATACCCCTCCCCCAAGATTCCACAGCTTTCAGGATATGCCTTCAATTTTCCCCTCATCTTAAAAATGCTAAATCTAAGTTTTAAAAGTTGCAAATTCCCGAGACAATCGTCTCACCCAAGTTCTTTTCAGTTAAGGCATCAATGCAAACAATTGCAAACAGTCCAGAGTTTGACTCACTTGCTGTAAAGAGGAATCCTGCGAGAAACCAGTTTCTTTAAAATCAATTTCATCGTCACTGGATGAATGTATATGACAAGTAGTAACCTAGAGACAGAACAATTAAAGAATCAGCGTCAGAAAAAGGATTTAAAACAATACGTCCCAGGTCTATACATAGTTCAAAAAAATATGTGTGTGTATGTATGTATTAAACAAATTATTAAAAGACCAATCTGCCTGGGGTCTTAATTATAAGAAACTCTGTACTGTTCAAAATCCAAAAGTAGGGCTCTATTTTTGGCAAAGGAATTCTCTAAGACGATACAAAGTTAGTATACTTTGAAAATTAGAGCTGCACACACTTTCAAAACAAAGATAGGATAGCAATCTCTCTTGGACACGGGTGCATATTAATGGTTCCTCGACATCCTGGAAAAAGTGACAAGTGGAATGCCTCGCCTTCCTTGGAGGTTTTAAAGCAAAGGGGTTTTTTTGGGGGGGGGGCATATGTCATGTATGATCTGGCTGAAATCCCTGCATTGCAGGGGGTTGGACTAGATGATCCTTGGTGTCCCTTCCAACTCTATAGTTCTATGATTCTATGAGTTAGAAAGGTGTTGTCCTGCATTCCTGACAAATAAGGGCCAAAATTCCCATAGAAAATCTCCCAGAAACTTCATCTTATGAAACCTACTAGATCCACTGTGTTTCTTTTGTTTGTTTCTCCTAAAGAACTTGTGCAGAAAGTCTCCCATCGCTCCCTGATTTCATCTGGAAGCTCTAGAAAGTCAAGCAGAAAGCGGTTTAATAAGAAAGCTGCTGCATGTTGTCATGTAAGGCACATTAATTTTCACTCTATTTTATTATTTTAAAATACCAAAAGCATTACAAAAACATATACACTCATCCCCCAAAGTAAGGTAGAACCCACATGCTAGAAATTCTGCCTTGTTCCTTGCTGTATGCAGAAGGAAGACATGTGAGACTTAAAAGTAGAATCTGAGATTCTTCCTGGAGTGAAGATTCACTTACCCATTTCTGGTTCTGAACCAACCCTCTGCTGGCTTTTATCTCTCCCTGTAATTGGTATGTGGCCCTGATAAATTACCCAAAAGGAATGCAGCCTTTTCTAAAGAAACTTCTACTGTCTGAATCACTCTTTGTCCACTTTGTTCCCAAAGTGGGAAACATGATTTAAAATGTGTCTTAAATCAGTTAAAATTGCCTTGGCATAAAACTGATCTACCCCAAAGGGCAAATTTTCATTTTTGTATATAAACAGCCCCTATAACAGATATTACAGACAAAACTAGCAGGGGTAGAGTGAAAAATATCTAACGGGCAGAATCAACCTGTAGAATTTTAGCTTTGCTTAGATATAGATAACATGCACTGACAATCAATTCTGCAGTGATTAACTTTTAAGATGTTGTAGGAGAGGCAGGAACCAATGGGCTGACTGATAAACTCTCAGAGCAAACCCGAAGGTAAAGGCTTGGCATGTGAGAAAGGGAGATAGGGATATACATTGTCCACATTTAGAAATCAGCAATAAGATCAAGTATTTGTTTCTTTAAAAGTACATCACTTACCTTTAATAAGCTGCTGCACTAATGTACAATTTGGCCCTTTATCCGTACTGTGCACAATACAGTTAGCTATTCTTGTTAAGTGACCCATGTAGCCATATCGTCTTCCTCCTTCAGCCCTGCAAGAATTCAACAAATTTTATTATTTAAACAGGCAGTTGTTTAATCTGTTAGTTACAGACTGTTCTCTCTATAGGTTTGGAAGAGTATATAAGTAAACAAGATGGCTGTTTGGCAAAGAAGAGAAGAGAATGTGACTTGGTCAGTCCTTCACAAAAACGCCAATCGTTAGGCAGTTAAAATATTTCAAACTCTGCTCCTCAATTTGATTTCAAGAGCTGTGCAGAGTATCATATGGGACAAATGTTAGTTGTGGTGGGGGTTGATTACTTTTACAGAATACACAACTCTATAATATAGCCATTAATTCATCAAGATTTATTTAAATTCACATCTATGCCTATGCTGTGCATACAGAGATCTCCATTAAAACAATTTATGACTCTTCAGACTTAGCTCAAATATAAATTTGCTCTTATCATAAAAATATACTGAAGTTAAATTAGCAAAAGCAGACCCATATATTGCTTGTGCAAAGCACATACCCACAAACAGCAGCAGTGAACACTGCAGGGATAGAAAGAGAGAGAACTTGCCTAACCTTCTCCGCTCAAGAAGCCAGTGATTTGAACATATTCCCTCTAGGCCAAAGTAGTATGCTTTGTGAACATCAATCAAGTACAGTTAATATTTTGTTTAAATTTGTCTTGAATTAAATCAAGTACTATGTTACTTCCCAAATAGTATACAGCATGCATAACTACAAATGCAGGGAATGGGTTTTGATTACTCACTGTTTCTTCTCATTCATTTCCCATGCTTCAAGTATTCGTTCTATTAAATGGCACTTAAGGAAAAGCTATAAAACAAAAGCTTCCTTAGTTGTTGTTTTTTTGCAATATATATTTTTGCTACATATCTTCAAATATACCATGTATATTCCCCCCAACCGATCCTTCCAGTTCACCATATTCTAAATTTGAAAAAGAGCACAAGACTGAAATGATTATTACTCTGCAGCTCTACTTCAAAATATTCTGTCACAAGTTAATAGCTGCACTGTTGCTAGCTTAAAAAAAAAAAGGTGTGATTTTCTTGGCAAAACATGACCTATTTAATCTAGCAAAAGGAACTAGTAGCTGATCTATACTTAGACCAGCAACTTTATTTCTTGAACTGCAGCTGCCATTGCTCTGGAGTACAACACTTCTGCTAAAACCAAAAACTGTTTTTGGTAGAGGAAGGTAGCAGGACAGTGGTAAGCGTAAAAGCCTTACAACAGTAATTTAACTTTTTCATCCTCTTGGTCACCTTGCTTTTATTCATCTTACCTAGTTGACTGAGTATTTCTATGTGGGGAGCCTAGCCCAATTATACCTAGAGTACTACAAATAATAAAAACAGCTTACATGTTTCAGCAAAAGGTTGTCTCCAGTGGAATCCTGATCTGAAATTGTACCATTTTCTGTGCTTTCAAATGGACTTGCGAGAATCAATGCAATACAAATTTCTACTTGAGTATGTAAAAAGTTATTCCATGTGTACTTAAAAAACATGTCCTGTAGGGGAAAAAGAAACTAGAGTCAAACATAGCCCTGTTAAAATCCAAGTCTGCGTGCTTAAGTTTCCATGAATTGAACTCTACTCAAAGGATGCTCCCACTGGAAGAGAAGGGCAGTAATTTTTGCTGTTTCCTCCCTTCATCCTTCCAAGATCTGGTCCAGAGCAGCACGGGTTGACCCTGCAGAATGGAGTGGAGGATGGCACTCAAGTCTCTACAAAAAGTGGAGAAAAACACTTCTTCCCATCTGTCAGTGAGAGCCTTCGCTGAAAATGAGTCATTTTGTATACTAAGGATTGTATTCAATGTAGGACTAAGGTGAATATTCTGTTACCACAAGGGTTTCTCATCGTGCGATGAAACGTTCTCCTGCTCTCCTCCTCTCGTGCCTCCCAAATGTGTTCTAAGGTTTTCTTTAACTCTCTGAAACAGATCTGGAGGAAGCAGAAGGGGAATCCACTTGTGCTACTGCTAATCCTTGCTCAAACACAAGTTAGTTGAATGCTGCTCTGAATTGTAGCAAAGTAGTAATAGTAATAACTAAGCCTAGTTTCAGTGTTCTTTAAAAAGAAAATTCAATAAACTACTGTCCCCAATCAACATATGCACAAACCATCTTATGCCACTATAGTATTTGTGTTAGCAGTGCCTCAGAGAAGCCTATGGATGGAAGATGCAGCAGCTCTGCTAGCAGAGATTTCTGCATTCCCAACAAAACAGACTACTCATGAATATTAGAGTATATCACATCAGCTGATAAGAATTCCTACAAAAAGTGACAGCTGCTCATGAAGATGCAAGCTGCTCCCAATACCCTTAACCAAACACAGATTATATGTATGTACTGGCCAATTTTATTCTGTTTAAGATAAAACAAATAGTGCCTGTGTCTCCATCTTAATTTATGATGGTGCTATGGCCAATAAAGCACAGCTCCATTTTTCTAGACTTCTGAACTCATGGGACATTCCTATTTCCCACAGTTGCATCTGCCCCTAACAAATGATAAAACTATTTGTAACAAACTACACATTATGCATGAGGTCTGAGGTTGGAACCCCAACTTTCAAAAGAACTGAAATGCCTGTAGGGAAGTGCAAATTTGTTTGCAATGGAGGGGACTTAACTCTCTACTCCCACCCCATTTTCAAGTTGAAAATCTCCATCATCCAGAGGCCATTTTCCCTATGGAGAGAATATCAGTGAATGCCCCCAGGTCTCGACACACTGCTGTCAACCATAGTTCATGACTGCATTTTAGTGTACTTTTTAAGTTACAGGATCCATTCATGGATATCTCATGTAATTTAATTTGACTTTCAGATACAAAACCTGAGGCAGCACAGAAATATTAATTTCACAGGTAACATTCCATTCAATCACTCACTCACTCAAGGAAATCATAGTATCTTTTACCTGTGTCATGACATAGCAAGATTAGGAGCAATTAGCACAATAAAAAAGTTACGAGCATTGCTGTGATAATCTGTGATAGGAAAGTCAATATTGCAAATATTTATGCTCTTACCAGTATAACTCCTATGCTATTGAGCTCTATAAGTTCCAGGTTTACACTGTTTGTATTTGTCTGTAGAAGGCTGGATATTAATCTGATCACATTTAACCTGGTGTTCCCTACAGGTGGATCCAATACACCCCATGTTGTCTTCATAACACTTTTCTAGACAAAAAAAAGAACAAAAATATTGAAATATTACTCAAACTCCAAAGTATTATTTATCCACAAGGGGGAGGGGGCAGGAGGAAACAAGGTAATCACAAAACTAAGTCTGAAACAGAATACCTAAAAGCAGAATACCTAAAAGAGAAACTCAATGTTAGTCCCATACATTATGTTCTACAATATCATGGGCTGAAAATGTGAGGACATATATGTAAAATAAGCAGTTCAATGATCAGTTGGCCAATGACAAAACAAGTTCTCAAAGTTGCATTTCTTTTGCTAAAACCATAACAAGATTGAGACTTGGTCTCCTTCCTTTGGCATATACAGAGTATTGGATGGGACAAGGCTATTTCATTCTGTTCAAGGCTTTGAAGAAGCCAATAAATGGCAAGTCACTCTTGCTGCTTGGCATGGGAGAACAGGGAGGAGACTGGCATAATAATAATAATAATAATAATAATAATAATAATAATAATAAAAATTTTATTTATATCCCGCCCTCCCCTGCCGAAGCTGGGCTCAGGGCGGCTAACAACATTCTAAAACATTCATTATAAAATTAATCAAATCAAATTAAAGTCAAATTAATGGCAACCATCAAGCAAAATTCTGTGCAGATTGCCGATTGCCAGAGGAGGGGGTCAGGCTGCGCCCTGACCAAAGGCCTGGTGGAACAGCTCTGTCTTGCAGGCCCTGCGGAAGGATGTCAGGTCCTGCAGGGCCCTAGTCTCTTGTGACAGAGCGTTCCACCAGATTGGAGCCGCGGCCGAGAAGGCCCTGGCTCTAGTTGAGGCCAGCCTAACCTCTCTGTGGCCTGGGATCTTTAGGATGTTTTTATTTGCAGACCGTAGATTTCTCTGTGGGACATACCAGGAGAGGCGGTATGTTCTCAACTTCTTCAAAGCCTCACTACCAAAGTTGGAAGGTAGATCAGCCTTCCCTAATCCGGTGTCCTCCAAAGGTTGCTAGACTACCACCTACCATCCTTGACCATTGGTCATGCTATTTGGGGTGATGGGAGCTGGAGAAAATATATACAGTGCACTAGGATGGTCGCTGTGGTGATAGAGAGACTCCCTCTGGGACTGGAAGAAGGGTGGCTTATTTACTTATTTAAAATATTTATCCACACCTTTCCACCTCATTACTGAGATGCCCAAAGGAGATGTCATATAATATTAAAATAGCAGAAATAATATAATATCAAACAAAGCAAACAGCAAACACAACAGATTAAAAACAACTCTTAAAAGCCAAGTGTATATAGGTTACCCACCAATGTCCAATTCATCAAACAGTGGATGAGTGCCCTTGAAGCCGGATTTATGGAACAGAATGGCTCCAATTTCACATGCACTAAATGTTTTACTTACTTTGGGGGGCTCCAAGAGCAGTTCATGGAAGGATGGAAGTCGTGCTTTTATGGCTTCTAATACACTCTTGTTGACCAAATATGTTGAGTGGCTCATACCTGGTGGGCAAATCTCTATGTGACCTTCAAATCTAAAATGAAGAAAAGGTAAGCTCTTTAACACAGAAAGCACAGCTACTTTAAAAAGACAGATAGATCAGCAAGCTGACTAGGCTAGATAATAGTAAAGGGAACAAATCAAAATTTTTACATTCAACTCTCCTTTCACTTAAGGTGATACAGTATCTGCATTGTTGTTCACCGACCCACATCTAACAATTCTTTAGTCTTTCCCTCAACCCAACACACAGACACACAGTAAAATGATGTTTTAAAAATTCGATTAACATACACAAAAACTGACTTCTAAGCAACATGAATCTCATATTTTTGCAGTGATGTATTCATGATGACCCCATTTCAGAAGCTTCCACTTGGACTGTGCAAGACTTATTATTTCCAAGAATGTGTATAAGATAAATGTTTAGGTACAGATAATGTAGTCACAATTTACATCAATTTAATAGAATCATAGAATTACAGAATTGGAAGGGATCATGAGGGTCATATAGTTCAACCCCCTGCAATGCAGGAATCTTTTTCACAACATGGGGCTCATGACCCTAAGAAGTAGTGACTCATGCTCTACCAACTAAGACATCAATATAAACTAATGACATTAATTTACACAAATGATACCATCTTGTTCCAACTGTTCCCTATAGTGAAATCAGTGCCGCAATGGACAGAAAGTAGCCTTTTACATGTATAAACTGCGTTTGCTAAACACCTTCTTACTCTCCAGAATCCACAAAACTAGGTAGAGATCAGAAAAATGCTCATTCAGAAACCTTTATACATATGCAACTGCACACAGTCATCTGACCAGGGTAGAAACAATGCAACTGCTGCTGGATAAAATACTGTTAAACAGTAGACAATCTTACGTTGGCCGTCTCGTTTCCAGTAAGGTCAGCAATATCTGAATTGCACTGACTATAGCTGATTCGTTTTTCTCTTTATGGAATATATTTGATAGCAGCTGTTCTATGATTTCTTTTCTAAAGAGAGAGAAAACATTGTTGGAAATTTAACATTCCCTTTTGTAGGTGTAGGCATCTGAAGGAATGCTTCTCCTTTTATCAACCTGCCCAGGTTCTTCTCATTGTTCCACCACCAGAGGCAATACATTCAGTAGTGGCACATGATAATAGTGCCTTTTCTACAGTGACACATCTATTATAAACCAGGCACCAAATTTTTTAACATTCCAGTGCTCAGTTAAGACATGTCTTTTTGCTCAGGCATTTATGGAATATTAGACTGCTTCTAGGCTAAATTTGTATTTTAACCTGCTATACTTAATTAATTGGATATAGCATTGCTTCAAAACTGTATCACACCCCTAGATCTTTTGCAGGGGGGAGGGGACACTAAATATATTCTGAAATGAATAAATACATATTTTTCAGGAAAGGCATACATATGGCCTATAGTTTGTTCTTTGGTCCAGAGCTGCTTGCGTTTTTCTTTAATAAAAGAATCAGAATTATTTGAATAGCAACCCTAATCCTTGTAACAGTAATGGCAAGCTCATAAACCAGGAAATGATCACATGGCACTAAAATACTTTCATAACTGGGGGAACAGTCTTGAGCAATATAAACATTTAGTATTTCTGGACATTGCTGTTATCTACTATGCACACAAACTCTGCCCTTGGACACCTCCCCATTAGTTCTTGAATGCAATCCTACAACCCACACTCTTGACAAAAGGTTAACTCCCTTGCTCAGTTCCCATTCTGTGGATAATATCAGGCCATATACTGCACCACGGCCAGTTATGTACTGCAAGCATCAACAAATAGTGCATAAAATTTATTTGTGACCCCTTTAAAGAGTATAGATCCTAATTTTACCATTCATAGATTTCAAGGCATTAAGTTACTTTAACATCTGCTTATATAGATAAAAAACATAAATAAGTTTCCTTAGTATCAATGCCATCACCTTTGCAAACCATGTACTTTCTCTCTCCAAGCCTTTCACTATTTCCTCTACTTGCATGCACAAGAGGGAAGGAACAAGCAGGGAAGACTGAAACTCATGCTTGCTTATCTCTGTAATGTCAAACCATGGTTTAGCGTAACATCTGAACTAGGTCAGAGTATAGTGCATCTCAAGGTTGTTGCTGTTTGTTTATTTTTTAAAAAATACACATTAAACTCTTTTATCTTTGTTAACGTGATCTAAGCATTTTTATGTCTTGTTTCTTACAGAGAATGCACTATCATACTTCAGAACTTGCATTCAAGTTACATCATTCTCCATGGCACATGCAAAGCATTCAACATTTCAAAAAATGCCAATATCCATGGAATATATACATACATCTATGACAGCAATGACAACATCAAGTTAACCTACTTTTCTAGTGTTGCAAGCAGTGGATCTGGTTCTGAACTGTTTTGTACTTGTAGCATCTGGTCTCTACTCAAGCGGATAATTTCACAGAGTGACTGGGATGCGTTTGAGTGTCTCTAAACAACAAGGACAGTTTATGGAATAAAAAAAAGCCCCTACAGTATTCATTGATAGTTAGCACCAAAGGTTAAGACTTAAATGCAAATTCACCCAATTCCCAGAAGGCAACACAAATTATGAGTGTTAAGCTACAGGACCAGCAGCTCCTCCTTATATGCTTCTCATTCTGTATAGAATGCAGGTGACAAAATTGAAGTGTGTGGATTTTGTAAGCAAGGCATAACTATGCCCAGAAAAGTTTTAAATCAGAGAAGAGTGGCTTTTTGCCCCTTGGGGGGCACATGTGGCAGTGGGTGGGTGGGCAGGAGGTGCATGCCAGTGGGTGGGACTGGTGACAGTATCTCCTTTTACTGCTCTGAAGCTTGAACAAAATACATTCAACTCCCCTTTTCACACAGACACAATAATCTCCCCCAACTCCCTCTCTCACACACTTTTAACAGGATCCTCTCCAGCAATCCTCCTGCAGACAAGATTGCTATCTCCATAATGCTTAGCAGTGCAAGACAGCAGATTTTTTTGCCACAGTACAAGTGATGGTTTATCATCTGGGTGATGGGGAGAAGTGGGAGGGGCTCTGTGGGGCTTGGCATGGAGAGCAGCAAAGGACAAAAATTTCCTACAAAATTTACGTGAATATGAACCATGACATGTATTCCTTACATCTTCATCTTGAGAAGGATGCACAATTTCCACAAGCCGCTGAATTATTTTTTCTTCATTCAACCACTGTAGAGACATATGGGGGAGGGGAGGAAATTAAGTCTCCTTTCACATTTTCATCAGTCACACAGATCGAATAGATAGTACCACCCACAAGCGAAATTATACATTAAAAAGTGCATTCCCAGAGATAACAACATCAGTAAGACTTCAGAAACTTGAAGGAACCCATAAGCAATATTACCACATGCAAAGTATAATTCTTTATAAAAACCAAGAACATGAGTATGGGCAATCTTTAAGGGTGCCAGGGAGAAAGAAAGGATCTCTAACAATTATACCAGATCTTTTTGTATTTATTTTTGGGAGTGGGGGGAGATGCCCTACACTAGTACACTGATTAGTATATATATTAATTATCTGTCATGTTGCAGAGAAGGCATCCGGTACTGTTTCTACTCTAACAGCAGCTGGTAAGTTTTTTAGCATTGCAATATACCGCCAAATCTTTAAACAACATACCAGCATTCTCCCCACAAGGTATACAAGAAGAATATTTTGAGACATTTGCATATGTTCTGCCCTTTAATGTGAATCATTTCTGCTAATTAAATATGTTATCACTGGGTAGACCCACCAAATGAAAAAAATAAGACCTCTTTTGTTTACCATCACTCCAGCTTTCTGTGACTGGCATATTATATTTTCTCTTATGCTTGCGCAGACTGATTTTAAGTCACTTATGCTGCCATATAGCATTTCATTGCTACATGTCCAGTTCCTCCTGGAGATCATGTTCCCAAGTTTACTTAAACCCCAACAGCATTCTTGTAGATTTTTCAATATTTATTTCTGCAACCAGGCCTTTAAGATCATCCTCTGCTTCTAAAATTACTAATTCAAAGACTATGAGAGGCCCATTTAGCTTTTCTCTGATTGTGGAATTAGAAATAAAATTAACATTTGTGTTATGCAAGTCTGCACAGTGTAAACCCTAAAGGCCAACAATGAATCAATTCGCAGTTCCCTGAAGGGATTCCAAATATGCATTATCTGCAGTCCTTCCAACCTTTGTGGAACAAAGATAGGAAAATTTCGGCATCACTGTGTTCCTCCTCCATTGATTCAGAGGTGTGTGGTGGTGGTGGCGGCGGCGGCATCAGCTTTTTGAGCCATGACACACAGCCTACCAGCTTATAAGAATCATTCTGCATGTGAATTGCTAGGAGCGTTAAAACTTTATGTGCGGTTTCAACAGATGGAGGGGGGGGAATAGTAAAAGAGGGGGGGAGATACATATATCTGCAATGGGAGAGGCATAATATAGACAGTAGAGAGGCTTATGGAGTGTGGCTAGAGCTGCAGGAATACAGACGACAACATGCATTAAAAGATGGAGAGAAAGGCAGAAAGGTTAATAGACTGGTACAGAGACTTGCATGTGGTAAAAAAGAAGATTATCAAATGGGGTGCATGGAGGAGAGACCGTAGTTCTAAAGAGAAATCACAGCATTAAAATTAAAATAAAGTTGCTTTTCCTGTGATTGAAATAGTAAAACCTGCTCTCTGACTGATTTTTATGGACTGCTGCTGTAAGGTGACAACACTTCACTTGTATTTTTGTCAACACACTCTAGCATTCTACTTCACATTTAATGACTTGTACACAGAACACAAAATAGCTTAACATGCTATTTGAGCTACAACTGGAATAAACTTAATTGCTAGCTGTTAATCAATATTTTAAATGAATGTGTTGGAAAGGTGTTTCAAGAATTACCGCAAAATATTGATTTCATTCATGTGTAAACTATGGCAAGCTCAGTTGTCACTACTAACAATCTGAAACCACAACAGTTTTGGAAGTACAATCCCTTTTCCATGCTTCTAAATGCATTCATGACATCATAGTCATGTATCTAAACCAGGTAACAAACAGCTGGAATATGGGGAAACTAAAAGCAGCTGAAATTGAATTTGTTTACAGTTTAAATACAATATTTAAGTGCTTGGTGAAAGCTAGCATTTCCATTCCAGCTGAACAAAACAGGAACCTCTCTACCACATCCCAGATCTTTTTCATTTTGTGTCTTGTCTTGTCTTTGAGAGTGTAAATCTCAGGGAAGGAACTCTCTTATCATTTGGATTTAGATATCTATTCAGCATTTTTGGCTGAAGAATAGGATGAAAAGGCTGCAAGTAAATAAATAAAAAAATAAGCATTTCATAGACAGCACAGGAGACAGTTACCTTTGCAAGTGAAGGATTTTTCCTGCTCTACTTAAAAACTGAATGCCAAGGGTATCTCACTAGCTATTTACAATTTCAGTTTCAAAAACAATGCCACTAATCTTCACTTTTAAAGATGACTCCCATTCCAAAAGAAATTACTTACATTTAACACTTCTTGCCTGGGCTGTGGAGGTTCTATGCATGTTAGCAGCCTGAGCAACAAGTCCATAATAGCAGAGGTTCCTATGTGCTTTATAATGAGGTCTACAAAATCATGCTTTTTCTTTAAGAAATCCACGATCTGTGAAAGATAAAAGGCAGAACATAAAAGTTGTGAAATAATAAAGCCAACAAAAACAGTAAAAACTAAATTGCAAGAAAAAAACTACGTAGAGTAAGGCTTATCCCTCTTTGAAAGGGAGGCCTTCCCCCACCCCCAGTGGCCACATTCCTTCAGAGCCAACATGGTTCAGGACACACACACCTTTCATTTTCTTCCATGCATGCACAGCTCCCTATTGCAATTTGAACTGAGGAAAAACCACCCGTGCACTGTGGGAGGTTGCCTTCCTAAAATGCAAATACTAGGCTCTGGGGGACCAATTTGGATGAGAATCCTGTCATGAGAGGTTAAAATGTTTAATTCTTCTATCTCCATTTGTTTCAATGGGTCTTTGTAGATAATACAATCACAGATGCAGAAGCCCTACAACTTCCCATGCAAGCATTCTAACCCTGATGAGATTTCCAGTTCCTGCAATTTGGACAGGAAGACATCTGCATGAAAGCTGAGGGAAAGAGGCAGAGGAAAAGAGGCCCAGAATACCAAATAGGAAGCTTCCAAAGGTGATATATGGCCGATGGGTGGTCAGATGGTTAAAGAGCCTCAACACATTCTTATATTCTTTTTGAAAAATCTATATATGGCACCAACATTAATTTGCCATAAGAACTATTACGATTGTTGCTCTTCTAAAGATAGCAAGTGGAATGAAAGTAACTTAAGCTAGGCAGTTGAAAGCACAGTGTTTCCAAAGGAGCAATGAAGTAATTACCTGTTCTGGTTTTCTGCTAATAAGAATACTTAGCACCTTGCTGAAGAAACTGGCCAATAACGGATTTAGGGGTGGCTCATTTAGAAGAAAACTATACAGTTTTGTTAATAATGATTCCTCTTCTCCCAGTCTATCATTGATCTGTGAAACATCTGAAGTAAGCAGCTCACAAGATATGTTTGGATATCTGAAAGAGAGAAGTAGACATTTTACTTAATTAGTAATAATAAATAGCTTTACACACCAATAACAAGTGCTTTATCTAGCAATGCTGAATGTACCATTATATGTAGTTTGAATACACAAAGTGCAAAGAAAATCAGAGTTACCCCTCAGTTTGTGGAGGCAGGCCAGCAAACACCCAGGGGTTACTCCCTCTCTATCAACAAAACATATATAATCATCTATTAGGTCCACCACCAAGCTGCTCTGACAGCCGGGGCCACCTGGCAGAAGGCCTTACCCAGGCCCGATCACTACACCAGCCTGAAGCTGCTGTATGAATTGAGCCCAACTTGTCTGCCAACTCTACCTTATGCTGTTGCCATGATGAATGGAAGGACTGTGGATGCAGTGATAAATCCATCACTCCTCAGGGCCTTGGTGGCAGCAGTGACTTATTAAGATTGCTATAAGAATGGTCTCCAGAGACACTTGTTCTTTGCTGGCCAATCACCTGCCTATACATGCATTCAATTGATAATCACTGTGTGCTGCCAGGTCCTATCCCAATTTGGGGGGAGTGGGGTGCTCTCAAGCTATTCCATTGCTTCCCTTGAAGGAGTCTTGATAAGGTTAAGCACTGGGGCCCAATACTCCTGTATTTAGGCTACTTTCTCTGATTGGTAACATGAAAGGTAGTCAATAAGGAGTTCTTCAGAACACATAGCATAAAAACAGAGTGAACCAGATCAATGCCCCCAATCAATCCAGCTGCAGCATCTTACATTGGGCGGCTTGCAAGCTTCAGTCGCCAAAACTGCTTGCTCTTGGAAAGTACATGATCAGAGGAGAAGCAGAGATTATGCAGAGCCAGAAGCCCTGCTTTATGCAATGTATTTATTGAGCAGACAACGGAGAAAGAGAGAGAGCCTAAATGAGTGTGGGGAGGGTCAGCACCCTTGCCTTTAGCTTTCTGTTATTAATCATTGTGCTTGATTGTGCACAGCCAAAGAGAGGAGAATGAGGAAGATGTGAAAGAGATGCAACATCAACCCCCACTTTGCCCCAAGGTATGTATGTGGAGTATGTGTGTTTGTTTGCTTGCTTGCTTGCCATGGAGAAGGGAATGAAAGTGTTGTGGCTACAAATATTGACTAAAATATATTCATTTAGTATTCTCTGGCTGCACAGTTGGTGGAAACTTTGCTTAGCAATGGGGTGAATAATTCCTCCATGGTTCACCAACTCCTGAGCAAATGAAATAAAATCTTTACATAGTGTGTGGAAAATGTAGTAGCACAGACCCAGTTTGGCACTCCCCCCCCATATGCATTCACATATACTCACAACACAGGCTGAGAGCCTTAGTGGTGCCCCTCTGGAGGTTTCACCCAGGGCAAAAAAAACCAGGCTAGCCCCCTTGTAGCTACGGCACTGCACCATGCAAAAAACAACAACTATTGGCAGGCTTCCAAGTTAAGGATCAGATAAAATTTACAGGGGAGGTGGAACCAGCCTACTGCCCACCAGCTAGTCATACCTGTGCTAGATCATTGTTAAGATCACAGGACAATTCACAACACAAAAATGCAAAACGAGAATAAAAAAATTAATAATAATAATAATAATAATAATAATAATAAAAAACCAATAATGCCCCTCCCACAATGCCAGACAAAGTAGACAGTACTGGTCCAGAGGTCTGACAGGAACAATGAAGAAGTTGTTTAGATGTCCTTAGTATATTTTCAAGAGAGAAAACTGAGGAGAGAACCAGAATTGGCTGCCTCCACATCCAATCAGCTCCACCCCTGGCTGTTGGGCTAACCTGTCCTTCGCCCCACCAGTGCACATGGGCACCAGCCACTACTGAAAGCAAGTTTTATATTATTATTATTTTTAAAAAGTTTTAATAACCTACAAGTACACATAAGTAAAAAGAGAGAAATTCCTGCTATTTTGCAACCTATGAACTTTTAAATAGCAATAGGAGCACAAGCAACCTTTACCAACCATTCAAGTTTGACAGGTTTTGTATCTGACAACATTATTTCAGTGAGGCTGGCTCTGGGTAGAAATCCAGTCTGATTAAGTACAGTATAATGCTTAAAACACTAATACACACAAACACACATATGCACCTTTCAAAGGCTTAAGGAGGATCACAATCCAAAATCATTATTAGTCAGAAACAATGGCCAAAGTAAGAAAAATATGCATTTCAAACTCTCCTAAAAGCCAGCAAAAGATGGATTAATATACTGGGGGGGGGGGCTGCTCTACACACCTTGAAAAACTGAATAAAAGGCCCTACTTCCAGCAGTAACAGTCTCAACCCACATGGAGAAGAACACAAAGCAGGACCTGCATTAATGACTAAATTTGGTGTGGGAAGGGGTTTTCTCAGATATTATAATTTAATCCAGAATATGAGTCAGCCTTCTTTATGCAGGCACCAGACCAATGGGCTGTACGTAACGCCAGTGTTCGCACAAGAAAAATCCTCCTTTTCTCCATTAGTCTCTTGCATCCACTGATTTGCTCATGCAAGCTGCCTCCACTTAAATCTCCACTGTAACCTCCATGCTCCCCTCTCCCACTCAAGTTTCCCCAACACCATCAAAAACCTTTCCTGAAAGTGCCCAACCCTTAGAGTAGCTTTGGCCCCCTAGTGTCTGCCAGAGCTTCTGGACTACAGTTCCATAGCCCCAGACAGCACAGCTGTGTGGGCAGAGGATGGAGTTGTAGTCCAAAATACCTGGAGGGTGTTAAATTAGCTAAGACTAGTAGGGGGTGTACTTTTGGTTGGAAGCACAAGACAGCAGTTTCCCTGTGAACAGAGTAGAGATATAACCCAATGAGGTTTTTTTAAAAGGTCTATTAAAAAAAATACCATAAAGAGGGACATGTTACCACCCTTAAACTATAGGTGCAACAGTCTTATGAAACTACAGTCAGCTATTCTGCTAGTGAGCTTTTGTCTTCCCTCAACTTCAAGCTCCTAGATCAAAACTCATTTCCTACTTGTATCTGATTTTTTCATCCATGTCTTGAGGTGGCTCTTCTATAATGAATGATACCAGATCTTCCAGACATTCCGATTTCAAAAGAAACTCTATAAGTTTGCGGTTTTGAGCTTTGCACTCTTGTAAAACATCATCTTCATCCATCAGCTCCTTCAGTGTTACATCTTCTCTCTCTAGAAGTGTGTCTATGTGGGATGATGAGTGAAGATCAAATTTCCAAAACATGCTGGTCTAGAGAAAAGGAAAAGCACACACAGCCTTAATTAAAGGGACAGATAATAGCAGGTCTCTAACAGTCTTTAGGGAAGCCGTTCTCCTGTTTCCCTTGTTCTCAGTTTGCACACAAAACTGCAGAAGCAAAAACAGAAAGCAGGGAAAAGATGAACAGCGTTAAAAATTGGACTTCATGGAAGATGGAGTATTTTATCAAAGTGCCTTGAATGATAAGCCAATGTCTTAAATTTCAATAAAGTTGTTAGCTAGTTCAAGAATTGTAAAATTTTGACATACAAGATTTGACATGTTAATGCAACAACAGTAAGAAAAATGTTAACCCAGCTTAGAATTTTCCAGTATCTTCTTGTCTTTTTATCTAACAGCAAACTGATGGCACTCTAAATCAGTTTCCAAGAAGCAGCTGATTCAAGAGATTGTTAAAATGCTAGTTGAGAGTTAAATCAGGAAAAATGAGAGGATTTTAGCTCACACGACTGTGGATCCATGTTTATCTCACTAAGGTGCCTATGTGTACTATTATCTTTTATCTCTATGGATACTATTGCCAAGAATAGAATTAAGCCCTTTATTAGTTTGCACCAAAAGATCTGGCTTTCCTTCACCTAGCCCATGACTGGCAAGAGCTCATGAAATGAACAAAAAGGCCAACAAGCAAAGTATCAACACTACAAACATACCTTTGGCCTCATACTGACTCAAGGCTTAAGTGATTTTTCTTGGCACTGCATTGATGCAAATTAAGACAAGGCTGTTTTTTAAAAAATGTGTTGATGCACATGTATTTCAGAAACTCAGCTTAATTCCTTAACAAGTCAATGCTGCACAAACGTTATTAAAAATTAAATAAATGAGGGCATGAGCCAGAACCCTTTCCCCACTTCATAATAAAACGTTACAAACCCAGCCCCAATTAGTTACCATAAAATCCTTTTTGAGAATGGTTTATTCTCCTCAAACTTCAACTGTGCCCACCAACATTAAACAGAAGTTGGTATACATGCATAGGACTATTATACATAATTCTCACTGCTATAGCAAATAGACATCAGTTGCATTAGCAAATCACATTAAGGAGGAAAAACAGGAATAGAGTTGGTTAAAGTGCCCAGTAACCCACAAATGTTTTTCAAACACATCTATAACCTTATAATTTGCCATTTGCCAGAGTTAAGTAGCAACTGCCTACTGGAAAACATGCATGCAGAACACTTTCTATGGAAAATGATACGTGCTCATTCTACCATGTTGCACTGCATTATGATGGTAGCTTTGGTTCTCTCATTTTAAGGCAACTGCAGAGAGAACCAGAGTGGCATATACAGCCAGCATAATACTGTCATGAATTCAGCACAGGTCAGCACTCATAAAGATGCATGTGTGATGCTCTCCATAAATAGCTAGTGGTGAAGGTATAGAGAATCACATTTTTCCATTGTGGAGAAAGATCCAAGTTGAGCCAAAAATTGTAGGCACTTGCCTTTAAAATAGGCCATAGCTCTCTAAGCACTTCACTGAGGCAAGTTCCACTGAAACCAACAATGCTTGCTTCCAAATGCATATGGTAAGGATTGAGGAGACAGCCAGCAAGTTTGGTTTGTTATATTCATTGGGTATAAGGGGATCAGGAGGACAATCTGATTTATGTCTGTTTCCAACACTCTCGGTTGTGAAGTATTGCCTACTGATATACATCATGCCACCCTGCCCTCATTTGGGAGGAAGGGTGGGGTATAAACTAAACAAAACAAAAAATTATTTCGTTATTTAAATCTAACAGGAGGATTCACCCAGTGCACCACATCAGTGAAAGGTGTGTACAAGGAGTTCTGCTTGTGCAAGTGGACTTTCTCCCACCACATCCCCCTGTGCCCACCAAAATTGGCACAGAGAGGGGGGTGTCATTCCATCTGACAAGCAGCAATGTTTGTGCAGAAAGAACTTTTATAATTGTATAATATTGAATTCCATGCTATGACATCATGTGTAAATATTAGAAGGTAGAAATGGCCCAAAGCTAGCCAACCAATTAAGGTATTAGTGCACTTACAAAAGTTGCTCAGATTTCATACACAGTATAATTTACACACAAAGTGAAGTCAAACATTGGCTTATTTGTCAGGCTACTGCAACCATTTCTTGTTGACAAATACAGGGTAACTTTCAATCCAAAAAGCAAGGTTCATTCTACAACTATTAAAAATAAAATCAGTTTTCCAGACTTTAACCCCAATCAAAGCAACCCGAATCTGTGAATAGTACTTCTGACAAAGAGTTCCAAAATAATTCCTGGGCACTAAATTTACAAACCTACACATACTTACTTGAAATTAAGTCCCACTGAACAACACAGTGGTGCTTACTTCCAATAATGTATGCATAGATCATGCTGCATGAAAATATTTCCCTAGCTACATTCATTCATACATTCATACATTCATACATACATACATACATACATTTCATTGATTCTCAATGAATTGATTCAGGAAAGACTAACAGTAAGTAGCAACAAAAAAGAAAAGCATACTACTGCAAACATGTTACTGCGTTATTTCACAAACTTTCTCCCAGGCAAGCCGTATTAGGGGCTGGTTTCTCAATATGGCAGATGCTGACCAGATTATTCCATCACTTTTCAACAGGAGGCCAGGACCCTTGGAATAAGGAAAAACACCACAAAATGGATCAAAGGGCAAATCAGAGGAACCCTTAAAATAAGAGAACTTGTCTTTAATAAACCCACAGCATTAAGACTTTACTAGGTTTACAAATGTGCCAACATTCAAATAAATGTCATGGTGTTTACTACTGACACAAATGAATCTAGTGGCACTTTTCTGATTCTCATGATGACAAATGCATAAACATGTTTCATAGACTCCACACTGCATTCAGTTATGGAGTAGTCAATTCCTTGTTCGGGACTGTATGTCTTATTAGGACCAGGCATACCCCTATTCATTCAACCTTATGCACATGGCAAGACATTGAAACTGTACTGGACCTGAGAACTTTGGACTTTACAGCTTGGTGAGTAAAAATTGGGTGTAGCTGTAGCACTACTGTGGCAGATAACTTCTACCTCCTTTCTTTGTGGCAGTGAAAAGAAAGGAAGAAGGCCCCTTCCCAGATGGATTATGTGAGCTGGCTCTGCATTAGTATTCAACTACCAATTGTGATAAACTATTTCAAATTCTGTATCTGGTCAAACTACATCAAGTACTGAATGGTTATGTTGGAAATGTTACTTTTGAAGGTATTACTGTGCGCTGCTTTGGGCTCAACTTTGTTGTGAACTGAGAACCACTATGCATAATTCACGATCCCCACCCATGGAGTTAGCCAAAACAGTGATTAGACACTTGGTGAATTTTCCATCCCAAACTGATGCTATCAACTGCAACATGCAGTGCTCCAATTCAGGAATAAATGATCAATACTAAACTCTGTTGGATCAGACCAAATACTCATGCAGGCCACTCTCCCATCTCCCACACTGGCCAACCCTGTGCCTATGAGAAGCCCATAAACAGGACAGGAGGGAAATAGCTCTCTCCCACTGTTGCACCTCAGTGACTGGTATTTGGAGGCATGCTCCCAGTGATCCTATCATAACTAGCAGCCATTTATAGCCTCATCTAATCCCTTTCAAAAGCAATTGAAGCTGGTGGTCAACACATCCCATTGAAGGGCTCACTAATTATATGCTTGACTACCAAGCCTCATTGGAGCTCTGCATCAACATGAATAAATCTTATCTTCATTCCACACAGTGTATCCAGTTTAGAGTCTTATTCTTTTGCTGCAGGGCACCCACCATGGGGATCTTACAATGGGGATCCATGTGCAAGCCAGGCTTCTTGGAAGATGATTACATAGCGCTGGTTTCCCAAAACATTGTGGAAGGGCAGAAGTTATTCAAAGGTTCAGCACTTGCAGAGCCTCACCTGATTCAGACGATTTGGAGAGAGGCCAGAAGATGGTTGTCATCTACATACTGGTGGCTTTGTGCTCCAACTCACTGAAATGACATACTGGTGACCTCATGGTCTAAATTCCCCAGTGGCTTGATATTGCTGTTAAAAAGCATGGGGAACAAGATGAAACCCAGCAGTATGCTACAGCATAAGTGCCAAGGAGTTGAGCAGCAGTCCTCCAACGCCTCTCTCTTGTATGGCCCAAAGCCATATTAAAATGGGCCTGGATAATCTTCTCCTCCCATCATATCAGAAACTGATAATCAGATTCACAGCTAACTCAACAACCCTGCCTACCTACCTCAAATGGTTTTGTAAGTGTATAGTTCCATGTAGGTTTCTATAGTTCATGTATAGGGAACAAGGTTTCCATCCATTGCTATGTTGCAAAACAATGAATTTGATAATCAACAGGGCAGTTCTGGAGTAAGGTTCCATGCAATTAGGAAGTATCCTGGCAACACTATCAGTTATTATGACTTTATTGAATTATATTAATTCTTTTGTTGAATCTGTTGCTGTTGTTTGCTTCATTTATAAGCTACTGTGTTTGATATTATAATAATTGCAACTTTTTTTAATGCTATTGTGATTATTGTGAGCCGCTTTGAGCTCAACATTTGTTGTTGGAAAAGTGGAATACAAATATTAAATCAAATCAAAATCAAAACTCTGGGCAGTTTGGAAAAATCTTACTGAATATACTAACAGGGCACAGCTGCCACATTCCTTGGCAGCAGCCTTGGCAGATATATGCAATGTGTGAAAATGGTGTGATTTTTTTGTAGAGTTATATGGATTTTTTAATGCACCACCATTTTCCTTTCTTTTTAGTTCATTTCCTATGTCTGTACTCCTTCTATGACATATGGGGTACACCAGTTATCTATATTATTTATATCTACTGCCCATCAAAATGTGTTTCACAATTTCTCCCCTATTGCATGCTATTGTTCTCTATGTGCAAAATTAATGAAGTGGTTTTTTTTAAAGGATCAAAACAGATGCTGAGCTTTGTTCTTCCCATATACAACTATGATCATATCATTGCATATTTTTAACAAGCCTGGCAAGACACTTTTGAGTGTCATCTCAGTCCAATAATATCTTCTTCCTTTGCTGTTACTCAGATATGGAAAAAGTTGCCACAACTGATCCCGCTTGCAGTTCCAATCTCATCAGGATCAAACAAATTACTCACTATTTCTAACTTTAGTCTTTACAATGGTGGCCAATAAAGCCCAACCTACTCCATACAGTATGAGCCAAAGAATTTCCATCAATGGAGTCTGGTTTGCACTAGAATAGACTGCCCACCTCAATTTAATAGGACTGGCTGCGAGTCTGCAAGGAAAGACTATTCATTGCTACTTGTACATTCAACCAGATACTATGTGAACAAACAAGGAGGCACGGTTTCCAAGTGTACTGTATTTACTTCTGCTCATGACCTAGAACCATGTATCTTGTTCCATAGAGCAACTTTTGGGAGCACACATTACATGAACTGAGGAGCTGCTACTTCCCTTCGTATTCTGGCGATATGTACTATCTCCTCTAGGATTACTGTACCCTCTCATCATCATCTTATGAAAAGCTTTCCAAAAATGATTCCTTATCTAACCAATATCTTTGATAGGGTACCTTTACTATTTTGGAGTCTTCTCACTCAGCTCTTCAGCGAACCTTCTGAACTGATAGCTAACTGCCACCTTCTTTCCTTCAAAAACAGCCCTCCTTGCCTCGACCACGCCTGCACATAGAATGAACTTTTGTTTTTTACTGTAATCCTCCTGTCTTAATACAAATATAAGGTAGCCCACAGACCAAGTATCACAATCATATTCACCAACACAGTAACTTTTATTCAAAGAATCAAGGAAAAAAGGATACAATTCACCTAAGAAAGGGAAGCCCTTTTAGTCAAAGAATGTCTGCCACTGGGTGGTATCCACAATCGTTACCAGTTAGCCAAACTCCTCCTATCAACCAGTGTCAATGGACATTTGACTTGGAGGCTACATTGTGAGAATATCTGAGCTCTCCCCTCAATTGTCATTCAACTCAGTAGCTAACAAGGAAAATCCCAAGAATGTCACCTACAGTAAACACACACACACACACACACACACACACACACACTCACTCCCAATTAACTAGCACAAGTTGGTATGATGTTCATTGTTCAAATTAACCTTTAAGTATCTTAAGAAAGTTGTAAAATGCTAGGTTGGTCAACTTTCTTAGCATATCTAGAGGTTAATTTGAACAATGAAGAAAGGATTTCACTGTCTAGTTGGGAGGTAAGAGTTGTTAAAACAATTAGGCCACATAACCCTTGTCGATCTACTGAAAAATCACTCAGTGATCTATCAATAGATCCTGACCTACTAGCTAACCACCCCAAAGAGCTCAGTTCTGTTACTAAAAATAAATTCCTGGGATGAGCATGTGCTCATAGGCACTCATGCTTCTTAGTTCCAAGAGTATGTTGCCATCCATCCCACCAGCAACTGTTTTATACCTGGCTGTGGTTCATGGGCCTCAGTTCTTGGGGGGCGGAGTAAATTCCACAAGGCTAAAGTGTGCCCACCCCAACCTTGAGGACACTGTTGAATAACTTTTTCCCTTGCCTTCAATGTTGTTAGATCCTCTCTTGTAGCTAAGATACTTTTGCAACTACTTTACAATGAATTAACACAGAGAAGTTGGAATCCATTTCAATATTTAAAATCTGGCTACTTAGTCGTATAAACAGAATTAACGTATACCATAATGCACCCCCATCTCTCTTCCCTTTCGCATGTGCATGAGAGAGGAAGTTAGTTTAGCAGAACTTAGAACAATTCAATGTTAATGTTTAATAAGTTACCAACTTTTGAAGGCATGTACTTTTGAAGGAAAATATGAAGTTAAATGCTCAGATTACAGTAGTCACAATATGAAAATCAACATTTGTCCTCAGCTTCTTGATGCTAGTTGAGCAGAACAAACCACAGCCCCCAGTTTGGACACAATACTAAGCCAGGAATTGTGGTTAATTGATCCCACTTGCACCAGGAGACTAGTGAAGTGTCAGCAATGTCAGGTAACAATTTGCTAAGAAAGCCAAGATTTCCTATGACATGCAAATGCAACAATGGGTTAAGAGTCACTATTTGTTTCAGGTTGCGTCTGCTTTCTTTATAAGCTCACCTTTTGGTAGTGTATGGTTGAATTACATTGCCAGCTTTCAAATTTGTGCTAGGCAGGGACCTGCATGCAGAAATATAGCACCCATCTTAAGACAGACAAGAGTGTCTGGAATCAGTCACTGCCTGGGCTGAGGGAAGAAATGCAAGCTTAATCCCTTTATGACACATTGTTGGTGAGGAATTTACCATACTACAGAACTGTGTTCACCTGTTTCTGGACAGGTCACGCATGGTTTTGGATCCAGCATTGGTCTTCAGACGTTCAAGTAGCCTTTGTAGCCTGAAGCACCTTTTACCAAATTTGGTTGGTGCACCAGCTTCCTGAGGAAGTAGGTCTTTTTCCATTATGCGTATTTTAGTTGCATTCAGATTAAGCTGCAGTGTCTTGTGACCTCCAAAAAGTGCCCCAAAGACCACCTGCTCTTGTAAAGACCTACCCATTTTAGGAGATCAAAATCCTAGCTTCAGGTGCCCACACTGTTATGAGTTAGGCAGGCAGCAAATGGAAATAGTGCCTTTCAGTTGTGAACACCCTTCAAAGAGGTGCAGCAAACATGCTAACAAGTACTGCTGGCATTCTGAAGGCCATTTACCACCTTACATTAAGCCACAGGAGTGCTCATACAAAATCATTTCCTCGCAAAGAAGGAACCTAACATTTAGAATTTATACAAGTAACCACAAACACTTGGCAGTGTGAAGCTTTCTCATCCTCTGTCCAAAGAAGCAGGGAAAAGTTGCTCAAAGTAGCCTAACTGGACATTTAAACCTAGCTCAGAAACACAGGCATGGTTAAACAAGTAACAAGTAAAATATCTAAGCAGTATTCTTTCCAAATGTTACATTAGCAAATGACATCAGTAATGGCAAATGTGAACACTCTCCTCTATGTCACCATTTCAACATATAATAATTTTCAAAAACTTGTCACTATGTGCTTGACTTCTCTAGCTTTTAGGGAGGTACTTCCGCTTTCTAATGGGGGCAAGAAAAGCGGCAGATATTCAATTAATGCAAGCTAGTTAAATTAAACTGGCAATTGAAACTCAATCTTGCAGCACTGTCACAATAATTAAGAATCTAAACAAATCACACGATACTGATAAGTCATCTCCCAACTCACCCAAAAGACTATCTTTAAGTAATGTTGAGGCAGCATCAAGAAGCAAACTTCAGTTAAAGGCAAAACCATTTTCACATAAAGGAATTAAACCCAGGCAATCCTATTCAATCAGATTTAGTATAGTGAACATGCAGATGACTTGATCATGGATTATTTTCCAGCAACCCAGGGCTTCAATTCCTTTTCCAAAACAGGACTTACAGATCAGGTTATGTGCCATTTTTGTAAACATGCACAAACAACTTGCAGTGTTGATGCCATATTGATCCTAAATTGAATTTAAGTCATTAGTAATGGAGATAAACTGCATGTGTAGCTAAGGGCTTCAAAAGAAAAAAAGGGGGAAAGCAAAGAGCAAGAAATAAAGTTATTGGAAGAATGCCTAAAGCATTGTGTTTAGCCAATATTTAGGGGAAGAAGCAAACATCAAAACATTAAGCAACATCTGCAGAGGCATACTAGGTGGTATTTCTTACCTGTTAACAGAAAAATTTAAAAAGAAAAAAAAAATGTATTCTTTGTGGCTCCTTGCCCATTACAGGGTATCCAGGCAGCAGCAAAATCTTTAAATCTACAGTATTAGCAGATTAGCAGGCTGAATTAGGTTAAGATGAAGCCGATTTCTTCCTATGAGAAAACACAATACAATTTTATAATGTCAACACAATTTCATTAGTGAAGTCAATAATGAACACCCCAATAATGGAATATATTGAGATCTAGTAACATGAGAGCAATTTAATCAGGATAACGTCTCTCACATATTTTACACAACGGTAGAGAGAAAAGCTTAGACTGTACTTGGAGAAACTGCTGAGGCTATTTGCAGGAACCATAATGTTTCAATAATCACCAAAGCAAAGGTACCCAATTTAACTCTTCCCCATTTCAATTGCTAGTATTCTCAAACATTATTATTCCTCCCTCCCAAACACACACTGCATTTAAAAAAGCAGTTTGGTATGGATTATGAACATTAATCAAAATAACATGCAGTTTTTATTTATAGTTCTAAGCAGTGTTAGAAAGATATTAAAAACTAGGCACTAAATGGCACCTTAAACCTAGATTATGGGCGCAACAACGAAAAGTCTAGGCGCGCTTTTTTATAACAAGAATACAAAGCTGAAAATGTATGAACTGCAGCTAAAATATATTCATTTTTCACATAGTCTAGTCCTTCCCCTGCCCACCACCCTAATATTCTTAAGAGGGTCTCTTCTCCAGTCTTCAGCTGGAAGTGGGGAGGCAGAAAAAGCTCCTCCTTTCCTTCCACTTTGCAGTTTTAATCTGAAATCTTAGGTGCAGTACAGCGCCCAAAGCCAATCAAATTCCGTCGCAAAATGCTCCTAGGACAAGTTTTGAACACTGGTTCTAAGTCTTTAAATTCTAAAAGGGATAGAAATTCAGAACTACTATATGCTCTTGTACATCATGTGGTATTAAAATCAATGATATTAATGGCATCCAGGATCAAAACAAGTGGACAACTCAATCATTGTTTAACCAAAGGGACTGTGTTGGGTGGTAGTTCTTGAACAGCAGCATACATGGAAAACCACTTTTGAAGCAAGGAGCCTTTCAGGAGCAGTTTATTATGTGGTATGGGTTGTCCACTCGTAGGGGAAACAGAGAACATCAGGTATGCCCAAGCATACCCTCAAGTACTCCTTTTGATCCTGAGCATTATAATCATCAGAACAACTGCAATAGTTCATTACTATTAGCCCTTTCTTTCAATACTGATTTACATGGGACAGTATACTAACCAAATCATACAATTTCCTTATTTAATAAATGGGTACTACATTCTCTAAGGAAATGAGAGCCAAAACACACATTTACAAAGCTGTAATTCCCAGAATTGTGTGGGTTCAGTGAGTTTACATTTATAATGGAAATGTTGTTTCTGCAACAAATAGGATAATGAATCTTCAAACCAAATGTCAATGCAAAAGATTGTTGAATAATCACTTTTACTAGATAAAGATAGAATGTTTCAAAGCAGTCCTTTTTGCTGGAGATGAAAAACAAGTTTCCAATAACATGATTCATTTATTTCCTGAATGAGAATGAATGCTAATTGGTTATGATCTGGAACTAAATAAAGCCTTGATGCTGTGTAGAAACATAATTTATAAACCTCCGGTCAGAAGTCCTAATCACACACTTTAAGGGAGCAAGAGGAATATTTGTGAAATTAAGGGTTTCTGTTCAGCATTCCCTGTATACATGGAAACATAACGCAGTAGGAGAATTTCTTCAAAGACCAAGAGCCAAACTAGGTACTCATGAGTCATGACCAATCCCAACAAAAGCTGTTTGAGAACTGAAATACAGTTTTGGGGCAACAAATGTAATCAGAGTAGAGGAAGTAGACAGGTGGGTAAAAGTTGTTTTGAAAATAGCAACTCTCCATTACTGCACTGATCTGCAGCCCACAACAGTTGCATTTGCATTTTTCAAAAGACCCTCAGGAGTGATTACTAGTTCTTCAGTGCCTAATTTTTTTCCAGAAGAAAAGGCCAGTAGTAACTGGGTAGAATAGTGCTCCTTCATGGCATCAGGAATCAATGGGTTTGGTAGGGAGAAATAATTTCTTTTCTGAATAGTTTCCAAACATATATAGAATACCTACATGTATAAAAACATTTTAGAACATATATATAAAATCAATACAAATACCAACCCTGCTTAAAAGCCTGTTGAAAAAGTAAAATCTTCAAAAGGCACAAAAAACAATAGAGGAGGTTTGAGTCTGAAATATAACAGGGGTTCCAAAGCGTAGGTGCTGCCACAATAGCGACCTGGTATTCTTGAAACTTTTATAATTGTTTATTTTTATCCTTCCCTGACAGATACATGCATTTTAGGAAAACTGGTTTCCACAATACCTCCAACATTACTATATGGTCACTCTGTAGGAGTCTGGGGAATGGACATGAAAGGATGAAGGTGGCCAAAAATGACTCCTTGAAAGTTCTTTATAAGTCAGTGATCAAGCATGCCTACTGCCTTATTATGTAAATTACTCTTTTTCTCAGCTTTTTGTGGAAATGAGTGCTTGAAATTGTGGAAGTCAGAAGGACATGTAATCAATTTCATAATAAAAAACCCCAGAGATACTAGGTTCCTTACAGTTCAGCAGCTTGTAGCTCAAGGACCACCTCTCCCCATATGAACTGACCCGGGCCCTAAGATCATCATCTGAGGCCCATCTTTGTGTGCCTTCTTCACACAAGGTTGATAGGGTGGCAACACAAGAATGGGCCTTTTCTGTAGTGGCCCCCCCCACTTGTGGAATGCTCTCCCCAGGGAAGTTCGACTGGCGTCTTCATTATACACCTTAGGCACCAAGAGAAAATGTTCCTCTTCAACCAGGCCTTGGGCTGATTAACATCCTATTCCCTTTTAAAGGTTTGTTGGAGGGGGGGATGGAGTTATTGGTTTGCTTTTATTATGTATTTTGTGCTTTTTAACTTGTACTCTTATGTTGTGAACTGCCTCGAGATCTATGGGTGAAGGGTGGTATACATTTTTAAATTAATAATAACACGTAACAGAAACTTGGGGGAAAATCAAATTGTAATTATTGTCTGAAAAAGTGTATATACCAGACAAAATTCTATGATAAGAAACTGACTTTTGAAATAGAAAGATTACAGTGGTACCTCAGGTTAAGAACTTAATTTGTTCCGGAGGTCCGTTCTTAACCTGAAGCACCACTTTAGCTAATGGAGCCTCCTGCTGCTGCCACGCTGTCGGGGCACGATTTCTGTTCTGATCCTGAAGCAAAGTTCTTAACCCGAGGTACTATTTCTGGGTTAGCGGAGTCTGTAACCTGAAGCGTCTGTAACCTGAAGCATATGTAACCTGAGGTACCACTGTACTTTAAAAACAAGTATTGTGTTCCCTCCCCCCAAAAAAACATTTTTCCAGAGGAGGGGGAACCCTGGAAAAACCCAGAAAAACAGTATTTCCAGAAGTGGGGCTTCAGATTTTTTTAAAATAAAAAAATACATCTCTATCCAGGAGAGCTAGGAAACAGCTGGGAAGAGAACGCCATATTTAGCAAAAATGACTCATCATCCCCTTCCAAATGAAGGGATGCAGCACCTGAGAGCACTAGCGGAACAGCTTTGGGAAACAGAGGCAGAGCCACATAGGTAGCAGAATGAGAGCAGTAAGCTAAAAACATCTGGGGGTTTAAGGGTGATTTTCTTGGGAGATATAATGTACACAAACTATTTGTTCCCAAGTATGTTCGACCGGTTTATTATTAAATAAAACAAATTAAACTACTACAAAAACTCCACAGACATCCAGCGCTACCTCCCTCCAAAGGAACCTAAATCTGGGTAAACTGAAGCATCCCCTGAAACTTCTCAGTACTTATGAAACCAAGATCAATGGTCCAATTCAGCAAGGATAATTCCTCAGCCGATTTTTTTCTCTCACACAGGGTTCTGAAGGGAGAAAGTCTGTACTCAGGGTTCTTCTAAGCAGTCCTTACCCCCTTACATGGGACTTACAATACTATAAAAACAAGCAGCAATTAACCATTTCTTTGGCAAAGGCAAACCTCCGATTCATGAGGATCTTGGGGCTGAGGGCTTTCAACTGGGCCCAGCCCTTCAAAGCACAAGCAGCCAGAGAAACAACTGGCTCATGGAAACTGCATGTTCTGAGGAAGCCTTCTCTTTCAAAAGATGGGGGTGAGGTGGAGGGAGGAGAACAGAGTGAGAAGAACTGGGCGAAACAGTATTAATTCTATACTGACTTGTAAAAATATCTGTAGAAGTGTGCTTATGCCTTTTAACCTTGTTAGAGCTGTATTTCATTTCAACGTCAACTCCAGCCATGATGCATTTGAAACGCAGCTCATTGCCTCAACCAGTGACCAAAAGAACATTTCCCCCCTCAAATATATATTCCTAGGTTTAACTGCAAATGAAGCCATGGTTTCCCTATCTACCCAATGGTATCATTATTTTATTATAGTTTAGGTTGAGCAGATGTCTACAACATCACTGGTGTTAGAAGACCATGAAACTGCTACCAGAAAGAGCACCTTCACTATAACATCAAAACAAGAATAGTATCATGGAATTGAAGAGTTAGAAGGAACTATGAGGATCATCTAGTTCAACCCTCTGCAATGCCGGAATCTTTAACCTAACATGGGGCTTGAACCCACAACCCTGAGATTAAGAGTCTCATGCTCTACCAATTAAGGTATGTTCTACAAATAGTCCACTAGGACAGGTAGTGTACAAACCTTTTAGATCAATTTCAAGCATGGTGGTTTTCTAAGTGAAACATCTGAAGGCAGTGGAAACATATGGCTCTGAAGTTCACTAAATAATCAAGAGCAGACTATTTAGGCACACAGTACCCCCAGGTTGTTTCCTGCAATATTGTTTGTTCTACTTCAGGTTATCTTTAAAAGACTCAGTAATTTTTAGACGAGCCCTGCTGGATCAGACCAAAGACCTACCTTGTCCTGCATCCTGTTCTCAGTGGGAAACTAGATGCCTATGGGAAGCCTGCAAGTCGCACCTGAGGATAACACCACTCACCCTACTTGTGATTCCCAGCAACTGGTATTGAGAGGCATACAGACAATG